ATCTTAGATGATATCTATTCATAATACATGTAAAATGAAGTTAAACTATATTTAGACATCTTAATATATATACTATATAGGAATTTAGACAGTTAAGCCGAATTGAGTTAACAAGAGAAAAAACAAGAAGTAGTAGAATAGATATTGGTGGAAGTTTATTTAAATCATTCACGATTTAGGATATTTTAAGATTAAATTTCTTTATTTTATTATACCCAATATAATTAAATGTATTTTAAATAACGCTATTAAAAATTAAATATTAAATCATTTGCAAGTTTGAATCGATTTTTTTTTTGCAATATCAAAAATAGCTTAAGCATTAGATTCCCCTGTATTTAAAACAAGTTTAGAAAACTGAGATTGTTTATCTATTATTGTTGAATTGAGTGATTATGCCAAAAGATTGAAAGGCTAATCAAACTCAATAACATTTCCATTTTCGATGACCATTACTTTATCATAATCAGCAATTGTATTCAATCTGTGAGCAATTGTAATAAGAGTGCATTCCTTAAGCTATTGCTTAAGTGTATTTTAAATAAAATCATCAGTTTTCATATCAAGATTAGCAGTGGCTTCATCTAATACAATGATCTTCTTCTTTTATAATAAAATTCTAGCTAAACAAATTAGTTATTTTTATCCTGTGGAGAATAATGAATTAACATCACTAATATCAGTTAATAGACCTTTAGAAAATGATTTTGCATATCCTAATAATCCGGCTACTTCCAAAGCTTTCCAAATTGCTTAATCTTCATATTAATCGAATGGATCTAAATTTGATCGAAGGCTTCCAGTGAATAAAAATGGAGATTAAGGTATGATTCCTATACTACTTCTTAGTTTTTATAATCCTAATTATTTAGTATCAACTCCTGCAATTTCAATCTTTGAATCTTCATAGTCTTCTATTTCACTCATTCTGAAAATGGCCTATAAAATTGAAGATTTTCCTGCTCCAGTTCTTCCAACACAACCAACCTTTTCTCCGCTTTTTATTTGGAATGACAATCCCTTAAGAATTAAATCAGAATTAGTTCTGTATTTCATATAAACATTCTCGAATTTAATATCGCCTGATTCTGGAAAGTTTGGTAATTTAGAGTCTATATCTTTCACTTGAGCTGCTTCAGAATCCACATCAACTATTTAAAACATTCTATTATATGAACTCATTTATGTTGCAAAATTAATTAATTGTTTTAAGCCAAGGGATAATCCATCGTTATAGGTGATTAACAATAATAATCCTTGAGAGAATACGGCAACATCATTCGAATTAAGATTGAGGAAAATGAATAGACCAATTGATGAAGCAATAAATCCAATAAAATCGATGTTAAAGCAAAAAGATCTTATTGAATAAAAATATGTTAATGAATTTAAATTACATTTATTTGATAAATCTAAAAATTATTTCTTGAATAGATCCTACTATTCATAAACTCTAATCTAGATGGATCCTCCAAGTGTTTTTTTTATGAAATCAAACAATGGACTTCTTTAAATTAGTTCGTTTTCTTTTAATTAACTGACAATTTTATTGTAAAAGTGATATTAATAAAGATTTAACACTATGATAAAGCAAATCATAAAGATAAAATAAGGTTACAAGATAGCAAGAGTTATTAAGGCAATGAAAAAGTTTCCAATCAATTCCAAGACATCTAAACATACTATGTTTGTTTAATTATCACACAAAGATAAGTCATTAGAAAATCGATTAATAATTCTTCCTGATGGATTTACATCAAAATAGCATATTGGGGCTAATGTAATAGAATTTAGCATCTTTTTATGAATGTTTTAAGTTGTTCTTTGCACTTAAATGACATTTAGAAGATACTTGATAAAACAGCAAACCATTAATCCAATAATTAAACTAGATAAAAGTATATAGGTTTAATCAATTTAGCCCATATCTTAATAGTATTCAAACAAAGAAATGACTCTTTGGTATAGCATAGTTAAAACTTCATGTGCCACTTCTAATAATACAACCATAAAGAAAGCTAGGCAGTTCCAATTTTTGAAGTATCTCAAATAAACAGAAAAATCTATGATTTATTAATTATCAGATTCTTAAACAATAAGATTTCTAATTTCTTTTAAATAAACCTTTTTTCTCTTTTTTATTAATTTATTTTCTTATTTAATATCTATTTTTGTATTCACAAGCTTAGTTTTATCTAATTATGTGGCTAATTCACTATTAATCATTTCTAAGTTAGGTTTAATTTAGTCATAAGCTCCTTAAGATATCAATTCTCCATGACTTAATATTGCTATTTTATCACATTTAATTGCATATTAAATTTAATGTGTTGCTAGAATAACTATAGGTTTTTATTTTTTAGGATTTTGAGCTATTTAATAATCAAAAATAAACCCCTTTATGGCAGTCATAAATATGTTCTCTGCTACACTTGCATCAACTGCTGACAAGGGATCATCAAATAAATACAAATCAGCTGTTTAATATAAAGCTCTGGCTAAAGAGATTCTGGCTTTTTAACCTCCTGAAAGTGTGACACCTCTTTCCCCAATTTCAGTATAATCTCTGAATTTCATTATTTCAAAATCAGCTTCCAATTAGGCTGCTTGAGTAACCTTTGTATATAGTGCATTATTGTATGGTTTTCCAAAAAGAATATTGTTTTTAATAGAATCAGGAAATAAATACGGTTCTTATTCAACATAGGCAATCTTTAATTAGTTTAATGTTGGATCTTAGCCATCTATCAGCAACTGTCCCTTGTAAGATGGGATTTCACATAATAATGAATGCAAAAGTGTTGATTTTCCACAGCCAACTCTTCCAATAATAGCCCATAATTCACCTTCTTTAAAATTTAAGGTCAGATTCTTTAAAATTGGTTTATCAACTTCGGATACTGAATGTGTCCAGTAAGCATAGAAATTATTTAATTCTATTTTTCTTTATTCTGAATCTATGTTTGTAATATATTCATTTTAGCTATCTTCTAGTTTAAGCATTACATAGTTTTAAAGATTAAGCACGTTGGCGATTCTCTCGAAAGTTACTTTAATTTAAATTAAGGCTTGAATTCCATTTGAAACTATATAAACACATGATATTTTCAATGAATTTAGCAACTAAACAGTAGAAATCATTTCTGCTACTTACATTTCAGTTCTAAAGCCTCCATAATATAAGATAATGAAATATAACAAACTCGACCATAGATGTGAGGTTTAAGTCAGTAATCTATCAAATACTGTGCGTAAGAGTATTTTTAATAAACATATAAATTCGCGTTGTCTTATTGTCATTATTATTTTCTGGAATGCTCTCTCCCAAGCTTGCATTTTAATTAATCTGATTCCTTCTACTAATTCATTTGTAATCGTCAATCTTTTATCCTAATTAAGTTTCGCTAATTTTAATGTTTCCTGATTGAATGTTGATATTAGGACTTGAATAGGGTAAGTAATAAATAACAATACAATAGCCAATAAGCCAATTATACCATCGAATCTAAGCCATAAAATAAGACAAGCGAATATCATTGAAATAATGACCACACTACTTGGAAATATCATACTAAACATTTGTTCCAAAGTGTTAATGTCTCCAGATATTAGATTCAAGATCTTTCCTATGTTAGCTTGTCTGAAGGAATAGGAATTTAATCCAATTAATTTGATATATACTAAATTAATCAAATTTAGACGAGCTTTTGTGGAGAATATCATCGAATAATTAGCTGCGTGGTGTCTACTCAAAAGACAAATGAAATTTAATGCGACTAGAATTATTCCGTACATATGAGCATTTTACGCATCATTTTATGAAACACTGGCTATTATGTAACTCATTATAAAAGAAATCCCATTTTTTGAAATTGATTCTATTAGATAGGCAAAAATGCATTTTCCAGTCATCCATTTCAATTCTCCAAAAAATATTAATTTCACTAATGTTTTACATGTTATTTGATCGAATTCTAAAATTTGATTTTAAGAATTCTTTATTAATTACTTTAAATCGTCTTCTGGGGATAAAGCGGGAAGATGCTTATCTGTAATTTTATAGTTTTTATCCAATACTTCATGTTTTAAATGTAGAGCATAGGTTGTGTACTATAAAAAAAACAATCTTGAAATGCTAGAATGATTTTATCCCAAAAAAGTTGGGTAGAATTTATGATTGTCTTTTTCTGGCAAATCAATTGATTCATGAGACGACTCAGAAAGAATTTCCTAGATTGGAAAGGGCTCAACTTCTTGATTTTCATTGAAATCAGTCTACAATCGTAAACTTTTTAGTGTTGACTATTCTGGGTTATCAAAATTTGAAACTTAATTTCTCTTTTACCTGGACATCTATTGGCCTCTTTCATTGATGTATTTAAAATTCATAAAATTAATATATTATTCCTTCAAGAGAATTTAATCGCCTTTATGCTCGAAATTTATAAAACCCATATCCCGAATAATAGACGATTTATAAATATTATAACAAGCTACCACTTGCCTGTTATTGAACTCTGATACATTTGTAGATCAAAATTATATGTCATTATGACTCATTGAAGAGAACATAACAACTTTGTAATTATATACATATATAATTGTTGAATAAAAATTTATTTAACGTTTCTGCTTTTATTTATTAATAAATAATATAAGTTGATGGCATTATATCAAATTCTGAGGCAAGTTGCGCCAAATTTTAGAAGAACTAGATATATTTGTATTCTCTAGAAAGGCTGAGATAACTATTTTTGCAATTAATCTAATTCTTAACAAGTTTAAGGCTGTTTTTTAAAATTGAATGCATTCCAATAATGGGTGACTTTATTAATAAGACTTATGAATGAGTTCGTACTATACTGCTCGAATTTCTAATGAATTTTATAATATAATTTGATCGAAATAAATAATATATTGTTATATGAATGCAAGATTATGGTATTAAAATAGCATAATTGTAAAAATGCATTCATTGAAAGTAATTTACATTGTTATTGAAAATTGATAAATTAATCGGACATAAATTTATTTATATTGTATATTTTATGGCATCATAAGTAGTACCTTTGTAATCTCAAGAGATTGAATATCTTCAAACCGATCAATCTGCGTTGTCTAGAGAAATCGCTCTGAAAACTGGTCAACAAATACCTAAGAAAAGAGCAACTGTTTAATTATTTAACGAAAAGGATGAGGAAGTAAATTCAATAGTCGATTTAACTATAATAATGATTGGAATCATGAGTGGGAGTTTTACCTTTGGATATGCGATTACTTATTTGACTCCTTCATTTGATACAGTTTTTGATCAGATGTAAAATGATTGTTCTATTAATTTATAGAGATTTGAAAGGTACTAAGAACGAAGAGTAAGGCCTGTTCAGTGCAATTTTACCCATAGGATGTATAGTAGGCGCGGTTTCTTCGCACTTTCTAATGTAGGTTTTGACTAGGAATTAGACCCTCTTAGTAGCAGATATTTGTGGAATGTTAAGTATTTTATCTTTGGTTCCGATAAGAGAAATGATATTAGCCTTCAGATTTATGTATGGAGTCTGTAATGGGATTTCATGTATTGTCATGCCAATATACATAAAGGAGTTGTGTCCTTAAAAATATTATGAACGATTTTCTGTTATGGCAGGCTTTTTGATTGGAATAGGAGTTTTGATGGCTTATATAATGGGATTGGGATATTTGAATTCAGACTTGAGAGGACCAAACACCTATTGGTGGTAGCTTATGTTTGCTTTACCTCCTGCAGTGTTCTTCTTTAGATAATTAATTGTAACTGTTATTTACTAGATGGACAGTCCAATCTCATTACTTGAGAAAGGATTGCAAATATAAGCCAAAAATGTAGTGGAGAAACTATATACAAAACAATCAGTAGAATAGGCATTTTTGAAGGCTCAGGTGAGAGTTCAATATAACGAAGAACATAAAGAAGGGTTAGCCAGCATATTTTCAGAGAAACATCGTACAACAGTGGCAATTGGATGTATGCTAATGTTTATATATACATGGTGCGGAATATTTGCTGTGTTTTCTTATAGTTAATAATTTTTTGCATCGATGGTAGAAGATGATTTGACCATGAATACAATTTTCTCGTTGATTCTGGGGATTTCATAGTAGTTGCCAGCGTATGTATCTAAATTCTTTTATGGAAAATGGGGTAAGAGGACTTTGTTGATTTTTGGTCTTATTTTTATCATCTGTTGCCAAATAATTGTGATTGGATTAAGCTATTCTGAGGATAAGGCTGCTGTGATCATTAAGTTTGTAGTTCTATGCTTATTTGCATTTGTTTATGCTTTGACTATCTCTCCCATTTGCTGGGTAATGAATTTAGATTATAATTATAGTCAATGACACCAGAGATTAACTCATCAGAAGGAACCTATTTTTGTATAATTTCGGTGTTCGTATGGTAATTGTTCATGCTTTATGTGTTTCCATTTATGTTGGAGGGAATGTCCATGACAGGATCTTTTATCTTATTTACCATTCTGACCTTCTTATGTTTGATATTTAGTTATTTTTTCGTAAAAGAAACCAAGGGTCTTAATCATAGAGAGATAGATGTATTATATGGTAAAGGAGAATGATAATATATATTCAAATTTTTGCTTATTATTAAAGAGATTATATATATCGTAATGGGGAAGTGATAGTGAAAGTATTAGTCTACTTTTTAAATGTTGTATCTATATCAATCATGATTTCACAGGTAAATTATTCAGAACCAATTAAAGTGTCTTAAGAATTGACTTGGATCCAGATAATTAATTTATTTACAAAACAAACATTTATATTTATTTATTTTATGAAAGATCATACAATTTCGTTGAAATCTCTAAATAATAGAACAATGACATCCATGAGAACAAGGACCAGAGATATTTCACATCTGACGGATAGTCTGAACAGTGCTAGAGTCTAAGAACAAATTAAATAGAAATAGCTGGTTGCTGAACTTCATTTATAATAATATGTATAACAACAGAGGACAAAAAAACAGAATCAGGCTTATCTCAGTAATCAATTGAGAGTCAAAACTGAGGAGAAATCTGATTAGACATCAGAACAAGTCAATGAGAATGAAATTCTACCGATATTAGAATAGATCTCAGAATTAAATTTTGAAGAAATCACATCAGGATTATCCCAAGAAAGGGATCGCAGTCATATTTTGACTTCCTTAAAATAATCATTATTCAAAGCAATCAATTCCACTCCTACTTTGGTTTCCCTCAAACAATAATCCAATAGTTTTTTTTCAGCTCAACCTACTGGTCGAAGAGATGCCATCATGCTCAAATAATGGTTTGTAAACTTCATGGAAGCAACTCAACAATCACAAAAGGATTTCAAAGACAAATTAATATCTTTATCTGAAGCCTTGCATCTCTGTCTGCTCGAGGTCATCAGATAAGTATCTTATCAATGTGCTGAAAGAGGTCAATTGCTTCACTCATTAGTTAAGGGTTATATATTAGTATTTCATAAGCATTTCATGATAAAGGAGGAGGAGAAAAGAAGATTGAAATTTTAATTATTTGAAAAAAATATTAATGAAGCCAAACAAAAGGAGGAGTTAGAAAATCGATCATAATTATAAATCTCGTAATTAACTCAAGAATTGAATCAACTAAAATAGAAAGAAAATCTCATTAATTCAGAACGCATCAGTTATCAATAGACTATCAATAAATTATAGAATAAAATTAACTTACAGTAAACCATATAAAAAAGTGCAGCTAATATGATAGGCAATCTACAAAGGGAGATAGATCAATTAAAGCATCAGCTTTCCAAAAAGAATCAAAACAAACACTCTTCTATGAATAAGTCAGATGATGTAATAGAAGAATAAGATTTATCATTATCTCAAGTACTTAAGGAATTAAATTAACAGAATAAATTTGAATAAAATTAGGATGTTATTGTCAAAGATGTCATTGAAATATTGCCTGTAGTCTGTCATAGTGTTGGTGTTTAGACTTTCTAAAAATGTCTATGCGTTATCGAAACACAAACAGATCTACAATTAATGTCTCCTTAATATGATAAGTTTTTGTCTACTTCTGAAATAGAAAATACCTTCAGAGAGTTTGAATTAAAATAACAATTAGATTAACAAAGTTGGTTGGATGGATTATGTGATCAAATGAATATGCATCTTGATGAACCATCAATTCAGGATTATGATACTCGAGGCATTACAAAAATTGATTTAATATATGAGGTTCCAGAAAATGACGAAGGGTCGCCTGATGTATTAAGTAGAAGGAAAAATGACTATATGCAAGATAGAAGACTCTAGATTGATAGGTCTGAAACATCTGAAAAGTTGATTCGAGAATTAGACAAATACGGTTCAGATCGACTATTAAATATCAAATAAGTATAATAAGGAACAGGCTCTAATAATACTTAATAGAATTCGTAGTAATCTTCGTAAAAAGTAATTAAATTATCGCCTTAAGCAGGTTCCTTAGTGAATTAAACTAGTGCTTGTAAAATTGATTCAATTAAATAGAATTAAAAATAACAAGTTCCTTAATAATAATAAGTACAAATTAGTTCATAGAGATATTTTCCATCAAATGACAATTTAGAAAAAAAGAATATTAACATATAAGAAAAGTAAGTATAAAAGAAAAAGAAGATGAGCGTATCATCATAATACTAGTAATAATAATAGTAATAAACTTAATAATAACATGTCTAGTCGTAATAATAATAATCTTAATCATCATATGCTATTCAATATGCTGATTCAACTGAAAAAGCTGAAACATTTTAATAACCTAATTTATCAAAATCATAAACAACAATGTTGATGTTACTTTATTAGATACAAAAACAAAAAGCACAAAATGCCACTACTCGAATGAATGAAACAAATGAATTATTAACTTAGATTTTACTCTTTGCAAGAAAATTGACTGTTCATATATTAAAATCTTAATTCAAAACACATACTTAGATAGCAGAAGAATTTTTATTTGAATTTGAATCTTTAAGGAAGAAGATATAGAATGACAAGGAAATTTTAGAAGAAGAATATGTTTTGGATGAAGAGAAAGAAAAAGAAGAGAAAAAGCAAGAGGCAATGAAGCGAAGAAAAGGGAAAATACAAAGAGCCTTACGACTGAATTTTGCAACCAGATAAATGAAATAAATACCCACAATTGATAGATTAACTCATCCTGGAGTGCTATTAGCAATAAAAGCCAGAGAATAATCTCATCTATTTAAAAAGGTTGTTGCATATTGGCCAGTTAAGAATGTCTTAAGAACAATTAGTCAAATATATTTAGAAAAGGCATCCTTTGGAGGAGAAGCCGATATGTAAATCTTTGTCTTCAATTTCTTTCTTAATAAATATGGTTTCAAACATGTGGCAGAGAAGAAATATTTATAATTCTTATTATCCGTGATTCATTTTTGTCAAATATTCAGAGTGAATCTATTTGCTAGATTATTATGTCTTTTACATGATGAACATCTGAATTTCACTTAAGAAGAATCAGCATTTCTGCTATCAGGGTTGGAATATATTCATAGTCAAACAAGTCTGGGAGTTAATATAGTGCAAGGAGACAGTGAATCCAAGTTTCATGTGCCTTATTTGAGAGCGCTAGAGTAAATATATAATATGATTTTCTAGTTACATCAAAATGCATTTGGAAAATAAGTTGACTGAGGATGAAGTTAAGGAACTGAGATAAGATTTAGATAATTTGAGGGAAAGTGATGCAAAAAACAAAGCTGGAGTGGTTGATATAGATTTATTTATGTCAAAGGTTCTCGATAAATATAGAAATGTAACTCATAGAACTAAGGTTTTTGTGATTCATGCGTTTCAAGCTGCTGATTTGGACGGCAATAAAAAGATTAATCATAATGAATTTTTAACTTTATTTAGACACATAGAAGGTGAAAAATTTGATTTCTAAGAAGCTCTTGATTTATTTGATGAACAAGCTGATATTATTCATTAAGGTGAAAAGAATTTATCATTTAATCGTTTCACATCAGTTTGTGTTAATTAATAGATCTTTACTGAAAATTCACTCAATGATTTCATTGGCAAGGAAGCAAATATGGAATAAATATTCGATGATGTTGTGAAAACTTGGAATTAATATAAGTTGGAGATATAAGGTTTGCTTACTCAATTATAACCATTTGTGACATAAGAAATATATCAAGAATGGGTCAATATATTATTCACACTAGAAAAAAGGATTCTCCATTAGAAAACAGATTATTAAAATGTCAGACCTATTCTAATAGCACACAAAATACTAAAATTAGAGTTAACAAGATTGCTGGATGAGGATGAATAAAATTAGAATAAAGAATGATTATATAATAGCAGTTTACTATTCAGAAATTGATCATTTAATATATCTAAATAAATTAACCTAAATTTGTATAACTACAATTTATGGTCTTAAATTCTTTTTTTTTTATTAATCATATATCTTTAAGTTTTCGAGAAAATGGATTATTATTTTGCAATTAGAAATAGAGTAATTTAAGGAAAACATAATACATTTTGGATAGATCTAATTGTTTATTTACCCATCCTTATTTAATTGACAAACAGGTATTTCTCCTGCCAAATATTTCAATAATAATTAATATTTAATTTTTCCTAAAATGATAAGTCTCAATGAAGAATATAAAGATATGGATGTATTTCTTTCTTATATTATTAATAATATTAATAATACACATACACAATGTCTTGATGTGTAATAATATCATTACATATTTCTATAGATTCATAAGAATGCGATTTAGATACTAATAAATTTGATAAAAAATCATTTATTATTTTCATGTGTAAGCTCTCTTAATATTATACCACTAACAACATTTTTAAGACTTCCAAATTCTTTCAAAAAGCTTTCTTCATAACTGTTCAATTTATTTTAAAGATATTGTTTTCCATCAAAATCCAAATCAATTTTTTGATCAATCCTTAAATATTTATATCTTATGTTTTTATTATTCATCTCTTATATTATACCTTCTAATTCTTCTGATTGATTGTCCAGTTGTAGTTACTTATTTGCAATATGAATAATATATCTAAAAGATTTGTTATTAGTCTCTCTTCTCCATTTAGTGGTTTAAGTAGCTACTTTGAGACCATAATAAACTCCTTTCTATACTTCCACCTATACCATCTGCTTAATCTCATCAAGATTTTATAAAATTTCTTCTTCATCACACAAATCAATGACCTAACATTATTGCAACTTTTAATTTGTAATGATATCATTAAAACTTACTATGCTGAATTTTATATTAGAACTACACTTTTCTCTCTCTTTTATTTACTCTAAAATAAATTCTATGGTGTTCTAAAGTCAAATAATTATTTACCTTTATTTAATCAACACTATTGCTATTCAGAAGATTGGCATCACAACAAAATACAATGTCTACAGTAGCTTTCTATTGTTTTTCTTATTACTCTTTTTCTTCCTCTTCCTCTTTCTAATTTTTCTTGGTTTCGCTCTCTGGCGCAGTGACAATTATCTGAAGGGCAACTTTTTAATCAGATTAATTTTGTGGCTAATTATTTTTTATATTTTCTTAAGGATCCTTATTCTTCTATTCTTCATTATTATCTGTTTAATTTAATTGTTTTTCTTTATTCTTTTCTTTATCTGACAATTCATTTTTATTTTTATCATCCTTATGTTCGTTCTCCTATTATTATATCAAATTATTTGGCTGATTCTCATTAGATAAATCTTTGTCCTTACTATTATTCTTATTTAGATTCTCTTGATTTGATTCTTAATCTTTACCATTTACTCTTTTTTGATCAAGATCGTTTTATTTGTTTTCTTCTTCAATGTTATTCCTAATTTAATCTGATTTTTATGGTTTTTCGCGATTTTCATCTTCTTTGTCCTAATTTGTATTTTAATTTTCTTATTTGTCTTTAACTTCATCAGTTTTTGTACTATAACAATTAACTTAATCATACTTGTGTTTGTCGTGCATTTTTTCGGCTTTAGTTCTTGTTTTTTGGCGTGAGGAGGGTTTTAGTTCTGGAGATAATTTATCTTATGAGTCATCTGAATGTATGGATTCTTTTTATTTAGTAGTTGAAGTCTTGATTTTTGAAGATTAATTAGATTTTTTTTATTTGGTTGATGTATTGACATAATCTGAATCTTCATCGGATTCATTTTTTTTGACTTTCTTACTTCTTGTTGCTCCTAATTTTTAATCAATGATCGGTTTGCTCTCTTTCATGACTTCTCTGATGGTTTAGGTTTTTCTTGGTCGCATTGGCAGATTAAATTGTATTAAATTATTTAGTTTCTTCTTTCTAAACAGCTCTTTTTTATTTTGATTAAGCACACAAATATTTTGTCAATTGAATTAAATTATATAATAGGAAATTCTATTTTTAATTTAAGATACAAATGTTAATTAAGTATTTATTAATATTTAATCTGCCACACTTATCAAATATAACATATTCAATAATGGATTGTTAAATGAAGATAAAAATTATATATATTGAATTTATATATATAAAATGAAAAATATTAGTAAAGTTCAAAGTTTGGAATAACTTAAGAAAAACAGTGTTAAGTCTTCCTCTCTTTAAAAACGATTTTCTTAACGAGTAAGTTCTCCTTAATAGTGGGTTTTAGGAAAGAGGGTGGAACAATAGGATAATTGCATGTGAATAAATTTTAGGAGTTGTACAGAGGGACAATTCAAATAAAAAGTTTTTGCCGTCAATAAATGGTGGAACAGCCTCAATTGTCTAGAAATATATTCAAATGCACAAGAATCAATAAGATCTAGAAAACCTTATTGAGTGTGAACAAAAAATATTCACTACCAAATTGGAATAAGTGAGACAAGTTCACAAATTGTATAATGTTCCGAAAATACATTAAGTATTTATGTAGATTTATAAGCAGAATGTATTTAACTAAGTATTGGCATCCTCAGATGATAAATTAGCAATATTGGAGGAGGAACTAAAATTGATGGATCAAAAGCTATCCCCAATATTACATTGCATGTTCACCATAACAGCTAGGGAGAATTGTTTAACTTAGATTTAGACTCTATTGAAGCAACCTTCTTTTAAGGATTAAGAAAAATTAAAAGAACTCATTAATGATTTCAGAATATTATCACTCAACACACTTGAAAGTATTGTGAAATGGCACTAATACATTGAACATAAAAATCTGAATGTCCCATTCTGTTTGGATGACAATACTGTATACTCTTAGAAGTTCTATTCAGATTACGAAATGTTGAGACCCCTATTAATTAAATTCTTTGACGTTTCAGAGTCTCATGATCCATTCTTTATCAAATTACTAGGAAACAATCAGCATAAATTGAATGCAAGAGTGAGAAGAGCAGAAGTTGAATTATTGAATTTGATTTTTAACAATAATTATTTAAAATGAGAAAACAAGCAGAATTTGAACTCTATAAGCGTCTCAAATTACTTGGAGAGGGTTCTTTTGGAAAGGCTTATTTAGTTGAATTTATTCAAGACAAGTAGAAAAGATACTTAAGAATTTTAGGTCACTGTGGGTGACTAAATATATGGATTTGGCAGCCATGTCAACTTAAGAGAGAGAAGAAACTTTGAGAGAAGCTAAAATACTAGAATTCCTACAGCATCCAAATATTGTGAGATTTAAAGAAGTCTATAGAACAAAAAAAGGGCGTTTGTGTATCGTTATGGAGTATGCAGATGGTAAATTTAAGAATTTAAAACAGGGGGCGATTTGGCTTAGAAAGTTAAAGAAGCCAAAGGGAAATACTTACCTGAAGCCCAAATTTTAGATTGGTTTACTTAGATTTGCTTGGCCATCAAACATGTTCACGATAGGAAGATCATCCACAGAGATTTAAAATGCTAAAACATTTTCTTAACAAAATCAGGATAAGTCAAATTAGGAGATTTTGGTATTGCAAGAATCCTGAAGAAAACTTTTGAAAAAGCAAAAACTATGGTGGGAACTCCCTATTACATTAGTCCTGAAATCATTGAAGGGAAACCCTACACATTTATGACTGACATCTGGTCTTTGGGTGTAATCCTCTATGAACTATGTGCTTTGCAACCTCCCTTCAAAGCAGAATCTCTTCACTTTCTCGCCTTGAACATTGTCAAGGGTTAATACAAGCCGATTCCCAATCATTATTCTAAAGAATTACGATAATTGGTTGCTACGTTACTTCAAGTTGATTATAGAAGAAGACCCACAATCCAAGATATTCTCAGTAACTATTATTCTAATAACTAGAAATGCCTGTCATAATAAATAGAATTAAAAGCTTTCTTAGTGAAACTATTCAAAGATAAGAGTTCTCTCATACTGTTCTCCATAACAGAGTAATTCCATATTATTTATCTCTTAGAATTTTGAAATCAAAGGAAATTTAGATCAAATCAATCTCATTTTAAATGAAAAACCCTGCCCACCTTAACTCCTTGAATAGAACTAAAAAAACCTTTAAGAATTCCCAGAAATTGTAAAGAAACCCTAACCTTAACTGCAAGACCCAAGTGCCATAATAAAACCTCCTTAACTATCAAAGCAACCTTCTTCTAGACAATAAGAGCCTCCATCATCCAGATAAAATTAATAATAAGAAGTTCCTAAAATTACTGAATTGCCTAAGCCCATTTCTTGGGAAGTTCCTAAACAAATAGAGATTCCAAAGTAGATAGAGATCCCAAAAAAATTAGAGCCAATTATTAAAAATTCTCCTGTCATTTAAAAAAAGGACTCGTAAAAAGAAATAATAACAGACGAAAAAAAATAATCTCCATTACTATAATAGCAGGCTCGACCTAAAAGTGACTAGGATAAAGCATAATAAAAAAGTGAACCCAATCGATTTGATGGTTAATAATAGAAGAAGCATTCACATAGTGAATAAGCATTGAATGAATAAAAAGTTGAATAATTTATTTCACCTAAAGTTCCCTAAAAACCATCAGAATAACCAAGGTACAACTGATTAATTTAATAAAAGACCTCCGACTGCCCCGAAAGATAAAATTCCACCGCCTAATAGCCAAAGGCCTTAAAGTTCAAGGTAGTAAGTAGTTGATTAAAAAAAACCTCAAAAAATAATTATAGAGAAAAAAAGACCAACTAGTGTTGATAAGTCTCCTCCTGTTAAATATTAGGATGAATAAGGTTAAGGATATAATAATCAGTTTCGTCAAGAAGAAAGAATTAGATAATTAAAAATGAAACAATAATAATAGGGAAAAATAGATATGGAGAAAAAAGAGAAAGAAAGAGAAAGAGAGAAAGAAAAAGAAAGAGAGTTGATTGAAAAATAAAAGATGCTTGAAAAATAATAACTCTAAGATAAATAAAGAATTCAAAAAGATAAGGCATTAGAAAATAATTAATATTAAAATTAATACTAAGTTGAAGCAAAACCACAAGAAAAATCTCCTTAATTTGGAGGTAAATAATAAAGAGATTCAAGAGTATAAATAAAGCCGAAAAATGATTTATTACAATGTGTCTAACAGAAAAATAAAGATTTAGATCTTATGCTTTAAGAGTTATAAGGATTAGTAATTATAATAATTTATAATTATTTAGATAGGAGGGGATAATAATTTAATAGAGAAGATACCCCATTAAAATGGAAAAGAAAATATTTATGATTATAATGCCCTGCCAGTGACATAGATAGAAGACAGAGAAGATGATGAAGATGAGTCTTGTGATAAAAATGCTAATAAATAAAAATAGGTTGTCAAACCCATCTCTGAGGTAGAAGAAGAATGTTTTGAATTGCTGAATAAGCAAGATTAAAGTAAATGTAACATAATTCTGATCAAAATTGAAAAATTCTTAGGTTAAGAGAAGATGAAAAAGACAATTGACATTTTGCGTAAGGCTGTAAGATATTTACTATACTCCATATTAGTTAGGAAAGATGAGTCTTGATTTGATTGAATAAAACTATGGTCCTAATTATGAAAAACTATTGCCATTTTTGACATTGGAAGAAAGGAAGAAATGTACACCACTTCTTATAACTCACATAATTGCTGAATGTTGAAATAAAGAGATTAGTTATTCAAATTCTTCTTTTTAATTTTAAATATTCGTTATACTATATATATATATATAATTTGGCAGTATATATAATAAAAAAATTCGAGCTTGGCAGTACTCGAAACTGCAACCGCCTGATCCGTAGTCAGGCGCACTACCAATTGTGCTACAAGCCCATGTTATATTATTATTGGTTGATTGAAATATAAACTATGACACTAATAATATTAAAGTATCTTTTTGAATTCTTAATTTTAGTATAGTTTCAAAAATCAATAAAATTTAAATACTAATACACTTGCATTTATTATGAACCTTTGGGATACTTTTCGTCTAGGACATCAAAAATTCTATAATCAGACTTGACTAGGGAATACTTAAAACATATAGATACTTTTATATTCTACTTAAGGTTCCAATTTTGGTGGTCCTTCTTCCTGATATTCAATTTAGACTGCTAAGTTCAAATCCTTCTGAACTTATAGTACTTCTGTAAAGAATTCGGTGACATCATTAATCAACATTGCTTCTACTTTAATTGCAGCCAAGAACGCCAAGTGGTTTGAGATATTATTGATTTTCTTATGCACTCGTAACAACAAAGCTGCAGTAATGGAAATAATGATATTTCCTCTTTCCGATGTGGCTTTTATTGATTGCTATTGCTAATAAATGATGAGATCCCAGGCTCTATACAGAGTTTCTGATGGCAGGACATCAGAATACAGATTGAAGAACAATTCAAATAATTCGTTCTCCACTTCAATTCCATATAGGAACATTTTGTGAAATAGGTCAGGATGCTTTTTGTTGAGATAAACTCTTAATTTAGCACATTGTTCAAGGAATAGTCGGTTTTATAAGGTTTAGTCCTCATATAATGGATAATCAGCCAGAACCTAATTGTGAAAGCCAACTAAAAGCCAGAAGGCTCTGCTTTCGTTAATGAACTCAGAAGGAGTCTATTTAGTTTCATTAGCAAATTCAGTGTAATCATTGTATCTGACATGATAGTAGATTTACATGGCCAACATCTTTTTGGCAAAAGTGAATAGATGATGAATATACATATGGTTTGGGATCAATCCTTAATTTCCTTGATACAACAAGAAACAAATCAGAAGATTCTTTAATTGATAATAGAATTGCTCATTACCAAATCCTTTTCGACTGTCTTCTTGTCTCAAATAGAGGTCAATCTATTAAAGGAGAGTTTTTTTTAAATTTTGTTTAAGTTGAGATAATTTGAAATAGAGAGAAACACTTTCATTCATGCTATCCTCTCTATCAAGACTTACTTTGTAGTTTTAACTCAAAATAGTCTTCATGGGTTCAAAGGATATCTACAATAATTGAAACCATAATTTGTTTCTTAGATAATAGGGAATTCCCATTAAAAAGAGTCCATTAACTAATTCTTGTACTTGGGGATTTTTGATATTGTAGAAGTTCATAGATTCTAAGCGATATGAGACAAGCTCGTATTGTTTGATCTATTATTCCATTAATCCAAAATTGTGACACAAATTCAATATAACCTTTCGAATAAAAACCATTTATAATTAATGCATTTGTTTATTCAGAGTTTCTGGATTCTTTTATTATAAGAATAGGATATAGCTTAACATTTGCATGCTCTATTTCATGCAAATGTTGCTTTCTTCTAATGTGATGAGAATGAATTTCATGATATCCTTATTCATTTTGGGAATTTGTATGGTGCTCAAATAAATGGGATCAGAAAAAGCAAGACTATGTTCAACGATATATTCTAATTCCTCCTCGTAAGATTAGGGATTATGCATCATGATTGATGGTTTTACATGAATATCAATTTCCACATAAATTATGCCCTCCTTGGATTCAGTTTTCAATGAATTGGTTTAGACTAATTTTAAGGGTATCCACATGGATCTTCCTTGCTATGATTGTTGAAGCAATTCTTTGACAATAATTTTGAAAGGAATAGTGGCTGTATCATAGAAAGCATTGACCATGTCCTTAAATTAGATTTAAAAGACATCTTGATTATTGATGTTTGAAATAATGAAAGAGCATGGTTTCCTATCCTATTATTTGGATATGATTTTATTCTCAAAGTTTTATTCCCTCAATAACCAATTATAAAAATGATCTGTTTTTTGTTAACCTAAATAGGCCTCCATAGTTAATTTTGAATCCTATTCTACTGATTATAATTCAACAAATATGGTTGGTTTAATTAAATTGATGTCGACTGCAATATTAATTGATTTGATGAGTATGGTGAACACTAATTCCCTAACCTTTTTAGTGTTTTGTATTTCTTCACTTTTTTCTAGCCAATCTGCCATCATTGGTCTTAACCATTCAGCCAATTCAACATTGAGTACTGATTTGGATCCCAGAAATTAACGCCAATTCATTTTTTTATTTTCATCTTCCTATCTTATTTATTCTAATTTCTTCCTCTCTTCATCAGCCAATTGGTTCATTCTCTCTTCTCTTTTGAAGAATTAAACACTCTTGTTTAACCACTTCTTCTATAATATATTCCTTATAATTTTGACATCAATCTCCATCAAGAATTTGGCTTCTTCTTTGCCTAACTTAGCAGCCTTCTTCCTTTGTTAAATGACATGAATGGAGTAGGTCTCCAATCTTTGTGCAAACTGTAGTAAATAATTCTCTTTTACGAGTGACATTGATTCTTGAATAATAGTGGGTAATTTTTGTATCTTATCCATGGCCATATGGCACTTGAAGTAGTCATAGAATTTTTGACATTCCTCGTCATCCTTGAAATAGATCCACACAGGACCATGTTTAACAAAGTTGAATATGAGTCTTACGAGGAACTTTTGATAACTGACATCCCATTTGAAATCCTTAGTGGCATCTTCAACATGTTAGATATTGAATGTCTTGATGACACCAAAGGTCTTTGTAATCACATTGCCTTTCTTAGATTATCCAAGAGTGGTTTTTTATAATTGACATTATCTTTGAGTCACCGATCCAAAGATGCCCCCTTTCTTGTAACATGGGTAATCAAGAAGTTACTCATCGAGTGAGAGAACATGTTGAGTAGCTTGATGTGGAGGCAGATCTTCTGGATCTTCATCAATATACTTTTGGAGTTGTTCTGTAATCTTTTGACGAGCATTTCCAACTTATATTGATCTTTCTTCATGCAATTTTATGACCTCGAAAGCACCGACTATATTTTCTATATACTTATCTTCCTAATACAACCAATTTTTGGTGATTTCTTTCTTATAACAATTCATTTAATTATATATAATGCAAGTGTCCAAAAAAGGTCAATAGTAATCATTTGCAGAATATGTTAAATAAATAACTAGTTAATCCGTTAGTAGATTGCAGCAAACATCGACAAAACAATTTCGATCAACCAATCTTCCTCAACTGCTCAGCGACATGGATCGATAGCCATACATGATGTCGACTTTGGACCAGGCCAAATTCCCTAAGGTGGTCAAGATGGGCAAGACGTCGTATTTGAATTACAGTTCGAGTGAGTAGAAAAATTTTGAAGAGATGGCATCCAAATTCGTTAGGCAGTTAGAATAAGACACAATAAGAATAGATAAGGAGACACCAAGAATCAATTTAATGCGCTTTTAGTTTAACATATAGAAGTCAAGGAGGCATCTGTAAAGAAGGAGTCCAATGCCATGCTGATTTGATATGATACTTTATTAGTCACTTATATAAACAATTTATCAGAGAATTGTAATCTTTTTTGAAGGCTCATCGTCGAAATGACTAGCCAAGTGAGATTTCATCATAAATATATTTATTTTAATTAAATTATTTAAATTAATAAACACCGGTATGACAGATTTCGCATTGACAACTTTCAGTAGTAAAGGAAAACTATTATAAATCGAATATGCTCTCAATGCTGTGGCAAAGGGAGACACCGCCATAGGAATCAAAGCGAAAAATGGTGTTGTTCTGGTGGTTGAAAAGAAGCAATCATCAATTTTGGTTGAAGAATCCAGTGTTCAAAAGGTTTCCCTATTGACAGATAATATTGCAGCCACCTATGCAGGATTGGGTCCAGATTTTAGAGTGCTGTCATAACAAGCAAGAAAATTGGTGAAAAAGTATGATCTCAAATACCAGGAGGAAATATTCGTACAAACATTGAGCAGAGAATTAGCAGAAGTACATAAAAAGCATTCTAAATTAGGATGTGTAAGTGGCAACCCAAAGAGGAGGTATTAGACCATTTGGAGTCTCCATTCTCATTGCAGGGTACGACGAGGAGGGTCCTCATCTCGTTTAACTCGATCCAAGTGGAGCCTATTATAGTTGGAAGGCCACTGCCATTGGAAAGCAAGCCAAGAATGCGAAGGCCTTTTTGGAGAAGAGATACAATGCAGATATGGAGATTGAGGATGCCATAAACACAGCGTTGTTGACTTTGAAAGAGGGATTTGAAGGTAAAGGTCACATAGTAACTTGAATAGGATAGATCACCCCTACGAATATCGAAGTGGGAGTGATAAGAGATGACCATGTGTTTAGAATATTGCCTCCATCGTAGGTGAAGGATTATTTGGAAGAGTTAGAATGAAAATATATATAATTATTAATATGAATTTTCAAGAATAACTTTAGTAAATTATATAGGGGATATTCTCTCAAAATAATTAGAGTAGAAAATAAGGGGAAGATCGGTTGGCTTAACTAAGAGAGGCTTAACCAAATGAATTTGTAATGCAAATGCTCAATCTTTGTAGACACGAGGAATTAAAAATCAGACAATTTGCTCCAGTTTACTTGCGATATAGTCTGTCCAAGTTTGCTCCAAAGAGTCACAAGAATGTTTGGAATTAATTGATATCAGAAACCAAAGAAACTGTAAAGTTGCATCTCTTCTAATTTATTGAAGTGGAAATGAGTCATATAGTCAGAAACTAATTGTGCGATACAATAGGTGAAATAGGGGGATCCTTGTACGAGGATGACAGCCATAATGAATGGCATAATTTGCTACCAACCTTATGGCAGATGTTTTTGTCACCAAATAATGATATAATAGAGTGCGGATTCAAAATCCTTGGGAATCTCTTTATGTATTCAATTGATCAATTCGATAAACATTACCAGGATCTTCATACATTGTTTGTTTAAGGATTAGCCAGTCCGTAAATTAAAATTAAATCGTCTACCATGCATGCTCTCGGTAATTATGTTAAATATGCATTGCCTGCTCAATATAAGATATTTTAAGACTTGATCTCAAATATGATGAAGTCTGCACTCGATATCACAATATAAGATCAATCTTTAGGAGAGGGAATCATGGAAGTGTTCTCAAACATAGTGGATTCTAAACCTAAGTTTTTGAGAAAACAGTTCAATATCTTCTTTAATGGTATATATTGCATGTTCAGAGAATCCCAAATTGACAATGGTGTTAAACGAATAGGAACTGAAACTTTATTGAGTATGGTTGAGAAATTTCCAGGATTGTTTAAATTTGAAAAAATCTATTTAATGTAAGTAGTTGAGATGATATTCTATCATATGATTCAAATAAGTTCCACAATCACCGATGAATGGATGAAGCCTCCAGAAGGATTTAACGATGATATAGAATAGGATGAAGACTGTGAGACTACAAGATTTGGAATGTCGAGTATAGATAGACTAATAGAATCATTAGGCAGAAAGGAAATGTTACCTTTATTAAATCCAATTGTAAGTGAGTTGTTAAGACATTAAGATTGGAGATGTAAACATGCTGCTATAATGGCTTTATCTCAAGTAGGTGAATACATAGACTAAGTTACTGATATCAAATCAACTATAGAATTGATATTGCCAATGTTGAATGATAGTAATTCAATGATTAGATATGCTGTATGTCATGCAATTGGATAGATTGCTGATGATATGAAACCGAAGTTCCAAGAATCTTATTTGCACATTGTAGTGCCGTAATTTTTGAACCGTTTAACTCTTGAAGATGTGCCAAGAGTAAACTCCCATATTTTGGCTGCTCTTACCAATTTTGTGGAGGGTACTGAAAAAGGCATCGAGGCCTATTTACCTAATTTAATTCAGTTGTCAATTAAATTTTTGAACATAGGCATTTCTATTGAGAAAGAAAATGCCATTAGCGTTATTGCAGCCACAGCAGAATCAAGTAAATTGTTCTTTATCCCCTACGTGAATGAATTATTACCATTGTTATTCTAAATATTTTCAACTCATCAAACCAAACAGTACAGATAGTTGAAAGGTTAGGCTATTGAAACAATCACCTTAATAGCTTCGGCAGTTGGAGAGTAAGTGTTTCTACCTTTCTTATAATAGACAGTTTAGATTCTAATTCAAGTATAAACTAGTAATTTGGAAGCCATTGACCCGTAAAAGTCTTATGTACTTTCAGGATGGCAGAGGCTGGCTTTAGTTTGCCCTTAGCAATTAGCCAAATACCTGGGTGAAATTGTGCCTTCCTTATTCAAACTAATCTAATAGGTGTTTAACATCAACACCACAGAATCAAACAAAAAGAAAGAATTGCTTACTTATGATAATGAGGAAGCCGAAGTTGCAATACATATGTTATCAGTCTTTATTGAGGAACTAAAACAGTCATTCTTTCCTTTTGTGGAGAAGTGCATAGAATTGATTGTGCCCTTGTCCTAATTCAACTCTGATGAGACCATTAGAAGTGCTGCTTGCAAGTGTTTGGTCAGTTTGGTCAAGGTTGTAAAGGAAACCAACAACTCATAGTAATTGATGAATGGGGCTAAGTATTTTCTTGGTATCATTTTGGAAGCTGCTTTTAAAGAATCTGATCCATCTGTGATTATTGAATAGATTGATTGTATTAAACAAATCATAGATATTGTATCCTCACCTTTTATGACAACAGAGGAAGTCTCAGAGCTATCTGATAAATTATTTAAATTATTGTTAGAATCGGATAAGCGAAGGGCTTAGAACGAGAATTTGGCTAAGGAAGAAGATGTGGATGAGGATGAAAAGAACGCTATAAAGGAGTAGACGGAAACTGAAGAGAATCTGCATGGAAAGATTGCTGAATGCATTGGTTCATTATTTGAATCTCATAAGGAGTTGGTCTTACCTCTCTCTGAAGTTATTTGCAATCAAATATTACAAAAGGTGCTTGATTAGCCCAAATTTGTTAAGATGCATCAATTTGGACTCTCACTTTTAGATTACATCGTAGAATATTTTGGATTTCCTTATATCCAAAAACATTTCATTGATTTTGCTTAAGTCTTAACTATCTATGCAGTTGATCCGATATGCTCAGTCAGATAGGCAGCTGTATATGGAATAGGTGTAATGGCTACAAACACTCCTTAAGAGTTGTATTTATAAGTCTCGCAATCCCTAATAAAAGCAGTGGTCGATTCGTTGAAAGCACAGAAAAATGAAGATGAAAATGAAAAATAATTTGGATTAGCAAGAGACCATTCAATCTCTGCTTTGGGTAAAATCCTTAAATCTCAACCGCAATCATTGGGATAAGATTTAGTTTGGGGTTTTGAAACTTGGTTATATCTATTGCCTTTGCAATACGATAAAAGATAGGCACACTTCTAGCATAATCTATTGGCTGAATTCATAATATAAAAGGGAGGATACTTCGTTAATGGTAAATCTGAAAATGCATTTCATGTATTGTTTATTCCAATATCATTTAGATTCTCAAAGTACTTGCTAATTGTTATAAATCAAAGTGGTCTACAATTTCATTAGATTCATAAATAGTTAATGCGCTTAGGGTCTTTGAATAGTTAGACTCAGTGAAGGTCTTTCTGCAATAAATATTTTTAAAATTGAGTCCTGAAGATCAGAAGAAATTATTAGAAATACCTAAATGATGACTAGCTTTTTTGTGTATTTGTTGATATTAATAACATTTATATTAAATGAATTCATTTCTTCCCTCCCTCATCTGGTAACTCAGCCTACCAATTAGTAAGATTATCGTTAATCAATTGCAGTATTGTGGTCACATCCTTGTATTGGTCTTCCTCCATGTCATCCAACTCTTTAATTGCCTTTACATATAATTTAGGAATGAATACATCATCTTTTACAGTTTTAGCCAATTCGCATGCTTTGGCTACATCACTCATGATTTCGTAACAAAAGACAGAATAGTTGAGAGTAACTCCCAATCTTAATAGATTAGTTTTTGGAAACTTGTCCTTGTCGATCAATTCCAATGCAGTTTGATAGGCTTACTGAGCCTATTGAATTGCCTTCTCCTAAGCTTTTTATTATGAATATTCTGCAATGTATCGATTGTAATCTCCTTTCATTTTGTGATAAAATACTCTCGCCTCAGTGTTGGTTGTCTTTTTCAATAGAGTGTGATCTATCAGCTACAAAACCTCATTGCAATATTAATCCAATTCCTTCTCCACTCTTGCCTTGTAATATTGGAGTACCTCTTAATACTTCACTATCTAACACTTATGCACTTTATTGTTACCTTCTACTTCTCCTTAATCTCATAGGCAGTAATTGCTCTCCAAGCAGTTCTCCTCTGTCCCACTGTGTTCTTGTATGCTATAGAGAGTAGATTTCTCTCCTCATTATTCAAATCCTTAGTGATCTCTGCTACCTTCTTCATATTCTCTACCTACTCTTGAAATTTGTGATTACCATGTCTTCCCATCTCTCAGTCTGTTCTGCCAATCTGGCCATGTAGGTGTGTTCATCTCTCTTATCCGACATTATAAATTATTTAGATATATTATTTAATTTCTGAGTCTCTGGGAGATGGAAAAGAGAATTAATTCCAAATTAAATTAAAATGCTTTAATAAGAACCCATAATAATTCTCAACAATCATTTCACTTTTTCTTGGCCATACTGCTTGGAAAACGAAGTTCTAATGGGATAATAAGAATGTTATACAGTTCACCGCTGCTTGTTTAACTAAATTTTATTGTAATGGCTGAGGCTTTTGAATTTGTTATTTAGATTAGGAGGTTGGTCTTTATTTATTTTGGATCTAAGAATGAGTATTAATATTACTTTTGGTAAAGTGGGGACTCCATTGGAAATGGATGATTTAGGTTTGACTTATTAGACAACTCTTTTTGTACTTTACAATATTGGTTATTACTATTATTATTATTATTATTATTGTATTTGTTTTTTCTCATATATCTTTTTGTCCATGCTTAAACTGATATCACCTTCGTTAGTATCTTCTTAGACAAAATTCTTGTCCTCATCTGTGTTGTCTCCCTCATCAAATCCCTCAGGCACTTCCTCATCCTCATAAACCCATTCGTACTCAGAGTCTTCCTGTTACTCAATTTGTTCGCCTTCCTCATATTCTTCATATTCCTCCTCTTCTTCTGCTTCTTCTTCTCCATTCTCAAGTTCATCTTCTTCAGCATCTTCGTCGTCACATTCAAATTCCTCTTCATCATCTTCTTCCTCTTCAAAATCAAACAATCCATCGACATAAAATTTATGTGTATGTCTTACGATATCCCATATTTGATTGTAAAAATAACATAAACCGATTCACGCTCCTATCAGATGGATTGATCTTCAGAACTACAGTGACAATTGAATTTACTTTCTTTGCCAATCGAATAGGCTTCTTCGTACTAGTGTTACTGCACAGCCAGCAAGAACTTAAAACTCATAGATTTATCCTCCATCATTTCCTCGATAGTGTTATCCATTTTTTAATTTATATATATATTTAATATTTAAATTTTGCTTCTCACACAACTTTCTATAGCAAAGCCCAAATTTTATTTGATAATTGCACGTCTGGATGATACAGAGCCAAGACAAACAATAGACACATGGTATCGAAGCAGGGGATGAAAGAAAAGATCCACATAATCCAGCCTTGGAAGGTCAAGTAGGTCGAAAATATGATGAAATAAGGAAGGCACGTGTAAATCTCACCTAAGATAAGTTGGATCACATTCTACCAGTGGTTTGGTATTTATTGATTGCTTACAAGGAGGGAATCAGGGCTCCAACCAAGCCAGTCACAACTCTGGGTGCAATGCCCGTAAATGTGCACAGGATTGAGAGGATTAGGGATCCAAAGGCGACGTGAGACAACTTGAGTACGGGCTATAGATTGAGAGGAGGTGTGTACGTTTGGGAAATATTTCTTGAGTGGTTCATATTCGTCCAATTCGGATATGCGCAACTTGGCGATGATGGGTTCCACTTATTGCATTAATATTTATATTAATTTATTATATAATTAGTAAGTTTCCTGGATAATGAGGGGAGGCCCTAGGAAGTAAATTAAATTTGATCTAGTTACTGCGATTTTGCAACTCTAGAGATTTCCATTCTCTACCTGTCATTAATAATTCAATAGACCATTAATATTTGGGTTTTGGATAGTTATTATTAAATTTACTTATAATACATAATAATGAATCGCACCTCTGTTAAAAATTAAAATGAAACAATGTTCTTTCTATCAATGATCAATTTGATTTTTGGGATTATAAAGTAAGAGATGTTCACAATGATATCGAATTCCATACTTTTTGCTTTGATGCTCTGTAAGTAAACTTAATATACCAAGGTTACTTTGGGTACAAGTACAAGAGCCATAGAAAGCATCCCATTTTTGAACAAGTCATTCTCATTTATTATTGCTGTTATCAATTGGTTTTGAGAGGAGTGCCAGCAATTTGGTTTAACATCTTTTCAATCGCCTTGGACCAACATCTGGGCCTATTCGTAACTCTCGTACTCATAATCGCATTTACATGTGCGCAAGTGCAACCCATGGTGGAGATTAGTACACTCTAAGCGGTTTTAGAATAGTTGATTCTGATTGTCCTGTTCCTCTACAACAGGTACAACTTCACGAGTCTCAAACAGCAAACTCAAGACAGAATACTCAAATAGATAATGAAGAATGTGAGGTATTACGCATTTGATTAGTACCAAAATGAAATTGATGGAGATTAGTTATTATAATCAGATTAGATCTTAAATTCAAATGCCACCTTGTTTTCTTGTCGTTCTGAAAATCAGAAACTATAACAACAAATAAGGAAGGATCTCAAAATCAAATGTTACACCATATTACAAATAGACATAGTCCAAGAATCCCAGATTCTATCATCCAAACCTTCCGTTTTTGAAACATTGGCTGGATTTCTTGAATTCTATTAAAAGGAGAAGCATAAAATGAAAAACCAGGTAATCTTGGCAACGGAATTCGATGAAGTAACAGGACTAAAGCAGTCATATCGATTATACATAGAATAATTTAAATAGCTGCAAAGACTTTATACTTTGGTTGCACTGGTTAATTTGGATGATAAAATACCTTCAAAGCAAAACAAGAACATAGACAAGTTCAAGATGAGTTTGTCCAAGATATTCACTCACAAATTGAAAACTCCCTTGAACACCACTCTTGGGTTCCTGTAGGCCATAGTCCAAGAGAACAACACAATCGATGAATAAGTGAAGAATAGTTTTCTGAAGCCTGCCTTCATCAATTCCAAAATACAATACTATTATGTTTAGGACATCTTAGATTACGTGAATTCGGCCAAGTTGGTTACGTACAAAGTGAGCAAGGTTAATTTGCATAAGACTTTGCAATTGATCTATGATATGATTGAATTGCAATGCAGAGCCAAGCAGATCAAAATCATCTTCACCATCAATTCCAAGCCCTTCGATGCCAATGAAAAGTACTCTATTCTCTCTTATTGTAGACCCATCTATTTAACTACCGATTCATTAAAATTGGAACGGATCCTTTTCAATCTATTGAACAAATCCTATAGACACACACAAATCATGGGCAAGATCCAATTGAATGTGGATGTGTTGTCTGAAGAAAATCAAATATAATTTAAAATCAATGACAATGTCTAGGGGTTCAATCAAGAACAATTTGAATAAATCAACAATTTTGCTAGATTACAGAATAAATGCATTCATGGATTCGGCAATTCAATCATGAAAAGATAGACCTTCAAATTTAGTCTCACACTCTAAATCACGAACAGGTTAATTTATTTTCTAAGTGACTTTCAGTGTTCCTTACAAATAAACCACGATTTAGAAGAAGGGGCTATTTATCAATTCTTCATCAGTCTCAACTGTCAACAAGTAAATTTCCACCAGTCTTTCGAGATTAGTTAAAAGTATTCCAGTTTCTAAAAAAGGAGTTCAGGTTCACTTAAATAACATATACCCAATCATATTTCGCTATTTACAAAAAGTTAAAATTAAATATCGTATTAATTGATATTATTTTATAAGTAGGGATAAGGTTCTGGAGGAATATGAGATAGAAGATGAACCTCTTGCAAATAAGCCACTCTAATTAAGTACACAAATGGCTTAGAACTCTCCCTAAAGTGCTTTATTTTAAAGTCATCCAATCTAGTAAAGTGTCTTTCCCCTTAAAAAGTCAGTGTTTCAAAAGGAAATCAACGACAAATCCCTCACCATTTCAGTGGCATTTGACCATTCCTTCAACGTGAAACGCGTGGCAGATTCCATAGACATTAGACAAGACATGAATCAAACCATAATGCTGGTTGATGATGAGCCATTCAATCATGACACTCTAAAATTGATGCTCAAGAGTTTGGGATTCAAAAATTTCATCAGTGCCTATCATGGTTAACAGTGTATAGAGTTGGTGAAGAAACATTACCGGTCTATCAAAATCATATTCATGGATCTAGACATGCCAATAATGGGGGGAGTGAGAGTAAATAATACATCCTCAATTTAGGCTACCTAAATTCTTATGTAATAAATGCAGGATGGGGAGATCGATTACATCCCAATTGTTGCCTGTACTGCCCATGATGACAAGGATACACAGCAGGAATGTTTTATGGCAGGCATGCTTTGCATAATTGCTAAACCTGTTTTTATTAGAAGTCTACAAGAAACGTTCTTGAGAATTAATGAGATCAAAGTTAAATCTTAAAACCTTATCTTTGGATCCAAAGGGATCACTTCAAGTATTAAATGATAAAATTATGATTCTCGTATTATATTTTGAATATATATATATATTTTATTCAAGTGACAAATAATAATAATTAAATTATCATTAAGTATAAACTAAACAGATTTTATAATTATTCAATAACATCAAAATTGTATTGGTAGGATCAAAAAGTTCGGTTACATCTATTTTAAACAGAGAAAAATTGCTTAGTTAATTATTAATATTATCTAAAATGATTAAATCAAGAATAAAATTCCATTCTATGTTGGGAGTAATGATTTTATCTGACCTCATTAAAGGTCTAATCGATAAGCACATTTCCATCCTAGTTTGGATTTCCTTGTTGCTCGCAATACAAATTGGTAAGAATTCTTAAATTGATAGTCAGCACAACTTGTATTGATCGCCAGATTTAATAAATTCGACCTATCATCCTACTTTATTTTAATCTACTACAGCGTATTTCAGCTCTTGCACTTTGGAACATAGTCCATTTGGTTTTTGTTGTGTCTTATAGAAATTAATTAAACCGAAAAATAAAAAATACACCTCTTTAATAAAATCTTGTAAGTTACAACTAGCATCATTGTGTATTCACTTTCGTATCGAGGTAATACAGAGTATTCAGAATTTCAATCCATTATTTATTGTCTGGCATTTCTATTCTATCAACTTCTGAAGGACGTTGGTCAATTTTCTAAGTTTGAAGTAGCTGAAAATGAAATACTACAAGAGTTGAAGAAACAGATCATCATTAAAATATTTGATCAAAATTACTAGGACATTACACCCAACAATTCGCCACAATTGGAAAGCAATCCTTATGTTTTGATGACCCAAAATACATAAATGGACGATAATCAACAATTCTACATTAAATGCTATTCAGACAAGGACTTTGCAGGCAGTCCTGATCAAAATCAAAATAATAACAAACAGATAGTATTCCAAGATTGCATATCCTTATTGAAGTTCATTAACAATTAAGATTCATTTGTGAGTTCAGAATAGAATCACTTTATCGCCTCATCAATTGACATGCAAAAGAACACTAAATAAAAGTTCAGAGTGATGCACAAGAGAGTAAGTTTAGGGAATACGTAAATTTTAGCTTTTTGGAAGATCGATTCCTTCACTGTTAAGCAAACTAAACAAAAATTTTCTTAATTTAAAAAGTAATTTACTGATCTCTTTGCTCATAAACTTAAAACTCCACTGAATGCAACCTTAGGATTCCTCTCCTCAGCCTACAATAGTGCTGATGTAGATAGTAACACTAAATCTCATTTTATTAAGCCTGCTTACATTAACTCAAAATTGCAATATTTTTAAATTTCAGATTTATTGGAATTCCTAAGTCCCTAAATAGACAAGATCACAATACAACAAACCAAAATAAATATGAGAACTTTCCTACTATCTTTAACCGAATTGATTGAATCTCAATGCATTAATAAAAGAATCTTGTTTCAAGTCTTTGTAGAACAGGTTCCATTGTAATAAATTGACAAGTATGGATATTCACATAATGATTAGCTTTTACATAAATTCAGATGATCTCAAATTGGAACGAGTGTTATATAATATTTTAAATCAATCATATAGACATACACCTTCTGGTGGTTAAATTACTCTTAGTTTAAGTATAAACAAGGAAAATACAGAAATGGATTTTGTCATTGATGGAAGTGGATGTGGTTTTAGTGATGAAGACATTGAGAATATTAATATGTGGATCAAATCTCAATCTGATTTCAATTTCAAAAAGAAGCACTTAGTCATCAAAAAAGAATTAAGGATGTCCTTAGAAATCACCAATAATCTTATTAACATTTTAAGTTCTCAAGAATAGAATTTAGAAGTAGCATAATCTGAAATGGGAACAGAATTTAAATTCAAAATTAACATAAAAGAGAACAAGGCTACCGAAAGTTTGCAAGAAATCTAATCCGTTGGTTTGATGCTCAAACAGAGAAGTGTAAGAAACATGAAAAGTTCTTAAAACAACAACGGAATGGCAAAATCCATCTTCTCCTCTCCAGATCCATAGTTACAGTTGAATTCATAGACAGTGCTTGATGAACCTCGAGCCAAATAGCCATTGACTAATAAGGTTAAATTTGGTAAATGGCAAAAGTAACACAAGGAATTGAAACGAGCTCGTTCTTCATTGTTGAATAAAAACTTGATGGATACTGACAAATCAATTTTGATTGTAGATGATGAACCCTTCAATCATGACACTTTGATTTTGATGATGAAGAGCATGGGGTATAAGTATTTCTTGAAAGCCTTTAATGGGCAGTAGGCCATAGACATGGTTTAGTAGAATGAGTTTGATATTTGTTTGATTCTTATGGACTTGGATATGCCAATTATGGGAGGAATTGAGGTATCTGAAATTTCATTTCTAAATTAGGCCACAAAAATATTAGTTTAAATGATGATTGATTTAGAATTAGCCTACATTCCAATAATAGGTTGCACAGCTCACGATGATAAGGAAACTTTGGAATAATGCACAGAGGTTGGCATGCTTCATGTAGTGTTGAAACCAGTCTTTGTGAAAACGTTGAGGGAAGCATTTTAGTATATAGTATTTAGCGAAGAGGTTAAAAAGCGATCATAATATCTTTTACCTTCTTAATTGTAAATTTGATTGGCTTGCACTAATAACAACTATTCCATAAATTTTTATAATTAACAAATTGCACAAATTGTTATTTTCTATTATATATTTTAAAGTAAATGCAAACTTCATTAACCTACTCATTAGGATTAAAAAATGATTCCAATTATTAGTTTCTCACGAAGCACACTCTTGCCAAAAGGAAAGAATTGTCGGATAAATATAACAATGGCTAATAAGTTGCTGTAATTTGCGAACCACATCGTTTATATAGATAAGCATGGGCAGGTGCTGGCCCTCAACTTCCAACGTAAGTCTGTGATCTTATAAATCAATAGATTGGTGTGTGTGTTTAGCAAAAAGGATCCAGTCTCTTCTATTTTCCAGACTTTAAAAGCCAAACTCAAAATCAACTAAGAGACTACATTATATTTACTTTGCAATAATTACATTTTGTAATATGGTATCTTATTCAAATCGATTTAAGAATAATCCATTGGATAGGTCTACGATAAATATAAGAATCACGATGATGGACTTTTATACATCAAATATAGTTCTTAAGAAACTTTCGGAAACTGATTGATATTATTAATAATATGACATTTGAGTATATTGATAATCAGCTCTGCTTAACATAAATTGGACTGTCAGCTGGTTCTTTGATTCCAACAATAAAGTATTTAGTTTGATGGATTCTTAAAGTTCTTCCTGGATGTCTGATCCTGCTGAAGAAGACTCCTCAAAACTGGCTTTTCTACTAGAATTAATTTCTTTTGGAGGAGAGCGAAAATTCGTTCTTTACATTTAAATAAATTTTAATCTAATTGCCGGTTTTGGTTGAAAATACTATAGTCCCAGACGAGCTCCGCTTTCCTCTTGAGAGAATGGAGATATCAAGTATTCCTAGTTTGGATCTTCCTTAATCTTCAAACCTTTTACATATTCCATAAATATATACTGTTGAATAGGCAGACCAAAAATTTATCGATTTTTTAATATCAGATATCTTTATCCTGATCACTGACAGAATACAAAGGCAAATTGCCTGATGCAAATAAATGAGCATGTATCCCAAAGATTCCAAGTCATCCCTTCTAGATTGTTCTATGTTTTTCAAAGAATTTGTGGATTCAAATCGAGCAGTTCCTATCATCCCTTTATTTTGTTTGTAATAGATGTGATGACCATAATCTGATATTTTTAGAAGTCCATAATCAATCAGATTGATCATCCCCTCCTGCATAACAAAATTCTCAGGTTTTATGTCTCGATGCATTACTCCTAATGAATAGAGCTCCTTTAGAATTTTGACGATTTCCAATCCGATCGGCAAGATTTAATTCAAATTTCCCTTCTTTTGGCGATACTGTTCCAAGTTTTCTCCCATGAGATTCTAACAAAGTAGGTATTATGTTGATCAGAACCAGATGCAAATAACTATGTAAATTCTTAATGGTTTTATTATTTTAAGACCTCTTTTGCCTTTCAGGATTTGGAGGATTTGTATTTCTCAGTACAATAATTTTTTTTCCTTCCTCATAGAATTTTTGACCATTCGAAATGTGTTGGACCTTCCAAATGTAATCGAAAGCACTATTTTCTTGATGATTGGCATTATTACTCTTCGCCTAACTTATCGAAGAATTGATAGGAGGAGAAGGCAGGCTACTTGATTGATCTTTTCATGATGAATGAATTTATATTATATAATCAATTACTTAATATATGGTATTTTGATTATGGTCGATTTCAAATTAAAAATCCTGAAAAATGCTGAACTGAACAAAGAGCATCCGAATTAAAAATTAGAGTGAAAACCCATATAAAATTTGCTTAATATTTTAGGGAAATTAAAGAATTAATTAAGGACAACTATTAATCATTCCTGAGGTTTTGTTGTACATGCATTGTTATAACAATTGGGTAGGAATGGGACATTATTTGATGTTTGATTTGTCGCTGTTGAATTCTTGTAATAATTTAACAAGCTACCCAGAGAACTCACAATATCCTTTTTATAATATATATATATATAGATAGATATTAATTATCATTTTTGTTTTATTCCTCTTTGTTTACTTCGCAAAGAATATAATTCCTCTAATTATTAAAAGAAATTATCAGAATAGTTCTTAATAACTCCAGCCAAATCCAACACAAACTAGGCCAACATCACCTAATTCTGATACACAATCCTGCTCTCCTGCGCTTGAACCTTGGAGAGCACGAATATCATGGTTTGACTCACGTGTCTATGACACTCATCGACATTTTCACCCATCTGAAAAATTCCTTCCGGATTCTCTTCCTCATTGATGGAGTTCACATCCACATTGCGTTGACTGATCTAGGCATTCCTCGCACTCATCGTCAAATATCTGGGACTGATGGACGGTTTCTACCCATTCATCCTGGGAGTAGTAGAGTCAGGAAGAACATAGCGTTCATTTTTAATTTGATAGAGAACAATCGTACTCCTAACATCTATCTTTGTGATATCGAGTTCAAATTGCTTAGCCATTTTGTTCATGCTGGTGTGGAATTCTCTTATATGCATTTTGACTTCTGGGTTCTTGACTTCCTTCATGAACTTCAAATTCTCACAAATCCTCATCTGACCTTGATCAAAGAGCAAACTATCATATGTCCACGGACCTGCCCCAATCTTGGTAAATACAATTTAATTGTCTTCAATACTAATTAAGTACCATTTGCCATCCATTTAATGTAACAACTTGAAAAATGAGCAATCCGGCAATAATTAATAAGTGAAGTAATTCTCTATCAAGTAGAGAATTTAAAAGAAATATTTAATATTCGGTTTTGGAAACTTCAATATGCCCATCAAGGAGAACAGTATCTTGCTCTCGACTTTAAATTTACTCTAAAACTTGAGTTCTTTGATCAATTCAAACTTCTAGCCGTATTCCGTCTTGAAGTATTGTTCCTCCTATTATTTGATATACATTTCACTAGTGTCTCTCAAAACCGCATTCTAGATAAGGAGATCATGATTGGAAATATTGACATGTTTCCGTTTGAACATTTCGTCTTTCTTAATTTCATTTCTAATGTGAACCACATACTCAGTAGTTACATTATAGATGTTATGAGACTCCTTAATGAATTTCATTTCCAAGAACTCTTAATAGTCAATAAAGTAGTCGCAATACAATTTCTATATTTCAAGCAATTCATCCTCAATAATTTACGCCAGATCTCCTTGAGGTTTCAACTTACGGATCACTTGATTTGGATTGATTCCTACCCTCAACACTTTATTGTATATCTGGGTTTCTATTTGAAAGTCCAACTCAATAGGAATTTCCTACTTCTCATCCTAATGCGCTCTCATACCCACACTTCTTGGTCTAAACTCCAAGATGTCAGGATTATCATCATTTAGAATGGCAGTTTTCTTCTGCAATTGAATAGCATTGCTTAATTGAGTTCCATTTCGAATGTCATACTCTGTGCCCATACTACTACCTAAGAGTGCTTCATCTTAAAAATTAAGTTGCAAGGCTACTCTCTCTTCAGGTTTGAATTACTCCATTTCTTATTCAAACAGAGTCTTAGAAACAACTGTGAATACTTCCCAAACTAATCCTCCAATCAGTGCTAATAAGAAGATAGAAAGAAAAACAAATGAACCAACAAATATCATTGGAGTCACCAGATTCTTTGTGTCAAATGCGAGTTCAAAGACTAATTGTCCCCATGAGGATGCTGTGAACACCTGTAACATCATTAAGTAGGATCCTCCCATAGAATTAAAATCAGCATATTTGCATTGTCCCCACAAAAATCGGAACTCGTTTGGATCACATGAGTTGTTTGAGAATGGGTTGTCATCATCAGTTGTGATTCCTCCATATATGTATATTCCTATACAAGCATATGTGAAAAAGACAATTTACACTGGCAAGATCAATCGTAAAATCAGAGGTACGCAAATGATGATCTTATACAATAGGTTTTTAACATGAGCGAATATTTCCAATCCTCTCAACAAGTACCCCACCAATTTAATGGATCTGAAGGCTCTAAACAACCTAAATACCTTCTAGATTTTGGCAATCCTCAAAATTCTATTTGCCTTTATAGATTGAACTATGTTTCCAGTCACAAAACTGAAGAGAATGTAATCGAACAGTATCTGCAACAGGATCAATGTGATATCGAAAACATTCCTAAGAATATAATCAACTTAAATACCAACCATCTACAAAAAAGTCGTATATGCCCAAACCTATAATCTTGATCAGACATTCGAAAATGAAAATGCCCAAGAATACAGTGTCAATAGTATCGAATATGGCCAGCACTTCTAAATTCTCTATAAAGAATGCGGATATGATCAAACAACAGTTGACTATGGTCACAAGGAACATGAAAAAACCGAATGTCTTGCATATATTATGTTGATATTACATTAGATTCGATAAATTTCTTTAATCCATATTTGTTGAGGAAGTTTCTTAGCGATTCCCAACATTTGAGTGGTTTTGCTCTTGGCAATGAGATTTTCTTACTATTCTGTAAGACGTAGAGTAATTGATTAAACTCGTCGAATTAAATCTTATCACTATTTGATAATTGTAAATTACTTGAAATCTTTGTCGATTTCCGAGAAGATGATCTTCACTTAGTCATCTGTCAATTAACCTCGATAAAAGGTTTTCAGGAATTTCTTAAATTGATTTTCAGTCAAAAATCCAGCATCATTTGAATCCAATGAGATGAAACTCGCCATCATAGCTGATTTCTATTTGATGATGTCTTGGATGGCAATCTACATTCTGTGTCTTCGAAACCCTTCGTAGACAACAGCCAAGGGAATAGGTTAGAATAGGAACAAAAAGAGAATTATGTAGATGACAAAATAGAGAGCATAAAAAGTGCCTTAAAATATTGGAGGAATCATAATGTCGGGGTAGAAATCAAGAGTGGCAGCCATGAATAACATATTGAACAATTTGAAGAAATCCCCGTAATCTTGAGTTTCTAAATCCACAGTGTCCAATTATCCAATCAGATTTATTCCAATAAAAGCAAATGTTGAAATGATTATCACGTAGAGTAAAAATAACAAGAGCAAATCTTTACTGGCTTTGGCTATTCCCTTTAAATTTCTTCGCAGATCCTTCGAAAAAAAGATCATCAACGCTGGTCTAATTAATCTACTGAATCTGATCTGAGAATCATCGATCTTCGAATTTATATAATCTGTGAGACACACTAAGAAGAACAACATCTTCATCATCCTTTTGGTATTGAACTGAAATCCCCCATCATTTTTTTTGGTAGCCAACAAAACCAAAGTTATTAAGAAGTCAATCCCAAGGAATATTAATATGAACAATTCTACATTCCTGACATCAGGTGCCTCGTAGAAATCTGATTCAGGATATGGTTTCTCAAAGAAAGCCAGGATCTGATAGAGGATCGTCAATGTCAAAAGGTATCCACTCCAAATTCGGCTATTCTCAATGATCCAAAGGCATTTTAAAATTACCTTATCAGCCAAATCGATATCATTTCGAATAGTTCTCAAGTAATAAGCATCATATATGTGTCTTTCTGCTTTGAGTTATTTGTCATCAGAAGGCATATGTTTAACAATCTTTTAGATTTGTGCCACAAGCATGTCATTCTTTTCCTGTAACCTTGTGTCCAATTTCGTGAGACTAATAGCATTCTGCTATTTAAAGATTGCTGATCTCCTGGGATTGTGTGGTCTATGTTGAATATTTTCACACAACTAAGGAGATTGAATGTCTTCTTATTTCATTATTTGTTTTATAATAATGTCTTTCAATAATCAAGTATTTCTTCACAAATCACTTCATCATCATCTATATCGTAGCAACATATCTGTAGAATCATGAAAGCCGTCAATATCAACACGAAAAGTAGAGCAACAGTCAACTCATAACATTGCTCCTTCACCATCAATATGAAAGAACCAAAAAAGAAAAATCTAATTGATTAGCCCAATTTCCTTACGCCATTGCAATCATTACTTCAGAATGCTTCACCTTTTTGTGAAAAAGACTCGAATGAGGCTGTTGTTTTTCTGATTGTAAGCAAAAAACGACTAAAAATACCAATCTCACAGCCGCTGCAATTAAAAATGCCACTCCGCAAAAGTAAGTCAATGGCAGAGTCATCGTGCATTAATAGTAATACGGATTTGACTTGCTAGTTCAAATTACCAATTTACCCTTCTATGTAATAATTTGTTTGCAAAAGCACATAACCACAAAGCATACACAAGAAGGCTATGCAACAACTATAAGCAGATTAGGTTGATGTATTGTCATCGCGTATTTCACTAGAATAATAAAAGTCATCATTATTTAGCATTTTATTAATAATACTATAATTTGTATACAGTTTTAATAATATTCGAATAATATTAAACAATTAATTTATAATTTCAATTGCTACCATATCATTTATAAGTATAAATGCGTTATAGTTCTATTCTCAAATTAAATGATAAACTGACTTGTTCTATAAGAATTTGAATGATGCTTGCAAAGATATGAGTACTTTTAATGAGGTAGAAAAAAGAGGGAATTATCATCTTTTGATATGAACTATGATCGTAAGTCAATTATTTTGATTTCTCTACAAGTAATTATACTTATCTTAAATTTCAGTTATTTAAAAATATAAAAATACATTAATGAAGAAAGTTTAAGACTTCCATAATAAAATAAATTCTTAGACTTTCAGATTTTTTTACATTTTTTAAATGCTATATTACTCAAACAAAACTTTCAAATTTATATATTTGTTCGTTTATTTTGAATAAATCAAAAGTTCAACCTAAATCATACAATAATTTCTATAGAATTTATTAATGAGATTAATTCTCAAGGCTAATTAAAACAGTGTGTAAGAAGTGCAGATTAAAGTAGTTAAATTAAATTTCAAGATCTAAAACAAAATTTAGAAAAAACGAAAACATAAAATTCTTCCAGTTGTAAATGTACTTCAAACTTTTAACCATACTAATAACCTTATAAAACGCTCATAAATATATAAAGGGGAAGTCCCTGATGTCTTTATAAACCTAAAACATGTAGCTATCACGAGCTTCCTTTTATAATTTTAGAATGATAGCAGTTTATTATCTTTAAATTAAATTATATTTTATTATGAAGATCTAAAATATAATAGACCTAACTGAGCTAATATTATCATGTGTGAGTAGTATATTGGAGTCTGAAGTACTTGATTACAATATTTTGTTTGGGATGCTTTGTAGAATAATTTTTTGTTGTTGTATCAATCATGACAAGAGATTTGAATACCTACGATTGGAGTGAACTAGGATATTAAATTACAGCATGGGCAGTATTTCATTGCTTTATAATTTTTTATGAATTTGACTATTTGTTTAAAGGAAAATCATATACTGAAAAAAGAGAGTCTAGATATAAATATTTTGACATAATATAGTCAATCATTGGAATGATCTATTCCTTATAAAATTTAGACTCAGGTTTAGAAGTTTTCTTACTTTTTTTTTTTTTAAGCAATTTGTCTTTAAGCGTAGTTGAATTAATTAAATAAAGATGTTCAAATGAGATAAAAAGCGATTATTTTGAAGAAGGAGGATCGAAAGAATTTTGTGGTGGTTTGTTTATGGGATCCTTAACGGTGGGTATTTATTTAATAGAAATTATGAAAAAATATAAGTAGGAATTACAGGATTAAGATGAATTGAAATTTTATTTGATTCTCACAATTGTTGGGGAATTTATACTAGTTGGTTTGTCTTTTTGCCTCATTTTTAATCCCAAATTTACTCAGGCAAGAAAGTGTTCAAAATAACTTTTAGGATTTGCTTATGGCTTCAATTTTGGATTTTTCAGTATTTTTTATGGATTTATCCTTGGCCTATTTGTATTTATTAGTTTGATTATTTTATGTTACAGGAGTGGAAAATCAATATCAACAAGAGTGCATTCAATTAATGAGTGAAATTTTTAAAATTATTTTCATTCAATATATCTTATTCAGAAAAATAATTACCCCACTCAATTTATCAGTCTTTTTTTTCTTCGCTTTATGGTAATAAACAAAGTGGACAAGTAGAGAAACATATCAAATTCATTCTCTCATATTTATATTGTAAAAAAGAATGTTACTTTCATTTTGGACTGATTTTTGGGAATATATATATATTAGATCAGAAATTAGAAAAATAAATAGAATTGTTGTATAAATATTCTTAAATTATAAAATGGATTAATATTTTAACTCAATCAAAATTAATCTCCTAATCATAAAAATTATAAAATCCTTTCTATTTGCAATAACAATTAATTATAGATATCATTTACAATTTAAAATCAATAAATCTTAGCAAAGCCTTAAATTCTTTAGTGACCCATAGATTTTGTTGATAATCTTATCCAAAATGTTAATAGATATTATTGTTAAATCCTTAAATGATTTACTTTTGATTATGCCTTCCAAAATATGAATAGGTATAATAAGCATAGTGAAAGAAATATCTAAATTTAAACCTTCTTCCTAATAATTTATTTTCTTAGCCATAACCACTAGAAGCAATCTGTTTCCTCTGACTTTATAAACATTGATCATGTAGCAAAGGAAGAAAGCTACCAAAATTGAAAAACATCCTTTTCAGTAGTTACTATACTTTGAACAAGATTCGTTATCATCAATTATATTTTGATCTCTTTATTTAATTTAAATATTAAAAAGGATTAACATTGATTAAGATTAATTAGAGAAGCACAATTCAGTAAAAAGCTTGAAGAGAAATAAATTCACGCACTCATAAAACATTATTTTTTTAAATATAACATTCACTATAAGAGACAAAGTATTGTCCCTATCTTTCATAAATAATTCCATTTTCTTCTGCATAAGCAAGATAATTTGAAAAAATTTGTTGATCAATATGATTTTTGTAGAAAAGACATAAGTTGTTGATTATGTGCTTTATGTTTGTGGATTTTCCAAAAGAGGAAATAATCTTTATGATATTTTCTTATAGTTCGGTGGGAAATACCTAATTTGGCTCATTTGGATAAAATAGTTTATCTATATTATAAGCATAAACTAAGTACCAAACTAATCCATCTGTGATATATCTTTAATTTACCGAGTTTCTTTCTTCTAAATTGACTGTTTTTGTGCTCCTTTCTCATAGTGTTTATTTACTTATTTTCCTATTTTTTTTGAAGCTGCTATTATTTTTCTTAGTTGTTGTTTCGTTCTTACCTCTAATTTTATTGGCATCTCTTGAGTGTTTTATTTATTGAAATGACAATAATGAGCTGCAAATAATTGGTTAAAATAAAATCTTCTTTTTATTTGGATTAATTAAATCAATAATACAATATGTAAACAATTAGTTAATGATGTATAATATGTATTAGGATTTTGTTTATTTATCCTAAATAATAATTTTAAGAATAATTTAATAAGAAATTAATTTATTGTATGAGTAATTCTAAACTGCAATAAAATTGGGAAAAATTACAAAAATTATGTCAGCCAGGTCCGAGATCCTCTTAAAAAAGAAGTTCAAGCAAAGACCAAAGATCTATTCCTAATTTATAATCTAGCAGATAATTGTAGAGGAGAGCATCCCAATAGGATTTGGTGTACAAAGTGGTTGAATGCAGCACTTAAGATATAGAAAGCAAGAATTCAAAACAATAGCTGGATTAACTATTCAGTGGGTTGAATGGTTTATTGGGATATGAATTAATAATGAAGAAGGGTAAATTAGATGAATTGTTGAAGAAACTTAAATTCTTTCTCTACTGTGATTCTTTGGAGTAGAAGTCGCTCTGTTCAAAACTGGGGGATTACATAATCAATCCCAAACTGTGTAATTATAGTGATGTAAACTTAGATAATCTGATTGTGGCTCCTCAGGAGGAACAGGCGTCAAAGGAGATGTGCGAATTACTTATACAAGAATTATAGTTATAAATTAGTAAGCGGAAGTAAATAGAGTGGAATTACTAAGCATTAAAAGAGGTATTTTTAGATAATGAAAAATAAAGAAAAGGAAATAGGAATCACAAGAATAACAGGATGAAATAGCAGGTTTGAAGCAGGCTGTTGCGTTATTAGAACAACAGAATTAAACAATTTAATATAAAATACGAAATGACAACCTTTATTAATAATACGAGTAATCATATTCATTTATCTATTTCACAGGGAGTTGAAGAGATTCAATAAGTCATTGAGTCACAAGAACGATGATCTATATTTTCAGAATCTGTCCTTGTTGGAGAAACTTCAATCAGTGTATAAGCAAGTGGACGTGTTTTAAACCGAACAACTACTGTTCCCCTACATGTTCTAGAAAGAAAAGTACGATGAAGCATTACAATCCATTAAAAAAATAGTGGACGATATCATAAATCTTGATATCCAGAGGCCTCAACAATTCATTGATGTGGATTACAAGGACAAAGTCACCAATATGACTCCAAGGCCGAATTATGAGCACTTGATTTCAAAATACAATACCAAGAGCATTAAGTACATTCGTCAGTTACAATCTACTAATGATATTATTTCATATTTGATATAATAATTATATTAATATACATGAATATTTTAAAGGCTGAAATTATTTAGATCAATTTAAATTCGTATAATTTTTCCGATATTCAAATATACTAAAGTTTAAAATAGAATAATTAATTATTTTTTAAATATGAAACCAAGATCTAGAGGTTAGAATTAAACAGGAATGCCAATTAGGCCAATTTCAGATGTCCAAATTGGCAATTATGTTGTTGAAAAGTAGAAGTTAATAGGGAGAGGGTAGTATGGCATCGTCTATCAATGCTACGATTCAAGAAATAAGGAACGACTCCTCTGTGCTAAATGTGTAGATAAAAAAGGAGTAGATCCAATCCTATTGAAAAGGGAGATCGAGATCTTGAATCTGCTCAAGCCACTCTAAAGGGAGAATGAAAATCTTGTTGAATTGGTGGAGATAATTGAAGAAACCTAATATCAGAATTTGTATATCATAATGGAGAAATGCAATCAGGGAGATCTTAAGTGTTTAATGGATGTCAAATAGAAGGGATCAACTTGGTTTACAGTGAATGAGGGAGTGGAAATAATCAAGCAAGTAGTGAAAGGGTATGAAGCCTTATTTAAAATGAAAGTTATTCACAGAGACATCAAACCCGCAAATATCTTAATATCTAAAGATGTATATAAGATTGCCGATCTAGGCATGGGTAGAATATTAGATGACATGGTCACCGTGCACTTGATTTCTAAAGTAGGCACTCCTGCATATGCTGCCCCACAATTATTTTTAGAACCCAAATTTTCATCAAAAGCTGATGTGTATTCATTAGGAGTCATCTTCTATCAATTAATTTATTGTGATCTACCCATCAAGGCTTAAAGTTAATCCGAATTAGTTGAAAATTTAAGAAATTTGTAATTCAGTCCAATTAAGTGTCCAGCTGTTTCTGCTTCTAAAGAAAATGTTCCTGAGAACATCCGAACTTTAATTGAATTAATGCTCAAATATGAAGAATAAGATAGAGCATCTTGGATGGATTTATTTGCCTCTCCTATTTTTTCGTTAAATATAACCTAACCAAAGAGATCGAATCCTAGAAAGAACACCTTAACCAATTAGAATCTCAGTTCATATTAGGAATATTATAGGGTCGATTCAATTTCAGGACCTAGTAAATCAGATAAAATCCTCCATTTAATAAAAATTTTGATTACCAAAAGCGACTTAGCAGCTAAAACTTACAAATTATTATAGGATTCAAAGTATTATCTTATTAATTCTTAGATTTGAAAAAACTTCAATCAAATTTGATAATGATTAGATGGCTGCACTCTTGGTGTGTCTATCTGGATATAGATATAGAACCATACTAAATGCACTTGGACTATTGATAAATTAACAAACTTCGATTCTCCCTGAATTCAAAAAGAGGTTCTCCTAAGGAGAACTTGCGGATTTCTCTTAAAACTAGACTGATAACACCAAGTTGTTGAAAGAGTACATAACAAAAATATTAAATTCGATTATCCTACAATTTAGAGTATTAATTTTCAATCTATTCTAGGAAGACGAATGCGTATTCTTAAGTAATTTGAAAAGACCAGATAACCAAGAATTCAAATCCTTGAAAACTATTTTGGAGGAAGAAGAAAATCCAGACTTTACGTTATTTTCAAAGTCATTTAGGAAGATTTATATGGGAGCCATCCAATATATCAATTGGAATAAAAATGATTAGAAAAATAAAGAGTATTATAGTGATAAATATATGTAGTTTGGTTACTTACTTTGATAAAATTGGATCATCAGATTTATAATTTGATATCGATAAGTTGTACAGTATAAAACCAATTGAGATTCTAAACAAGTCATAAAAAATAACAAGCTGAATATATATTAATTTTAGCATTATGATTTAAATTCAAAATTACATTAATGATAATTGATCATTCAAAATTATCCAACAATTCTTAAGCTAACTTCTCATTGACATCCAACTTCCAGAAATTGCTCTCATTATATTCCTACTTAACTTTGTCATCTTCATCATTCTAATCATCATCGTTATATTGATCTTATTGACCCTATGTCTCTTAAACACCTTCCTCCTCTAAGTTATCCTCCTATTAATCTTGCTCAAATTCATTCAACACTTCAGTATTCCTCTAGACTCCCTCTCCATTTTCATTATTTCCAACATGCTTGTCACTCTTCTAAAAATTATTGTTAAATTTCTAGCAATGCTTATTAATTAAAATACTCTCAGAATGTTCAAGATGTTGTCAGTTTCTTATTCATCAAGAACATCGGGTTCTTAACTTGGTCTTGGATTGGCATTACACAAGTAGGGTTTCTCCTTTGAATTCACATTGTTCAAGATATTTTCTGTAAATTGTTACCATTACTCATCTATTAATATGGAAAATCAATCAATACTGGTTCGAAGGAACTTTTAAATTTTGTTGTTTTGTTTGGCCTTCTCTTCCAGGTAATTAGAAATCTAAGTCATAAATCCAATGAATCCTTTTTTTATGTTTTCAACAGTGTGATTTTACACAATATAATTTAGAAGATCATTATTTTCAAAAACCTATTGAAAGAATTAAAAATACTTTACATCTTATGTGAAATCATCTTGATTAAGATCAATAATGGCCCTGAGTATTTTATCGCAACATGCATGGATCTGATTGTTTGATTCATACTTAAGAATGATGGTCTACAACGCTCCAATAAGTCTGCAATTTATTAGAGTCTTGATGATTTTTAAATCGTTGGTTCTTTTTAATATAACTATATATTAATTACTGAACAAGGACTTGAATTAGTTTGAGCAAGTGCATTCTAGCTAATCCAAAGGGTTGGATGGAATGTCGATTAGAGTTAACAAAGTTGCTTGTGTGATAGTCCTGGTTCAAGAGGTTGGGAGGCAATTCAGATAGGATGGACTCAAAAATTGAATAGTCTTTCTCCAAATTGTGAACGACTTCATCATCGTCCTCCTTTTTGGTCTCTTTTGATTGCATCTCCACCAAATTAATCAGTAATTAATAGGGACCTATGCGCTAAGTTTACAAGGCAATATTCAAAAATAAGTCAGGTTTCTTGATGATATCAATAAAAGGAATGATCTCCCCGTTGTTGTAATAGAGAGAACTCATACTCTTAGAGGTGATCTCAATCAAAATATCACAAACGTTATCCACTATCTCGGTGTTGTAAGATTTGTGTTATAATAATTTAATTATTCTTTCCAATAATTCCTTTCTTTCTTCAAAGAATTTCTCTTCGTAATTTTCTTGGGACGTATCCAAAATTATCAACTTCTCAATTATTTCTGCGATGTGCTTTATGTCTATGTGTTTTATTAGGTTTGATAGTATTGCTTTGTTTTTGATGATCGTTGCCCAAACCTAATTATTTAAAAATATCATACGTCAAACCCTCTCTTCTTAATTATTGCTATGAATGCTTTTGCGAAATATCCTGCTGAAGTAACATTCAGAATATCATTCTCCAAGAACGACAAGAGTTAGCCGTATAATCCTTAGCGTATTTATTAATTTTCAAATTATATTTCCTCCTCAGGACATTCAAATAGGTAATCAATCAATTTCTAATTTTAACTACCCAAGATCTCACTTGTCAAAAACGGGAATCTAAGGGGATAATTAAGAAATTTACTAAATTTGAGTCTTCTTATCAATGAGTTCATCTTCAAATTAAATAATGTAATTAATCATTTTTTAATACATTTCTGGATGCTTTAAGACACTAAATAATATGCTTGGAATAATACTGATCAGCAAACTTGGTAGCCCCTAATCCTTTTATTTCTTGCAATATTCCATCAGCCGATAAAATCGACTCCAAATCGCAATCAGGATTGGTCAACAAAGTATCTAATTGCTATTGCTGAGTGAAAAAACGAGCGAAGCTAAATACATACAATTTCTTACTTGAAAAACATTTAATTTAAATTTTTAATATTGTTATAAGATTGCAAATTAGTAATTATTATTTTTATATACACAACCTACCCATTTACTATCCTTTAAGCTTGAATCAAAAATCTTAGTTTTCAAAGAATATATTGGAGAAATTATAAAAGATAATAATAATTTACATATTTTATATTATATGAATACTATTTATTAGAATTAAATAAACTCATAAAATAATATTGCACACTTCTCAATTTATAATCAATCCATCAGACTTGTGTATAAGATTAATTATCAATGGAGATGTTCTATTTTAGTTATGGATAATTTCATTAGAGAAAAGTTATTAGTGAGAACCTTAAATTTATCTTCTATTATCAAATATAAATTATATACAAATCATTATAGCATCTGATATTGAATATGTGGTCTGGATAAAAGCAATAATAAGCTTAATTTGATTCTTCTATTTCCATCCAATTTCACGAATGTTCTCCTCCTCTCATTAGCTGATAAATTCTTTATCAACTCAGTTTATAATTTTTAGATTCTTTCGATGAGGAATATGTATTCCAGTTTGTTTTCAGCAATTCTAAGATAAAATTAACAAGATGGATTACTTGTTTTAATTGAACATCTCAATGACAAAGTTGCTTCGATAAAATCTAGTGGCTTAGGGTGTATTTGGCTATCTGAACAATTTAAATTCTTTAGCCTTTTACTAATTAATAAATGGTGGTAACTTATTTTATAAACTATTATTTTTTTTATGAGTTCTAAAATTAAGCTGATTGCGTTTTGAGTTAAACTAGAATGATTATTTAAATTCACATTGAGTTGCCAATAAAGTGGATTAATATAATTCAGTATTTTCATGAGTGTTTCCTAAAAGGTTTTTTAGTTTTAATTTTGCAGCAGGTTGTTAAATTTCACATAAACTACAAGTATTCGATATGGAGTTCTTACTTAAGAAAACTTGGCTATTCATAGGAGAATTGAACAGACTTGAAGCATCGCTTTTTCTTTTCCTGTGATAAGTTTCACTCGAAATCAATCTTCCCATACTATCTCTCTCATTAATAAATGGCACGAAGGTTTATTTTTTTTCAATTAATTGATTGAGTGGATGATCCTGATCCTTGATTGAATCCATAATCAAAGCCTTCATAAATTTATCTGTCTTCTGCATTGCTGGAAGTTCTTTATCCTTAAAGAAAACACAATAGTCCTACAAATTTTCACTATATTGCTTTTTCATATTAGTAATATAATTAAATATTATCATATTTTGAAAATAGAGCAGATACTCATATTACTTCTTTAAAGGACATATGTGCAAAGCATGGGAGTTTCTATGATGAATTTTACAATAAATAGCAATAGAAAATTTAAAATTTGTGTTTAAGTCCGACATTTATGGAGTAAATTCTTTTGCATTTTTTAGAATAAGAGGGATAACAAAGAACTATTTGAATTGACCTAAATGTCTTGGGGAATGTGGATGGTTTTAATATGTAACCTAAGAAGATTTTAATAATTATGGTAATATGGTTGAATTTGTTGATTGTATGATTTTCAGAGTTGTAAGTTGAGTCTGTAAAAATAATTTCTCTGATATCATCTGTTCTTTTAATTAGCATAGGATTTTGTGGGTATGAATGTGGAAAATTTCGTAAAATACTATAAAGGAAATTACTGTACTTTTAATTTCGATATGTCAAGACTTAATTTTTAATATTGAAATTAAACCCGTTATATAATAATGTTTGAATTTATTCAATTTTTATTGGAAATCAAATGATTTTGAATGAACAACCAATACCTTTGGAGTAGTGCTTTGATATACACTCTTGTTCAACGAATTTCATCTTTTGCTGTATCATTTAAAAATTTTTGAATTCGTTTATAGAGGTCTAAATTTCCTACACTTACTATTTAAATGCTTGAAATTCTTGATTAATCAAAGATTTATAAGACAAACTGGCAAGTATGCTTAAAAAACTAACTTTTAAAAACATTTCTTCAGATTTATATGTTTAAATACTAAAAAAAGATAAAATATAATATTTATAATCTAAAATGTATTACTAATTAGCACAACTATCTTTTTCTGGTTTGCTTTTGTTGATCCAAATCGTTTTTCTATACTTCATCAGAAGAAGAAACCAGAGCTCAAGCTAAGTATTCTAAGAGTAAATACATTTAATAAAGTAGAGTATAGTAAGTAAAAGAATCGGAAGGCCATACGTAAAATGGTTAATAGATGAGGGCTTCGATCATGATAAACACCAAGAATAGGAAGAGTGTTCAATCAGGTAAACACAATAGCTTAAAACTTGATGGGATTGAGGAGCTCCCACCTATGACTTTGGGGAATAATTAGACTCATCAATACACCGAGGGAGCTGCTAAGGATCAAAAATTGTAGATGCATAAGATTGAATCACCCAATAGCAGTACAATTCTTTAAGTACATGCTTAAAAAGTAAAATCTCAAACAGAAAATCCAGAGAGTCATCGAGATCCTTTTGATTAATTAATCGGGGATTCTGGACCCAAGTAGAGGAAAATTGATCTGATGATATAGTTAACATATTACATTGAACGAATTGGATTTGAGTAAGGATTTCTCTTGTTGCTATGGAAATTTGATTTAAATTTTTACATCTTCATTCCATTGTCTCTGTTTTCAGGAGTGCTGCTAAGAATGTAAGAGAAATTGGGATACAGAATGATTTAGATGATGGTATCAATTTTGATCCATGGACTTGTTGTACTCGAGATGTACCTCTTGACTACAGATGAATATGAAACCATTTGTTATTTAATAGTGTTGGGAATAGAGACTAAGTTCAGTGTGATATCATTGATTTTGCATAAGAAATGCCAATGATAAAAATTTATTCATATGAATATGGTTGATATTATTTATATTTAATACAAAATTATATAATTAATGCACAAATAATTAGAGTTAAATGTATTAGAGAACAGCAAGAAGTTCAAAATCAAAACTGAGCGCAGCACATAAATTGCATCTCCCAATAACAAGGACATTGATGGATAGGAAGATATTGTTAAGAAATTGTCGGATAGTCATAAGTTGCAATAAAAAGAGATTGATAAATTATAGGTCACCATTGAGAATAAGGAGGATCAAATAAGGAAATTGTCGGATTTGGTTAAATTGCAACAAAAAGAGATTGATCGCTTGACTCATATCAACGAATACCTTGTGCAGGCCAATTAAGCCAAATTAAGCATATTGAGAGATGAAAGGCAATTGAATCAAGGGAGCAAGCCAAACCAAAAATTCAAGTCTCATAAATCGTTATTACCAATAGATAAAAAGAGTAATAAAATTTCAGAGGACGGAAACACTCAATCAGTAAAACTCTTCAGGAGACAAACGTTTCGGAATCCAACCCTGGTGAGGTTTCATCAGGAAGATGTAGATGCATTCAAAAGTGACAGGAATGCATCTGGGGCCTCTAATTTTTACGATATTTTGTAATAAGAGGATTGCTTCAGAACCAACGCAATCTTGAATATCCAATTATGTAATAGTGAATACCTAAAGTTTAGCTGATGAAGATGCAACTACTTAATACAATGTTGATGGAACAGTCTCTTTGATGAAAGCTCTTTTGGAATCTGAAGAAAACTTCTGTGAGATAATCCAATCTATCTCAGCATAAAAATTATCATTTTTGTATGACAAATTCAAAAGAGTAATGTCAGATCATTAACAATTGTTTATTTTAGTCTTAAGACTCAAAAAAATAGTTACAGGGGCTTTGCAAATGAATTCCTCTGTCCTGTTAGATGATGCATTACAAACAATCATCGACTAATGCGTTGATTGTCTAGAATGCGATCGAGCCTCTTGTTTTATAGTTGATTAAGCAAAAAAGGAACTATGGACCAGAGTTGCTAAAGGCACACAAACGACTATCCGACTTCAAATTGGATAAGGACTTGCAGGATTTGTTGCTTAGAATCGAATAATTTTGAATATCGAAGACGCTTATAGAGATTAGAGATTCAATACCTAATAGGATGTCAAAAACAATTATAAGACTAAGACAGTGTTGGTATCTCCTATATTGGATGGGGATAAATGCATGGGGGTTTTACAATGTGTCAATAAATCAAATGGATATTTTACTAAAGATGATGAGGCTCTATTGTAGATTATGGGAGAGTTCAGCAAAAGTGTCTTAAAGAATGCCATGAATCATGATGCCTAGATGCTTATCTAAAATAAACTCAGACATATCATCAAAACAGGCATCGTTCTTTAGAGTAAACAACACAATCTTATTGAATTGATTCTCTCTTCAGAGGAAAGATTAAGATCCTTGATGAATGTGGATTTGGCCAAGGTTGTGTATTATAATCAGGTTCTCTCTCATATCGATAGGGAAGGCAAACTAAGCTAAACTGATACTTTGTTAGGCATCATGGGTCTGTGCATAAAGGATCAATAATTGATGGCAGTGAGCAATTGTTACACTAGTCCCATCTTTAATCCTAATATCGACATTGAAACAAACATGCCGATTATTTGTATGCCTTTAAAAACACAAAATCATTAAATCATTGGTGCCATTTAAGTAATTAATGTCAAAGGTATTGGTAACATTTCTTCGAACAGTGAAGCCAAGATAAATTCTATAGATTTAGATATGTTGGAACTCTTTTGTTAGTAATGTTCTTAATGTTTGCAATAATGTAAACAATCAACTTAATAATGATATTAATATATTTATAATAAATGGGTAATTCATAATAAAGACATTATGACAATTAATTGAACTGTCTTGTAGGTATTAATGTAATTATAGTAATCAAGATATGTTAAATAGAATTATCGAATATTCTTAATAAGAGTTTTACTCTTTGTATTTTAGACTATAAATAAAAGTGTAATAATCAATTAAATTCTTATCATAATATTAGATTTCTTTAAATCCATAATTTTAATCATTTTTAATATATGTATTAGAATGATTATTAAATTGTACTTAATAAATTGTGGTTTCAGTCCATTTTTTATTCTAGTTTCTTATTTATTATAAAATAGTCTGAAAAATCTGTAAATAAATATAATTAATCAAGATGAGAAATAGGATTATTATAACATCTAAAATAGATGATCTAATTTCTAATCTGAAGAAGACGGAGGAGACTCAACCTCCCCCTTACTTTAGGAAGCTATCTTTGAATCCAGATACATCTGTGGAGTCTCAAATAATGAGTCATATGAAAATTAGATTGGATGATGATACGTTGCAGACAAAGTTTGTTCAGGATAAGACGAGATCCCTTGCAAACAAGATTAAGCAGTTACAGAACTAGAAGAAATTGAAGAAGGCACAAATGCCTCAAGAGTATGTCAGTTTTATCAATTCAATCTAAGAAAACCTGATACAATAGCAAGAAACCAAGATAAATAAGATACTAAAGAGACAGCAACAATATGAGGAATAGAATAGGAGTTTTTATTAATTTAGAATAAGGGCTTTGGAAAGACAATAATAGCAGATTGAATAGAAGCACACGGAGTTGCCGAAAGAATTCAAATCATTTTATTAACCGATAGAGGAAGCATCTGCTAGTTTCAATAATATGGATTAGAGAATAAGACAATAGTTGTTTAATCGAGGGAAGAGAAAGTTTTTTAGTTTTTGGAATAATAATGCGAATACTCCAAATAATTATGGGAACACTCCAAGTAATGGGCCAGAAATGATCGAAACTTAATCCTAATCCTTCTTCCAGAAACAGAAGAAGAGAGTCTCCATCCAAAATGCCCCGACTATTAAAATCAACCAGGTGGGATGATGGGAAAGCATGAACATCTTATTACTATGTTTATACAGATTGATTAACAATTAGGTAAATAGGGGAATGTATAATATTAATAAAATATTGATTAAATGGATTACGACGGAGAAGCTAGTCAGTTTCCAGATGTCTCACGATTTAGTTTCAATCCAAATGGAGTCCTGCATCCTAAGCCAGTTTACTCTCAGTGCTCATTCACGGGAGTGAAGAAGAAAAGCTTTTCATTGGATGGTTCTAAGAATAAGGGATTGAGAAATCTGAGTTATAAGGTGAAAAAAATAATTGAATCAGAGTCACAGACCACTTATAGGTTCGTTGCCGATAAATTAGTATCTGAGGACGGTGAACAGAAGAAGGAGGAACAGAATGTGAAGCGTCGAGTCTATGATGCTCTTAATGTCTTGATTGCTGCTGGAGTGATCACAAAGAAGAAGAAGTTCTTGTTTGCCACACCTGAGACCTTCAAGAGTGGGAAGTACTACATAATCTTAATAGGGTGCCATAACAAAGACAAATGGCAGAAGATTAAGGAGGATTAGTAAATGCGAACAAAGAAGCGTCAAGTGTTGAGTCACAAGAAACAATTCTTGATTAATCTAGTGAAGAAGATGCTTTGTATTCGCCATCTCATCACCAAGAACAACAATAACAAGAGTCTGCCCAATAGTTAGAATGCTGCTGAAACGTATCTTTTGCTAATTGATGTAGATTCTTAAAAGATGAAAAAGTTGACCCATCTCAAGTGCTTTGTAGTTAATAGAGTGTCCAAAGTGGAGTCTTACTAAACTCCTATGTTTAACCCCAAATTGTATTTCAGTTGCCTCTTCTTGCTTTCTGGAGTAAACCAGAAGATGTAACAAATCTATTACTTATCTCGTAGTTACGCATAGTGATCAAGACTTAAAAGGAAGTGACACTGACCACCAAAAAGAGTTGCTCCTTTCTGACAGAGATAGAATTACTCTAGGATGCGCAACATCAAGCAATGGTGTCAAAAGTCTTTGATGATAAGGCTTTTGTTAATTTCTATTTGAACTTAACCAAAAATTGATCTATATATGAAAATAATTTAAAATTTATCAAATATATGAAGAGATTTGATTTTTTATGAGTTTTCCAATTAATAATTAGGATAAGGAGTCTTTGGCTAGGTCTATTTGGCCAAAAAGAAAACCACTTAAGAGTAAGTGGCAGTCAAAGTACCCAAATTAAGCTATTGTAGATTTTACCTAAAATAATTAATTGACCATTAGTGAAATTGAAATACTTAACGAATTAGTCAAGCATTCACATTCTGCAATCCATCGTTAGAATAATTGATGTGTATGATTAGGGTACTCGAGTTTATGTAGTTTAAGAATTCTGCAATAGTGGCACCTTATTTGATTTTATGAAAAAGAAACCCCAATATATGGGAGATACCTTATAAAAGAAAGTTGATGAAGCATTGCAAACACTCACGATGGACAATTTTGATAAATTCTTTACTTAAAACTATATTAAATTGGAGTTACAAGAAATGAGAGCAGAGTATTTCTTAAATTATTCCTATTTTTCGATTAGGGATGATCAATTACAATCTAAATTTGATGCCATCTTTATGGATTAATAGAAAAAGGCAAAAGTTGAATACAACTCTAAGATTAAATAATTACTGAACTTTAGAGATAAAAATTATAACTCTGATGAATAATGGTTGATTTATGTTGCAGAAAAGCTTAAAGACTATACTGAAAATGAGTTTGTATTATACATAAAAGAAGATTTAGCTTAATTTAAAACATGGAGTTGAAGATTGTCTCTAATAGATCAAGAGTCATTTACAACAGGCATCAGATTAATTAAGTTCTTTGATTTGAGATAGTTAAACATAATATCACTCATCTAACCATCTAATCCTTTTGTCATCCTCCCAAAATCATCTCTTCATTTTACCATCCCATGCTGTTTACCATTCTCCCAATATCATTCGTATTTTCTTCTCTCTTCCCATACATAGACTCCAAATCCATGTTTTATATCTTGAACAAAATTCTCCGTTATATGATCCCATCCTTCCATTTATAGAATCCCTGACCATGCGTACAATTAACTTACCAATCACTTATGCACTGCCCTTTATTTTAAATTAATTACCAAACGCCCATCTAACCAAGAATATGTATTATGCTATTCTATTTTTAATTTAAACAACAGATTACTTATAATTTATCAAAATATCACACAAAATGAATACCATAATACCGTGACCGTTTATGTTATTCTCTTTCCAATATCCTTAATAATAACTTCCAGATGGCCAATAGTGTTTTCCTTAGTTGATTAGAAGTAGAATTCATTTTTATAGACATATCAATATTTTCAACATGAAGAGTAAGGAACATTGAAGCTTAATAATTGGATAGTACTATGATGAGAGTATAATCAAATGTGAATGAGGTTTTGCTGGTGCATTTTTGAAAGGTAGAGGTATTTGAAAATTGGGACGACTGTGATATCTTTGCGACAGCTGTAGGAATTGTATTTATCCCTATTTGACATCAACAAATCTGATAGACTTTGCAGTATCATAAAAAATGGGTAATAGATTGGGATTCAGATTAGAATTACGCATCGAATTATACATTACATTTTTTAACATAATTGGCAATGATAATATGAGTTCAGAAGGATCAACTTTGATGAAGATTTGATTGCATATTCCGGGAAAGGATTATTGTTTATTAATTCATAACAATTTAAGCATTTATTTAGTAATTAAATGAAAATGTAATATGTTTTTAGGGATGGAAGATACTTTTCTTAAATGGCTCAAAATCTTTAAATTTTTAAACTCCTTGAACAAGAGCAGAGATACCATAACTAGATACTGTAACTAAAGACATAACAGTTCCATATTTAGATACGTTATTGAGAGAAGAGGTAAAATGGAAGAAGGAATCTTTGATTTATTTGTATAATATATAGAGAGTTCAATAAAACCAGTGATTTATATGAATAGAAAATCATTGATAGTTTAATTATTTTTTTGGAATGATGGATAGATGAGGCAATACAAGAACTGAAATTATTGCAAGAAACTCAAAAATGTGATAGAAATTATCTTCAATTGATTGGCTTGAAGAATCAAATGATTTTTTTTATTGGATTCTAGAATTTGGAAGATGAATTTCAAAAGGGTGGTTAAGATAAAAAAAGATATTGCTAATGTTTATATCAGAATCATAAATTACAGAATAAAATAATAGAGGAGGAAGAGAGACTTTTAAATTGTAGATAAAATAATAATAGATTAAGTTTTTAAGGAGATGTAAAACTTTTGATGTTGTACTGCTACATATTACATATGAGATATGTGAAACAATAATATAATTATAATTGTAATTTATTTAGAGAACAGCTCATGAAAAATTATGAATCTTCCAGCTGTTCCCCTTTCAAAAGCTTTCCTACTCTCTAGTAATAAAACGGCTTTAACAATAAATTCAATAAATAAGGCAACCCTTTTTAACAAAAAATTGACGAAAAGTATTTCATTAAATAAAATATACAACATTAAGTACCAAACAATTACTTTAACTTTCCCAATGGATTTCAGAAAATACCAAGCAATGATCATTAACCGTTTCGAGCCAAATAATTTAACAATGTGATCCAGAACAAGCCTAATTAACCTCCTCAGATTTCAAGATAATTTTAAGATTAAATAGAAGTATAGAAAGAAAAGCACTTAGAAGAGTTCAAAAAATTGAAAGAAGTTTTGAAGGTTAGGAACTCTTAAAGGTTAAAGAGATAATAGGAAAGGCTAAATTCGGTACTAGCTAATGATTGCTATTAATGAAAATATTATAATTCTATTATACAATGTAATAAAATATTATTTTTAATTGTTAATATATATTAAATTTAGTAGAAATCAACAATGATTGAAAGGTATATCAATTGAGTGAGGAAAGATGAATTAAAGTGCTATATTATATATTCAGAATAAGTTACTTTCTTGATTTAAGTCATAGGACTCAAACAATAGTTGGAAAGGTGTTTCCAATTAGTCTTTGAATCTCAGAATCTTTTGGATATTAAAATAACCTAAAAATTGGCATCTTATTTTTTGATTTTTGGTTTAGGATGTCCTGATGATAAGGTTTTAGCTTAAGATATTTTGAAATATTTGTAAAATGATAATTTGCAGGATATTAACACAAGTTTCTACTGATGGATTGCCTTAATATTGGACACTCACTTTCACATTGTTATGTAATTTGATTGCGTTGTTGAGGAAATTGTTCAGTTGAATTTTTTTCAACTTAATATCCTTGTTGATGTTTTGTATCAAATGAACAAATATTAATTTTCTTTATATGGATAGATATTTATTTTTGCAAAACTGGTATTGATTTATTCTATTGAGAATTTTTACCATCAACTTGATGGTTGATTCATATTGCACCTAAATCATTTTTGTGTTAATCCTCCTTTCATAAAAAAACTCTTTAAACAATAATAATATGGTAGGTTTGTCTCCTTAGTAAATTGAAATTTCAGCCCTTATAGTTCTTTTAAGAAAATTAATCAAAAACGTATTGTTGAAAGTTTGTTAATTATTTTCTTAAAATTACCTAATGAACCCATAAATAACATTCTGCATTATCTTGTTCTAATGAGTGGCCTATTTCAAAAATTAATAGGCCTCTGGTTCTGTTTTGAAGAGTTTTTCGCAATTTCTGAGTTACTTGACAGAGAAGTGTAGATTCTCCTCTGAAAATTGCAAAATCAAGTATGACTGTTGCAGTAAGAGCTTCTGGAGAATGTCTTCCCATCTAGTGTCGGCCAAAGTCAATAAGTATTGGGATCGTTTCGCCTTGTTGTATTAATAATTGAAGTAATTGATGTAGAGGATCAAGAGAGTGGAGGTTACAAGTGCGGAATATTGCATGCCATCGCTTTTAAACACGCCCCAAAGTAATCTAAATATTTAAAGTGTTATTATCGTTATCATGCCATCAACGTATTCTCCATTCAAGACCAATAAATAAGTTGCTGCCATTTAATTAACTCCTTAAAGCATGGCCATTTAGTTATCAACTCCTGATCTATCCTCAAAAGCAATAAAAAAGATAGTGACAGAATGATTTAATAAAATGATACCCAACCTCAGATATTAATTGTTTTTCCAAACAAAAATCAACTGCACAATTAGGTAAATGAGCATGGATAGATTCAGAATAAACCCATAATTATTTTTCTCGTGGCTTGATTATATTACTTTGACGACGAATGCAATTATGAATCCAAAACTTAAACTAATAAATGTACTCAGTCTCTTAGAATGCTGATTGGAAATCTAATATGATTACTCAACTCTCGGGTCTTTGAAGTATAAGAATAGGGAATTCATAAATAAAATTTGGAAAATAATCTAAATTAGTAGTCATTATATAAAATTTATCCAGCATTATTTTCAAATACACATATTTTTCTTGTATTTTGACTCTGTTCTGACTTTTCAACACCATAATCTCTCTTTGAACTAGAGAAGATGTCTTGTCCAACAGAGCTTGACTAGATGTTGATTAAGATGAACTCGATGGTTATTAAAAAAATGAATTTTGTAAAATAAAAATATATACGTCATATGAAAAATTTAATTAAAAAATATGTACAATCAACATTTCAACACTCCTCTTTATGTTGATCTTTCATTGACATTAAAAAGTGCAATGGCATGATTTTGTAAATTTACCTATTTTTTAAAACTACTATTTTATTACCTTCATGAATAAATAAAAATATAATTAAAAATATATGATTCTTCACTGAAGTAGACACGGAGGGAATATTGATGATTTTAGAGAGTTTTATATATTTTTGAAAGTGAAGAATCAATATAAATAATAAAATTAATACAATTTTGACCAGCATCCTCAAACAATCGACTTAGGAGATTGGTAATTGGCGAGAAACTCCTCGTATTCCTTTAATTAAAACTAAAATGAGTTTAATATGCATATTTACTGCATAATTTAAGTTAAAAGTATCAAAGTCTTGTTGCAGCCTAGCCTCATCACAATCTGCAATCACCTTACAAATTAATTTTGGTGTTATGTAACCATAGGATTTTGACAAAACCTTAAAACTTTACATGAGACAATCCTATGTAAGCACAAACTATTTATCGGCAGCCAATAATAGAAAATCGTCCAGAGTTATGTCAACAAAATCGGAAATATTAAGAGAGTACTCTTCAGGTTTTTCGTTGAAGAGTAGATTTAATTCTTGCTCATTTAATTTACCATCTTTGTCGAGGTCTGCATTGGTGAATAGTTTGGTAAGTACCTTCAAGTGATCAGTCGCATATATGGATAGAAGATATCGAAAGAGACATTTGTGTAGATAGGTCATATTCTTGCATTTGGTGATATTCGTAAAGGGTTACAAGTAGTCCTTGGCTTGAATCTACTTCATATTAAGTAAATAAGGGTGAAGCAAGCATTTGTCCAGAGTCAATCTCTCACTAGGGTTATGATGAAGCATTTCAAACAATAAAGGATAGACGTCTAATGCCTGTTTGGCATAGGTTATTTCTGGTTTGAATTTGCTGATTTCTTCGATTTCAAAAGGAAATTACTGATTTAACAATTGTAAGGCAATTATGGCCAAAGCCCAGATGTCATTGGATTAACTTCTGTTTTTTGTTTGAATGCTTTAGAGTTTGCCAGTATCTCTGTTGTGATGATGATGATTAGGTGAGTTTGGTGGTTCATAAAGAAGAGAATTCTTAGGATACATAAATTAATAGATGCTTCTGATGTCAGATAGTTTGATGAAGGGAGTGGAGGAATCATCAAAGACTGAGAAACTATCAATGGTCAATTCATCATGACTGTAGCCTAATTGATGAACATATGCCAAGGCCTCTACCATTTGATAAAATATAGATCCGATGGTTTGGTATTCCAATTTGTTAGACTCTAGAAATTTGGAGAGTGTTCCACCTTGACAATGTTCATAAACCACCTGATAACTTCTTTTATGGGAATCAACGTGAATGTCTACAATCTTAATAATGTGCATGTGGTTCTAATTTATTATTTTAGAGAGAATTACCAATAGAAGTTCATCAAGCATATCAATGTATTGTTGATTTCTATTCTCAAATTTGAGCATTTCAACTAGTACGAGTTGTCCAGTTTCATTGTGTTGCATGACCGTTTTGCTTTGGTTATCTTCAATAATATGACAAATGTATACTGTGATGACTCTATCCAGAGACAATTGAATATTTTCTGGATGCTGGGGATTGGATGGATTTTGATCCTGGTCTGGTGCTCACTCTTTACATAGGAATATTCAATAGAGATCCATTCCTGGCTTTCTCTTGTTATTATGTTGATTAGACAATCATTGTTTTTGGGGTTGAGTGCAGAGACGGAGAAACCCTTTAAACTGGAGTGGTTGCTTGATTTGGTGATGCCTTTTTGGCTGGAGTTGTCGCTTGATTGGGTGAAACACGACGAACTGGTGTTGTAATTCTTTGAATCGAAGTTTGCTCTTAACATTACATAGTAACCGTTTTTTGTTCCCTTGTAGTTAGTGGCTACTGAGGTGGCAAGGTTACAGATTGATGTTTATGTTCTTTTACTTTCTTTGGCTAACTTTAAGAGGTACAAACTCCCATTTATTGAAATCAATTATCAAATTTAAATATTATATCAAATCAATTATTTTAGTACCAACTTGCATCAATAGTCTTGCTATTTAACATCTCTATACTACTGATATTATATTAACAATATGATGTATAATTCTATAAGATATGGTAAAGTGTAAAATAATCAATGACAAGTACGGCTCTGCAGATCTACCACACAGTTAGCTAACACGCAAGTAGTTATACTTTATATAGCATTACATTAATCAACTTTGGACATGTCTACAAATAAGTAATTGCCTGCTCCTTACAAGTCAACCTCACAGTATCCACTACTACATTATGGTTGCACAAAGGTTTCGTACATTTTCATCGTTATCAAATTGATTTGTTTTAATGCCACCGGGCGAAAGGTATTGAAATAGCATTTTAATTTATATTACAAATTTATATTGTTGCTGGTTCTTATGATATAAATTGGAGTCATGGGAGATTACTTACCAAAGATTTCTGCGTACAGCACAGTCACTTACAACATCCCATTTGATTCATACTCAGTCCATGTTATAGTAGCCTATCCCAAATATTATAATTATAGGTATTTCAAATGAACCTGGTTGAAATTAATAAAATTATACTGTGTTTAATAAAACTCTGAAAATGTCTTCAACCTTAAATAATAAATGTCAAGAATTTCCAAAATCTTAATCATAGTGTTTCTCTTCTTTGAAATATTTAATTGAGTATCATCTCTGATATTTTAGATTGATTCATACATTATTCTCTCTAAATAATAGGGATGTGAATATTAGGTGATCAACAATTCGGCAAATGAGATGTACAAATCCAAAATCTGATTTAACTCATCATTCTATCTTGACAACACATCAAGATTGTACAATCTTAACATATTAGTTATGCTCCTCTCTCCATTGATTAGATCACTGAACAAAATACTTGTTTGTTGTATCACATCTATTGTCAAATCTGAAACAAATCGTGAGTAATAAGTCTTCAAACCTGATGAAGTATTTTCATAACAAGTTTAAGCGTATTGAAGTGGCATGTAAGGGACTGCTACACAGTAAAGAGTCATAATCCCAGCATTCCTACATGCTGCAACCTCATCTATCAAATGACAATGCTATCCATAACATTAACCAGACCATTAACAATAACCACTCTATTTACACGATCCTTCATTGTTAAACTAATTACAAGGAATCTCCCCCAAATCCAAACCATCAGATACTCTCAACAGTATCAATACTAGGTAAATCATAATTAATAATAAATTATGGTTCTAAAATAATAAATAAATAACTCATTCCGAATAACAAACATACAATTATAAGTGTTAATCTACTTGAAAATGGACTTCGATTTCTTTATTGATTAAATAAGTCTATCCGAATCCAAGATCATATTGTCCCTCCTCATTAATTAATTTACCAAGTCCTTAGAGGCACAACAAAATAGAATGCTATTTTAATTTAAATCCTTTTGATTTCTCTTGAGGCTTCAATTCCAAACAATCCTAATTTGTTTATCAAAATAAATACACAAGCAAATTCCTAATACTTGGTTAAGTATTGTTTGAATGTATATTCATTAGACTCCTCGACAATTGGTTCAACATAGTTGGGCTATTTCATCTCACAGATTAGAATCTCTTTCATTGTTTCCACATCTTTCTATTTAGGAGTGAATCCACATCTAACAACATTATCAGAATTTGCCATTGTTTCAATGATATTCCCTTTTAAATATGCATGAATCAATCCAGCCTCCAATACTACTGCCTAACCAGGTTACAATATGAGATGGTTCATCAACAGGAGAAATAAATAACCAACATCATATTTTTCAATTTTCGAACCTGGGTCCAAACTTGGATTGCATTTAATTGGCCATTAGAAGTCGTCTAAGATCTGTTTCACTTCGTCTTGAGTCAATGATAAAAATATGGCTACTATTTATCTCAAAATGTCCTGAGCCTATTAATTTTGTGCAGCCAAAAATTGGTTCCACAGATTTTCACCAATTTTCTATATTATTTGAGGATTCTAGAGAGTATGCTTACATATAATACTCTGTCGATGTTGTGAATTATGGTTTATTTATCAGCAAAGCCTACCAAGGCTTCGAAATTGGTTAAGGCAATAGCCATCTCTGGTTTGTGATTATCATCAGGATATAGATTTGGTTTTGTTGCATGCAGAATCTTAGCTTACTCCTTATTGGGATGTATTTGAATGGAGAGTGGCTTAATCGATTAAATTTTGTACTTAATCAACAGACAACACTTTAAAGAGATACGGGAGATCTAAATTAACCTTTTCTCCATTCTCATACAATGATGGTAATGATGGATGACTGCCCATCCAAAACTCAGCAAACGGTCTTGCTTCATTAGATGTCTTTTGAGTCAACTTGTACACCAGACAATCTGGGTTGGATGACAACATTCCCCAAGCATAATTTTGTGCTTAACCATGGAGTCTTTATATAATTTTTTATTACATAATAATTTATATTATAACAATTTAATACACACCCTAAGGTTGGAGTGGATCAGTGCATTATAACAAAATCCTTCTAAAAATGTGGTTTATTGATTTGATTATTATTGATATAATATTGATTATGTTTGATTGAGGTGATATTTCCTTTTTGATAGAGTGAGCCTTGTTGAAATCTCATAATAGAATATTTCACCATTGTAAATGAGGGTATTTTAAAATTTCAAAAGAGCGGGAAATGAAAAGGTACTTAATTTGAAATAATTTATTGAGCGCATTAAAATAATTTGAAAATTAAATAAATGTTCACAGGCACTATCTCAGTAATATATGGTCCAATGGTAATATATTTTAGTAATGTAGTTTTCTGGAAAAACAAGTGAACTAATGAGGTTAGTTAAGAGATTTACAATTTCAGAGAGAAAATGTGTAGTCTTAAATTACGCTAATGATAACAGATACTCAGATGATTAGTGTATTTCTAGTCATGACAAGTAACAATCTAGTTCTAATTGTAGATAATATTTGAAAGCCATAAAAGTGACCAAACTTTTTGATGCTTTTGAGAAATGCAAAGATCACGATGTCGTAGCTATTGATGAAGGCCAATTCTTTTGCGATGTAACTTAATATTCAATATGCTTTTAGATTGTTGAATTTAGTGAAGCCATGGCTAATTTGGGAAAAATAGTAATAGTTGCAGCTCTTGATGGCACATTCGATAGAAAACCTTTTCGTAACATTCTGAGTTTGATTCCCTTGGCTGAGCGCATCACCAAATTAACAGCAGTCTGTTGGTTTTGTAAGAAAGAGAATGCCTCATTCACTAAAAGAACAGTTTAATCTTAAGAAAGTATAAAAATATAAATATAATTTAGTTGAATTAATCGGAGGAGAAGATTGTTATAAACCAGCATGTAGAGCATGTTTCAATCTAACAGAAAATAAATTCAACAAACATACACTTCCATAAATCCCCATCTTCTCAAGTGATGAAAGACTATTTGGTCAATAAAATTTGATTTGCTGAGACACTATAATTAATTAATATATTATAAATCATAATAACAATACTTTGTTTATTTCTGTAACAATATGTGTATAAAATAAATTGTATTTCAATTTTAGAGGGTACATAACAATTCAATTAACCTTGATAATGTTTAGAACTAATTGTAATTTTCAATTATCTTTTGATAAATAAATTTATATTGATATATAACTTATTATGAAATAAGTGTTCCCTTAGAGCTATAATGATATGAGTTTTGAGTATAATTTTGATATTTTTTATTATAAAATTAATGAATAAAGCTGTAAGAGTAAGGTACTCGAGTCTTGATGAATCACGAACCAATACTAAGAGATATTAAACAGTGTATACAGTCACAGACACAATAAAAACTCAAGTGAACAATCTTAAGTTTAATCATCATCCTTTGAGCTATTACATATCCAGGATTTGCAAGAATGTAAAAGAAATGCGGAGATATCGTACTGATGCTTACATTAAAAATCAACTCACCAAGATCTATGCTCAAACTATTCATCTCAAAGAAATCCATGATGTGTTCAAGGTGCCTATCCAATATATCAACGAAGATCTTATTCTCTCCAGATGCACCTTACAATTGATTTCACAGATGCCGCATCAATATGCTCTTCGTCCTCAATAACAGCTTACCCATTTCCTTCAGTGGATGGCTTATTTCGATGATTAAGTCTATTTGGAAATGCAGAGAATTCATGAAGGATACTTATTTCAAATTCAAAGAAATATCCAAGAACAATATACAATTAATGTTATTAAACAACAATAAATCAAACATCAAATCCATCCTCGAAAGAGAGACATGTACAATTATGTGAATCGACTCATTACAAAGCCATCTTTTAGAACCATGAGTCGAATATCTGTCTTAGAGAATTATGAGACCAAATTTGGTGAATTTCAATTAATTACACCATATGCTCGTAGTTATGCTAAACAGTTAGATACTATTTCTTAAAATCTCAACACAATTGAATGAATATTCTTGGCAATCATATATAATATCAATTATAAACCTTATTTAATATCAACAGCTGACTTCCTTTTTCTCGCTTAATTGCTATTTTCATTATTTGATATGGAGACCATCAATGGTAGTTATAAAAATATAATATGATCTTTCGTCATCAAAAAAGTATACAATGAAATTCAAACAAGCAACTATTTATAAAGCATAAAAAAATAAAGAAGAATATAAATTATTATTTAAATCAACTCTTTTCATTTTAAGAGATATCTTATATCGTCCAATTATGCTGGTTAGATTGTGGGTTCAAATTATTAATTTGATTATTAGAAATATAGGATTTTGTGATGATTTGAATAATTCCTTTTTGGAGTTATTGTAATTTCAAGTATTAATCAAAAGAATATTGGATATTTACAAAAAAACTGAAGTAATCACATCTTAATCACACAAAAAACTGGTGATATACAATAATAAATTTGTCTAAAGAACTTCTTCTCTAATTTTAACATAACTCAAACATTAAAGTTTGTTTTCTAAATTTTTCAATTTTTTATCTAAAACTAATTCACATAAATAAGAAAATATTAGCAAATTAATTAAAATATATATTATGAATATTCTATTAAAATGATTAGAATATCTTCATTCCCAATATTTATAACATTCCTAAAAAATTATAATAATTTGTTAATGTAATATTTTTGTAATTTCATTATTATAGATAGATTTAATATCATATCGATTATTTTCTTCATATTCATCCGCATAACCTTATTGTAATTAACCTCAAATATCATTCAAAAATGGTCTCGATTTTTCTTAGTGTTTAAATATTATTAACCCTCAAAAATTGATTTTTATGACTTAGCAATATTAATATTAATTATAACAGACATATGGATACCTCATTTGCCGGATTTACTTTTGGTGCAGATGAACTGGGAATCAACGGTAGTTTTAGTGCATAGAAGCACCCAAGAATAAGCAAATGCTCCCCTTTTTATCGGATGAATAAACCCTAAACGTAAAATTCAAGATCTTAATGTAAGTGAGTAGAAACCGCGATTAAGATTGCACTCTCCCAATAAGGAAAATGAGTTAATGCAAATTCGCAAGCCGGTTAGAGTAACGACATCACCTCATTCTCAGCATCATCAGATGAGTTACAAGGAAATTTGTGCTCATTTGATTTAACTGTTTAAGAGTCAGACTAGATTATACGAATAATTAATGATAGCAGATAACGTAAATATCAGGAATCAACTTCAAAAAGTCTAACTCAAGCATGATTACTACTGCAAATTGTATAATTAATAATGAATTATATGGCAATTAATTAGAATATATGAATAATTCTATATTTTTCATCTCTTCCTGTGACATTACACTGTGGATGTCACATATACCTTCTTTAGATTGAAGCTATAGAACTAAATGATAATTAATGAATAATAAATTAATATTATGAAAAATAAACTCTAAATTCAGGATAACTATGTCAATCTGCTCTAAATCTATAAAAAGTACTGCTTGCCAACATCTGAAACCTCCAGTAATATAGGCATATTATAAAAATTAGATTCCACAAAGTGAAGCCTTACTTCAATTTGTAAATGAATAAATCCTATTTCGTTGGAGGACCCTTTTGTATAAAATATGGCATAAACATGGTTTCAAATCCAGCGACTATTATGTACTCCACTCTTTTTTTCCTTGGGTACTAAGTCATAATCAATGTATTATAAAATATAAACTACTTTGCCTATGTGTACTTGGAGGGTCTGAGGAACAGAAACCTATCCGAAATCAACATTTTGGCTTTGAGAGAAATGTCGCTTCAAACCTATGAAAATTTATTTTATTTGGGTGCTGAATTTCATTTAAATACTTCATCGAGATCAAATATCTACTCCCTTTATAAGGCCTTTGAAGGGAATCGAATCAAACTTAAGATCTCTGGAACAATATTTCCTTCCTCTTTTAGCAGACATTTCGTTAACAACAACCATACTCTGTTTTAATTTTGGTTGGCCATTCTTACATCCTTCGTAACAACATTTGCTGCCTATACCCTATATCGCATTCACAATTCAGTACTCAAATGTATGATAGTTGGAGTTATTTAACTAGTACAGAAGAAAATAATATCTCAGAGAAAGAAACAAGAAATTATAAAAGAGGGCAGTCATGATCAATTGATTAAGAATCATAGGCTTACAATGTGTATTGGGAAAAGTATTATAAGCAATGAAAATTCAATTATATTTATGCATTATACCAAATTGTATAAAAATCAAAAGAATAAATTATATTATTTTATGATTCCTAATTTTGAACACAGTTTGCATTTAAAAGAAAATACGCAGAACTTTCCACAATCAGAACAGTGCTAATCTCACCATAATTTCAGTTTAAACAATGATAATATGAGGACCTATAGCGTGGATAATCTAAAATTAGATTTTGACAGATGGAATACTCAGACTCAAACAGAAGCAGCCAAGCAGGAACCCAACCCAGCAAACCCTTTGATATAGAATTAAGTATGAACACTAATTTGACTCTCTAGCAAGTAGAATCTGAGTGCTAAATTAATGTTGATAATATCTTACAAATTAATCAGAATTGTATAAATTTCATTCGAATTACAAGTTAATGAACCAGAACTCATTGATTTCAACAAAGTTATTAAATTCAATTCTGAGGAAACATAGAAAGAGGATCAATAATTACAATTGCAATATGAAAGGAATTATGAATCACACAACAGTGATTTAATTGTAGTTCCAACTCCATCTTAGAGAAATAAACTCAAAGCGGTTGGAAATATGTTTTTGGGAATATGGAGATTACAATAAAATGTTGTTGAACCAATAAAATCTACAGTAAAATAGAACTAAATAAAATTAGGAATAATTTTATGATAATTTTGGATCTACTTAGCGTCATTTTAATAGCAATTATAAATAGATTCATCCAGCTAAAGATTCTGAGGATCTTAGGTTAATGGATATTTTCAATTAATTCAAATTAGTATGTCTCTTCACTTAGCATTCTATGTCCGGTTCAAGTGAGGACATTCAACACATGATTAAGATTCTTCAAAGAGATCCAAAACGGTAATAATCTCCATTGAATTCTAGCAACCTGACGAATCCACAAGATCCAAATCACATCATAAACCAATTGAATTAATATGGTCAAAATGCCCTTTATATTGCATCTAAGAATGGGAATGTTGAAGTGATTAAATTTTTGTTGTCACTTGAATGCAATCCACACATCAGAAGTCGGATTGTTGAGGATCTCACTGAAAGTCCTTTAGAAGTATCATCAAGATGGCACCATTTAGAATGCGTAAGATTGCTGTTGAATGCTGGCAAATATACTAATGCAGAATTGAGATCAGCAATTAAAGTAACCGAAAATTAAGAAATCATCAATTTGTTGAAATTGAATATGACCTCCTCTCTTTTCTCTTGTTGTCTTTGAATTTAGAATTTTGATTAAATAGAATTTATGTCATATTTTTCATAAATTAATATTTTGTTTCAATATATTTAAATAGAAATTATAAGATTTCTCATATACTACATTTACTTATTCAAATAATTCTTTATAGGAATCAAACAAAGATTAATAATTTAATTTTACACAAACAAATAATAAGAACTAATAAATACAATTCAATTTTGTTTCAGTATTTCTTATAATTTTTAGTCATTCAGTTCTATTTATTACTTTTCAAGAACTTCAACATCTATATTTTCTTCAACAGCTTCCTTTTGAACATAATCAGGAGGGTATGTCAAGAATGGAATTTCACCTCTTTGCCAATCCATAAGAATCAACTTAGCAGTCGCCTTAGTATCAGCTTCACCACCCTATAGATATATAATTAGATTATTTACCTTTGCTAACTTTCCTTTTTTGACTGCAACTTTCTTCAGGAAATCATGCTCATCTATCCAATCATCAACATCGTAAATCCTCTTTAAATCAGAAGCCCTTGCCTTTAACAACAAAGCTGGAATGTAATATTCAGGATCTTCCAACTTCTCAGCTCTGACACAACCCTTCAATACAACTTCAACATCATCTTTTCCCTCATGTTGATATACAACTCCTGGACAATCAATCAAATAAATTCTTTTTGTCAATGCTACGTACTGCCACACTCTGGTTTCTCCTGGAACTGGAGCAGCTTTACAGACCTTTCTTTTTTTTAATGAGTTGATAACAGAACTCTTGCCAACATTTGGATATCCCACAAAACCAATTGAAATAGTTTATTTATCTCTATGGAATTTGTCAAACTATCTCAACAGATTTATGAATGGACCCTTACCAAAAGCCTTATTCACATTTGCATGATAGGCAACAGTTGGATAGTCCTTTGATAGATATTGAACCCATCTAGAAGTCAACCATGTAGGAATCAAATCGCATTTATTTATGAGCAATACCAAATGCTTATGGGGACAGTTCTTCTTGATATGATTCTCTAAATGATATGATCTTGTGCCCATAGGATCTCTTGCATCAAGAATACAAACCAATACATCAGATGAATCAATCACCTTATACAGTTCTTCCCAAATTCTCTTTGATTATCCAGCTGTCAATCTTTTATCTCTATTTTCCTGTTGCGCTGCCTCAATAGGATTCAATTTGTTATCCTTCTCCACTACGTAAGTCTACTCCTTCTGCTCAGCATGATCTGCCAATCCTTCCATTGTTTCTACATTTAACTTAATTCTCTTTCTTTTTGATTTAGGTCCATATGTGTCCTATGAGTTATTAAAGATATATATACTTCATAACTCTCCAATTCCAAAAGAGGTACGTTCTTGTTCTTTTTCTGTGCTTCCACCAACAATGACAAAGGCAATTGTTTGGCCTTGATCAGAACACTCCTAGGATCATGTGTTCTATTAGCCATTTCTTATCTCAATTTATCGAGCTATTATTGATCAATGGTTCTGATGTTTCCGAACCACTTTCTGTTTGGATCTATTCTTGCTGGTTGTGTTGCTTGTTTCCACATTTCCTCCCTAAAGATTCAAATGATTCAATACTTGTTAGGTTTCTCATTGTACAGATTCAATCTCTGAATAGTTTATTTTGATCTGAAGAATTGATGTTTAGCATTCAATTATTTCTCAGGTAATTTTCTATCTGGATTAGTTGAGGCTCCACTCTTGGACCCTTTCTAGGCTGCTTTAAATTTAGTGTTCATCTTCTTTTTAAAGAACTACTCCTTGCTACGCTTAACCATTAAATAATAATTAATTATCAAATTAAACTTTCACTAATTTATAATACATTTATATATCACTAAATTTTAAATGTTCTCTCACAATTTGGACAGAAACACTACTTACCCAATCGATAATCTTAAATAAATCTGAATTCACAATTTGGACACTTATTTAAATTCTCTTGATACTTTTCAAAAATTGATTTTATCTACTTCTACATCAAAGATCTGATGAATTATTACCCTTATGGCAATTATAGTAGTATTTATTGTTTTATATCTTGTCCACACAAACATTAAGGTGGCTTTCTCCTCTATTTCTGTTCAATTTGATAAAGTACCATTTCCGAAAGGCATTCGTAATGATATGAATGAAAGCATATAAACTTGATTGGTTTAGCCTAGATTTCTGATTTGCAATAGTAACATATGGGGTTATAGGGTTACACAAAGTAGGATTGAGTGCAATTGAGAGAAGTATTTTTTGTTGATAAGTAATTCGAAGTGGGTCTTTGTCTTTAAATCTGTTATGAAGTATTGATTGTACATATTTCAGGCATTCTAAATTCATCGCAACTCAACTCCAATTGCTACTTCTTTAGAATATCCTGATAATATTAATTTTATTTCTCTATTTATTTATATTGCAATCTTTGCTATTTTAATACTATATCTATTTAATCTGAAAGGCTTTTTGGTTAATTCCTCGAATAGGATTTACAATTTTAATCAGGTTTCTATGATATTTGATCACTGCCTTCTGTATTCCACTTAGAACTAGAACTGTGAATTTGTTCATTCTCATATTCCTACTTCAGTTACAAGTTGTGATAATAATTTAACAGAACTTATGGAAGCTGAGGTGACTTACCTTTTGTAATCTGCTCTCCCTCGTTTGTAGAGATGGATCTCAATTTTATTTATTGTTATTGATTTTACAAGTTCTCACGATATTCTGAGTCCAATACATCCTATTGCGGTTGCCTTAGTCGCATATTTTTATTATCCAATTAAAGTGGAAATTGAGTTGGTTAATTAAGATTATTGCTTTACAATTTAAAATAATGAGAGTTTCTTATTGCCATTTCAATATCAATTAAGTTTATTAAAATATAATTAAAATAGGCAAAATAACATGCTAACCTAATTTGGAACTATAATTTGATTAAAACTGCTATGCATTACTTGATTAATAAGGAATTTATCTCGTATAAAATGTTATAATAGAAGATAATTCAACTCAAAATTGGGGTTCTGGGAGAATGAAGAAATTTTGCTTATTTGTATCAGAATATCGATATCTTCTTAGGGTAATAAAATAGGAAAAGGAGACATTATACTAAGCCCAAGAATTCTAAGATTAAAATACACCTGTAAATATTCGGAGAAAAACTAAATATCAATTAATTTTAGAATTTATGTCAGTGGAACTCAGAATATCATACTGAAGAGGACTAAAAAACAAATATTTCAAGTACGATTCCAATAAGTATTTCAATAGAAATATTACCTACCTGAATATCAAGAGTTGCATTATTAAATTTCATAAGAGTTAGTATGCATATAGTTCCCTTATGAGAGAATTTCTAAGAACGAATAGTAATATTGATAAAAAAATAAACACAATAATTATTAGATTAAGAATTATAATATGTCATTAAACTATGATGTCATTAGAGACGAGTAGTTTCGTTATAAGTCTCCATTTTATTGATAATATAGTATATTCTCCAAGGGGAGCTAGACAATTAAAATAATTTTATGAATTTTCAAAATTATGATATCTTCTTAATTAGATTAACTCCGAACCTCAAACTCAAAGGAATAACATTGGATATTGAGAATCGTAATTTAATTGTAGAAATATCTTAATATCAAATAAATAAACGAATGCATATCAAATGTTTTCTACAGGAATAGCTAAATTTATAATCAAATTATTTGACGGTATGATAATTTCAATTGGTAAGTTTTTGAGTTCTTTATTATTTTCACTCATATGCATTTACTAAATTTTAATTATTTTATTCATTTTCATATTTAATATTTTATCCAATTATGAATAAATATACATTAAATTTCAAAGATAAAGAGATTGAATCTAGCTATCAAACCGCTATTTAACAAAGCTTTAGAATGTTTACATTCAATATAGTAACATTTGGACTTCTTACTGTTGTGGTAATGAAAATTGTAGAGAACATTTTAGTAGAGGAATATCGATTTATTTCTAGATATTGCATTTTTATTTGCTATTTGCTAGTCCAATATGGAATCGGCAAGAAATACAAAAAGTCTATACGAATTGCTATAATATTATTGAATCACATGTTGACTCTCATTTTTAGTCTCTAAATATCAGAATAAGAGGATTCCTATAACAATTACTTAAAGGGAGTCAATGTTATGGGTGCAAACTTCTTGATGTTCATATCAGGCGAGTTTATGGACGCAGCCATCTCTGCCATAACGATGAGTGTGATGAGAATTATATTAGTTAGAATCCAAGCCAACTATATGTAGTTCTCCACCATCATTAGTTCAGTACTTGTCATCTTTTGTGTGATTCGCTACTTGTATCATTATCATAAAGCAATGCGTAATCAATACCTATTCACACTAAACGATTCTCATTGGGAAAAAATCCTAAATTCAATTGCATTTAAACAACCCTACCTCGTGTTATCTTTCATAGAAGATACACTGCAATTTACACTTAAATCGGAAGCCCAATGTCAGAAATTTTTTAAAAAATAATTTGATGGCTCAACTTTTATAAGAGATTCAGTATACAAGGGAAATAAATTGGAGGCTTTCTTATTTACACAAATTCAGAAGTATCGCATAGATAGAGCATCCGTTTTCAACAAGACCTTAGTCGTAGAATACCTAAGAAAAATGATAAGAATTGAATGCTCCATTTATTATGGAAACAAGCCAACAATACTACTTCTTATGAGAGATTTCCTAAATGAATAAAAACCAGACACTTCAATCTACGAGTTGAGGCATAAAAATTTTATAAGACTCCTTCTTAAGATCTTAGGTCATTTTGATAAGCTATCATCATTTAAATGCCGTCTCCTGGAAAGAAAACTCTTAATTCTACAGTTGTACGAAGATCTTAGACACTCAAAGCTACGTGAAAGTGAGGTAAGCGTCTATACTTTAGCACGCATCTTACACAATTTGTATTCTCATCTGTCAGTTAAAGCTTTTGTTAATGGGAAAAGTAATTTAAATACGATTTCTAATATATTTTTGTTGATTATGTTGATTTTAGCGGAAAATTCAAAAGGGCCATGTCTTTCAATTACATTTACTAATGAGGAGACTAGTTAGAAATAGCTATCAATATCAAGTAATTTTGAAATAGAAAAAGTAAAAAGAGCATTAAAATAAATATCAGATTACATTTAATTGATTAGTTCTTGTTAACAAATTGAACAATTCAAAATTTCGTTCAATTTAAATTCGTAAATCTATATACCATTTCAACTAAATGAGATGAATGCAAGAAGTCTAAAGCATATTGATTTATCATGATCTTTTATTATTTTCTTTCAATTCAATTATTTAATCTTAATTTACATTTTAACAAAATTATTAACTAAAATTCAGTAAATTTTAAATAGCGAATTGGATTAAATTTTTATCAACTAGAGATATGATTATAGATCTCTAGATTAATATTTTATAAAATAAGATAAGATAACATAAATATACCTTATTACTGGAATGAATTAGATCTAATCAATAGTATGAACAAAGCACTCTTAATTTGAAGAGATGGATACACAAAAGGAATGGATAAGTCTGAGGTTAAAGACGTGAGAGAAGATTCTACGAATTGGGCAATACAATTAGATAATTGAAAGGATTTGAGGACAATTTAATCCGAATCCACCACCAGAGGCATAGTTGAGTGAACACATGAAGGACTAGAAAGGTTTATTAGCGAGAAAGCAATGAATTTTTATAGAAATGATTATTTAAATTATAATTGATTATGCAATAGTAATTTGAATAAAGTGTAAGAAGGTTAGGAGATTATTAATTTGATACGAAATATCTTTTGGGAGAAGGGGCATTTGGAAAGGTTTATAGAGGGAGTAAATTGACTACAAACTAGGAAGTAGCTATTAAAAAAATAGATAGCTCAATGATCAATAAGGATCAATATTTAATTGATGCATTAAGTATCTATGTAGAATGAAAATGTTTTAGACTTTGAGATCCAAATAATGAAGTAACTTGATCATCCTAATATTGTGAAGTTTATAGATAAATTTAATACCGATCGCTCAATCTACATAGTCACAGAATATTGTGCAGATGGAGATCTGAGAAATATAATGAAGGGAAGGCGTATTCCAGAATCTGAAGTTAACTAGATTTTCAGTTAATTGGCAAGTGGATTTAAGGAATTGGTAAAGGCAAACATCATACATCGAGATTTGAAGCCAGCCAATATTATGAATCATAGAGGAGTAGTAAAGATTGCGGATTTTGGATTTGCAAAAATAGTTGACAATTTTAGTGGGGAATTATTAAGAACTTGTGTTGGGTCTCCATTATACATGGCTCCTCAAATTTTGAAGAGAGAAAAGTATACAACAAAATCAGATATCTGGTCATTGGGAATAATCTATTATGAGATGGTATTTGGTATGGCTCCTTGGTCGGGAGTGGATGAGAAGAGTTTGACTAATAATGTGATGAAGCAACCTTTGCGATTTCCAGGGGGCACTTAATTGTCTGAGTTCGGAAAGAACTTTTTAAGTAGAGCTTTGGAGAAGGAGGAGAGCAAGCGAATGGAGTGGGCAGAATTATTCAGCATGTTTGAATAAGTAAAGAAGAATTAAGAAACCATTTAATTTAATGTAAATATGAGTGGTAGTTACATTTTGGAACAACCATAACCTCAAATTCAACCTCAATAACTATAATAGAGTGATGCGTCATTCCAAAGATTTCAAAGTCAATTGAATAACTATAACTTATAGAGGATGTAGATCAATTTTTCTCATTTTGTTAACGTGGAAATGACTCAGCATATTTCCACAATTACTCAACATTAAAAGAAGGAAATGTAGTTCGAATTGCTTTGTTTGTTATCAGCAAAATTCATAGCCAACTCATTTAAATTGCTGTAGTCTAACATTCTCTCGTTATTCGAATAGTACAAAAAGACAGCTGAGTACATACGATTTATTAGTCAGATGTAATAGGAGAGTCAGTTGGCATCAGAATTATTTAATAACACAATGCTGTACTTTGATAGAATAGGTTTGCTGTCCAATCTTAGATTGTCAACTGAGTTTTCTTAATTTATAGAAGGAGGAGATTTAGCATTAAATCAATTAATTTCAGTTGAAAAGATAATCAAAGAGAGAGTGATTAGCATTTCAAAATAAGTGTTGCAAAGTGCAAAGGAGAATGATATATTTTGTTTATTAGATTACATGATGGAGATGTGCTTAACTAGAAGTAAAATAATGAATGGAAATACGAATATAGATTTCTCCTTGATATATGAGAAAAAGTAAACATCAGATTATCAAGGCTAACTAAATTTTAAATTAAATGAGTTATATAGTTTTTGAAATTTATCATTGTAAAAATGACTTATTTTTTTATTAAAATACTGAAGTTTAGTCTTCCTACTTGATTCCTTTATCTCGAGCACTTTTCTAAACATATTCTACCAAAATTTGATACTCTCTTTTATTATTCAAATACCATTAGCATGCACATCCCAATCCCACAATCAGTATCAATCCCAACAAAACAACAATGAAAAATATTAAGTATTACTCTTCTTCATAGAAGTATGTCTTCACCACTTCCACATTCACAATTTGAGTGTGTCTCACTACTAAATCTTAAATATTATCGAGTGTACTGTTGTATTGGAGAGTGTATGTGAAGGTTTGGCCAACTTAAATAATATCAATTACTGTACCATCAGATTAGGAATAGAGACACTTCAATTTGATTGGGTCTATCTAAAAACGGGTAAGAAAAGCACTTTAGGCAGTGATTCCAAAGAAGAAGTCATCATAATAGTATTTTTTGGTGATATCGTCCATGTCATCCAATTTGTAGGATTGATTAAAAAACGCGAAGTCTCGTAAACCCAAATGTTTGAATATTTAATCTTGATGATGATTCATTACATAATCATACCCATTTGCAAATAAAATCATATGCTAATTCACTCCTTAAACAATGACAAAGTCTTCTGTGGCATCCAAATCAATGACACGATGATTAATTTGCTTTATCCTAATTATAAAGCTATTTCCATTATCTAAATCAACATTGAATTCAAGTACATAATAATGATTCAGAGATTAATAGGCCATAAATACATTTCGACCATTTCGAGTGTCCACTGATATCCCACCTGATTATTCACTAATCCAAGATCTTAATCCAAAACTAATAGATTAATCTCTAAAAACATCTATCAAAAATAAACCACAATTTCTATCCAATAAAAACATTGAATAAAGATTCTCCTTTGTTCCATGCTTCAAAATAGCGAAATCAGCAATATCTATTGAGTAATTCAAACCAAGAGTATCGAACTTCAAATTCTTAAGGAACTTTAGATCCTTCTGTACAATCTTATAGACATCTAAACCATCTCTTCCAACAACACTAAATACTAAGCCATCTATTTCCTTTGTCAATCCTCTCTACTTTCTTCTTCTCCAATCATTTATTTAATACACATCAAGTGAATCAGCTTACTATTCCATTTATTGCATACTAAACACTTGAGCACTATCACTAAACAACAAAAAAACTAGATTAGTAGAAGGTGCAAATAATAATTGTGGCATTTCATTTTTAGCAACCAATGATGGGGCAATCGTTTATAGGTCTGCCTTCAATCGAATCCTAGCAAACTATTAACCTTTCTCTTCAAAATCATGTACGAAAACCCTATCGTAATTAAATTTCAGGATGTATGCAATTGAATCAGAAGTAATTGCTAACATTCCATCTTTTATATGAATCATTGAAACAAATTAACGAAAGTTGAGAACACCGTCTAGTTAGAAATCACTTTCCTTAAAATCTTGATGCTAAATGATTCTGAATTCTTAGGTTTCAAATTAAACCTGCAGTGAAGTGACTTCGCAACATTTGCTTTGATTAAATGATTAAAGAATTGCATCTCGAGCATCATCAAATGTGATAGTTCTATGCTAATTAGGATGCATTTTGATTAATAATGGTGGCTCATTGATCTCTGTGATAGTGAATGCTGTTGAAGAGCCTCTAAAAACAAAATAGACGATCAAAGAAATTTATAAATAGTTCATTAAATTTAATTTATTAATAGTTTTTCAAAATACAAGATTCTCTTGCATCTCTATTAATTCAATCAAATCCTCTAAAATTATTATAGATTTCTTTAAGTATGAATTAAACAAAAGGCTGAGTGTAAACAATTTTAATGAAATGTAATTCAATATAATTCAACATAATTCAATGAGAATGAATATTAATGTTTCTTGTGGATATATGATGATCGAATAAAACAAAGTAGTAATAGTATCCTTATTTTATTGTAAGTTAGTAGTGCATTAAATTGTTTATTATACTAATATTTAATCTAATTTTCTATAGATTTTATCCACTTCTGAGAAATCTTAGAATTCAATAAATTATTTTTCTCTATGATAAAACAAAACTCATATTTCTATCGATTTCTGTGAGGTAAGAAATTCTTTATATTTTATATCTATAATTTGATGTTTGATTTGAGTTTATCATAATTTGAAAATGAATAATAAAAATAAGTTGGAAATATTTTACAGATATACTAATAATTTATAGGTAGAATGCTTGTGAAAATGAAAAAAATCATCTTTATAAGATTTCAATAATAGTGAAAATATTAAAGTATCAACTTATAATTAGAACACATTTGATTTCAAATTAAATTATTTTGGTAGTTAAATACAATTTCTAAATTGATAGGCATGATGAAGATTGGAAGATTGAGAAAAAAGAAAAAACACAAATAACAAATAATACATTAAAAAAAATTTCAGAATAATTTGGCTATTTAATTTATAATTTAAAGAATTGGTTTGACAAGAGAAAAAACGGATTCAAATTGAATTAAAATAATTTATATCGATATGTAAATTACACATAATTGCTGTATTTTGCATATATGTATTAATCAATTAAGAATACTAATAAATAAACAATATTAACAACTCCCTATTCATATTAATATTGAATAATTATAAAAATTCAATTATACTTTGCATAAATATTTGTGAAATTATTTGGTTTAGTAGTCAGAGATTTTAAATAATAAAGAATTATTGTTAGACTTCTGCTATTTTAAAAAAGATTATCTATATAAAATTTCAAAAACATATTGGTTTCGGAAAGTTGAAAAAACTGAATTTTTTTTAATTATTCCTTTTAGTGTTCATTGAAATGAACTATATAGTTTAAATTAATTGTAGATGTTTAATCGTTGTTAGTACAGATAGTATCAATTAACAAATAGAAAATGGACTGCTAAATGTTTTAACTATTATATTGGAGTCTCTTGATATAGTTTCATATCATCGAAATCCTCAAAATACTTCAAGGCCTATTCTGCTGTTATTCTTTTACTTGGATCCAATTCCAACATCTAAAGTAAGATTCTGCCGAACTCTCCCTATATCTCTTACTTTATCACTTCACTTAGATCTCCTATAAATTGTTGGTCAATAATTTAATTGCTGTTTTCCTATAACAAATTCTTTCCTGTTATTCTAGACAGTAGATATGGACATCTTACAATCTAAACAGTACAACGCCACAACTGAACATATCACATAATTCATTGTAATTGTGTTTTTGATCAAATGTAATTATTTCCGGAGCAATATATCCAGGAGTACCACATCTTGGTCTGTTAGTGGATACATCGTCGATCTTCACTGCGAATCCAAAATCAGAAATCACAATATCAATTAATGAATCCTTTTTTCTCAACAAAATATTCTCAGGCTTGATATCTCTGTGAACGAAGCCTTAGTTATGTATATAGGCTAAGCCAGAGAGCAATTACTAAGGTAGCGAAATACTCTTACACACATTACTGCAATAATTTCGGAGTTATCCAAAGAATGGTTTTCCAAATATTCTTTTAATTAACCTCCTTCGCAATACTCCATTATCAATAGCCAATATTTCTTGTGCTAGAATATACTCTTTAACTAAACGACATTTCGATGTTTTAATGATTACAACGCTGCTATTTCATCTTGAATGTCCTAGTTGTAAATACAAAATTCATTACATCCAAAGAAGTCATCAGGTCGTTTCTCAAGGTCTTGGTTGCATACATTTTTCCATCTTGTGTATTCTTAATGAGCAGGACCTATAATAAATTGTTTCTGCTTACCTTCCCAAAGTTGCCTTCTCCAATAATGGTTTATGGTTTGTAAAAGGTATTGATATTCTTATAAACTACTTTGCTATCCAGCTTGTCTTTCAGAAACACACAATCTAGATGAGAAATGAGAAAATATTTCTCTTTCTTGGCGATTTCAATGGTGAATCCTTTGAATTGTTTGTGCTAATCTAATTTCCATTCCAAAATTGTGGCTAGTCCAATTGTGATTTCATATTTGATGTTGTTCTAATCCTAAGGGTGAGATTTATTTAACATACTTTCCCTATTTGGATTGAATTTTCAGTTAAGTAAAGAAAATAATGCTAATCAAAAAGACATTTCCTTCTTTTACAGATCATCAATTTAATTAATTAGAAAGTGTCTTCATATATGATGACTTTTATTATTTGTTATAATTTAACCAAACCAACTAAAAGCTAAGCACTGAAAATTAATCTGATTTATATTATAAGATAGGTAGTATGAATTATAAGAATTACAGAACGTATTTTTAATAGCTCCCAATTAATTAGTAAATGAAATGATCATAAATGGTGCATTGCACAATCAAAGAAGATGTGGAATACCATTAAATTAAAATCGGAATTTCTGAATAATAATATTCTCAATAATATTATTTTAACAAGATTTAATGTCTGGCCTCTTCTACAATATAGGCTATTTCGGAGCCAAGTATCCATGCCTTGTCTTTGTGATTTGCATGACAGTAACAGGTATAATGTCTCTGGGACTATACAATCTGACTGTGCTGACCGACCCATAGTGTAAAATATTGAACAATATATTTTTCAGCATTGTGGGTATCATCAAGCAGTAGAACCTACCAGGAGCAGGAGAGTTCTGCAGAAAATTATGGTCCTTTCTATAGAACCAATTAATTTATACTGGCATACTAGAATGAGGACTGGGTGAATGTATTCCAAAAGGATGGACTAAAAGTGATCTACTTTTTATAGAACATCATAAGAAACAGAAAAGTGTTGATAGGAGGCAAGAACACAACTCTGGACGATTTGTGCTACAGACCAATATCTGCAAAAGGATGTTACGTACCAAGCCCGATGGATATTTGGTTGCAGGATCCTTCACTATTAGATGTTTAATAATGGTATTATTATAATAGAAAGACGATGACATTCAATTTACAACACTTTGCACAGAATCAATTGATGTGAACCAAACGAACATCCCATGCAGTGATAAGAACGGTATTCCCATTATTTTGGAATCAGTGTTTGGTGGAATGTATAATAATGATGTATGAACAAAACTAGAGATTGTGAAGAAAGAGCAAACGATACCCAGCCATGTGACCATTGTTACATACAAGCCAAGACTATGGCAGTAACTTATTTATTGATGAACGATGAATTTACCAAGAAAGATGCGGAATTGTGGGAGAAGGAAGTCTGGATGGATACTTTGGATGCCTTGAATAAAAGAGATTATGCTAAACTATACAAGTACTACGATAAAACTTTAATGCCTGCTCCTCGAGAATAACTGTTAGACCAATATAGAGTAGCTTTTATGGCAGAGAGATCAGTCTCAGATGAAATTGATGATGAGACTAATCAGAATGCTTGGATTGTTGTGGTTTCCTACTTTATGATGTTTATGTATATTGGATTTGCAATTGGTCAATTTCCAAGTAAGATCTATAATGGATTTACATTGGGTTTGGGTGGTATCTTCATTGTGGCTGTCTCCATGATCAGCAGTATCGGAATGGTATCCTATTTCAGCATCGGTTTGACTATGATCAGTTTGGAAGTAAGTGAATTTATAATAATATAAGGTTATTCCGTTTCTTATTTTGGCTATCGGAGTTGATAACATGTTTATTATTACACACAATTACAAAAAGTAGAAGCATCCAACAGTGCCTGAGAGAATGGGACAAACATTAAAGTAAGTAGGTCCCAGTATAACTATTGCAGCTATTTGTGAGACTCTCGCATTCTTAGTTGGATCTTTAACCAAGATGCCAGCCTTGCAATCCTTCTGCATTTAAGCAGCAGTAGGTGTATTTATAGATTATCTTTTATAAATCACTATGTTTGTTGCCTTCCTTACTTTGGATGAATAAAGAAAAAAACATAAAAGATACGATTTAATGATTTGCAAATAGGACCCAAACTACGCAATCAAAGAAGACAGAAAACTGATTCAAACATTCTTCAAAAAACATTACTCTCCATTCATATAGAAACCAGTCTGTGTGATTACTACAATAGTCATCTTTGTAGCCTCATTTACCATTAGTTGTGTTGGAGTAACCAAATTAGGAGTTGGCTTAGATGAATAAGTATCCATGGTTGAAGGATCTAATCTATTCAATTATATGACTTTGGAGAAGAAATACATTGAAATTGGACCTTTGGCTTATTTAATTTTAGAGAATCTAGATTATTAAGATCAACACGATCTAGAGTTGGTTGCCAATTTGTCCAATTCATTATCTTAATTGAATGAAACAGTTTAACCTCCAATTTACAGTTGGGTGGCTTCTTTCAATCTCTTTATCAGAGAAAAAGCAGAATGGACATAAGCTTGTGAGACCTAAGATATTGCACTCTATGATTTACCTACTCAATTGAAGCGATTCTTGGGAGTCAGAATCAATTCTCCATGTTGTCAAAGATTCGGTATCTGCGGTGAAACCTTTGAGGCTGATATCGTACTGAATGAATAAGGCTACGTCAAAACCAGTAGACTGAGATTTCAACATAGACCTATTCATAATTCAGCAGGATATATATTATCCTTAGAATAAACCAGACAAGTCATTGATAAAGTAGTTAAAGATGCCAATCTTAAAGATAATCAGAAAGTCTACCCTTATTCAATGCCTTATGTTTTCTACGATTAATATTCTTACATCCGTGCAGTTGCAATTACAAATGTACTCCTTGCCTTAGCCACTATCTTCTTCACCATGACACTTGTTTAAGATGTTGTTTGTGCTATTATAGTGGTGCTATTTGTGTTTCTGATTGCCTTCAATCTCATTGGAACCATCTGGTTAACCAATGTTATTTTTGGTGGTTTTGTTGTAAAGATACATTGTTATTTTAGATTGAAATCAATGCAGTAAGTGTTGTCAACTTGGTGACTTGCATCGGTTTGGCTGTCGAATTTGTAGCTCATATTGTTATCAAATTCAGATTATGTGAAGGTAAAAGATGGGAAAGAGTTACTGGAGCTATGTCTACAATGGGAACTTCAGTTTTTGTTGGCATCGCTTGTACTAAATTTATCGGAGTGGCTGTACTTGGATTCGCTCCATCCACTCTTTTTAAACTCTACTATTTTAGAATGTATATTTTGATGGTTGTTTTGGGAGCTTTTAATGTAATTATTTATTAGACTACTTCTAGGGTTTAGTCCTACTGCCAATATTTTTGGGTCTATTCGGACCTTAATTCAGCATTATGAAGGTAAGAGTCAAATCTCTTATCAATTAATCCGAAGGCACTAATCTTTCATCACAACAGCAGGCTAAAAAGAAAGCAACTTATTATTGAAATTTGTTATATGTTAAAATTATATAAAATTAATTTTTATCATTTACTGTATTCCAATTACATTCGATTATTTAAATCACATATAATGAATAGATTGACCCTCAGGTTCAAAGATCCCGCTCTGGAAAAACAGTATGAGTAAAGCCAATTTGAAATGTATAGAACTAAATCAAATTACTACTTTTTAACTATCTTTTTAGTAATTTGTGTTCTTTAGTTCATTTCAGAATGGCTATACTGTTCATTAGAAACTGGACTTGCCTGGAAATTAATCAATATCGTCTTGATAGCATTTACTTTAATTTTTCTCTGCAAATATCCACAATTCGGAAAAGAAGCTATATTCTTTGAAAATCTTATCTTGATTTCTTCAAAGTTGTAACACCTATATTCACATATGGGCCATGATGATGATAAAATTACCGATCTAATTACACTTACAGACTTAGAATATCACTTACATATATTGTAGGTTTTCGATGTTGGTTGTTTCTAAATAGTACTTTAATCGGCTAACAACATTTTTATGGAATATTTCATAGGTACTCGCGTCAACATATTTTAAATTGTCAATAACATTTTATGTGCGTCCATTAAAATGATAGTTATGTATTTCTTTAAAGAATGGAGTAGATAGCAATTTACTCTCTTTTTAAAAGATCAAATCTGGTAACAGTAGCTTCCAAATATCATCTAAAAACCATTTTTCAAATTCACTCTAGAAAATTTTACAAAGCAGTTTAGATCCATTTTGAGTAATCAGATAGAGATGTTCCCTTCATACGATCCCAATTTTTGTGAAGGATGCAATTTGAGGTCATTCTTACGATTTTGTATAAGGGACAAGAAGACATTAGAGTAAAAATTACTCGACGATTATATACATAAGGAGCAAATATAGGGAAAGAATAACGAAGAAGTTTGGTATAGCAACAATCTGAAGCATTATTCCATTAGAATATGTAACCTAAATGTCGAAAGATTTAAATGTTTAATTATTTTAGAAGAATATAAGCATAAAGAGAAATAATCAATATCAAATAATTTAATCAAAAAGTAATTATTAAGATCTATTTCCTCTCGTTCCAATCATATTACCAACAAATTTTTCAAATTAGGAATGTACACAATATTTTCCATCAATAACGAACAAATTGGGCTAGTAAACATGTACATTCTACTTAAAAGATTGTCAACTTATTACAGTTTTTTGGACCTAAAATTGTTACCTATCCAAGGTGAGAATTATAAGTCGTTTCTTATAAAAACATACAGTAAAAAAATAGTGAGTTTTATGGTATGTATCTTTAATATCTTCATAAAAATCTAAACGAGTAAAATTAAGAAGATATTTCTTAAGATTGAAATACTTGATTGGGATACGATATGCATTCAAACAGAGGGAGTAGATCATAAAGTATTTTTAGAGGAATACAAAATGAATCTATATTTAGTTTAGGTTGAACAGTAGCTTTTGGTGTTTCCAGTCAGTGATTCGTTAAGGTTTGTGTTTTAATCTTAAAAGGACAAAGAACCATTGGAGATGAAATATTTAAAAAATGAATATTGATTTCTTTCATTGAATAAATATATATTTTCTATCTTTTTGATTTTATATATGCAACTTATGAATTGCGATATTGATTTTGGGTTATTAAACAAGCAAAAAAAATAATTGATTAAATGATAAGTAAAACCAATTATATCTAAATTTCAGCATTCCAGTGTTTTGAGTCTCGAGAATCTTTTCTGTCTTGGCATGGTTTACTATTCGGGATGAATAATTTCAGTACTAACCCTTCCTTCGATATCCACAATTTCCAAGGCAGTATTGAATTCTACTTTTTTTTTTTTGGCTTATAGTTATTCAAGATCCTTGAAGGATTTGCTAGACTTATCAATGGAGGAGGGTTATAGCACAGTATTTGAGTGGAGTATTCTGCTCTAGTGTTAGTATTTTTATTTGGTTTCGGGGAAGAAGTAAACATCTTCAACAGCATTATCTCGAACAAACTTGGAATTTATTTTGGGGAGCACTAAAAATTTGGTATGTTGAGTTTTTTGCATTTCTCTTTTTTATTCAGTCTATTTGGTCAAAAGAGAAATGCTTTCAGATTTGAACCTCAAATTGTAATCTGGGAGTGCATCGAAGTTATTTAGGAAACTTGCTGGGTCGAAATCAATGTCTCTTTAATTAGATTTAGATTTTAATTCATCTTTTTGAGAGGCGAGATGCAATGATCTTGCTGGCTTGAGATATGGATGCATTTCTCTTATAAAAATTAATTGAGATATGATAATAGAAATCATTCAAATTCTGTAAGTTAGGTAGGATTACTTAGATGGAATCTCCGAGTATTTTTTCTGCTTAATCGTCTATGTTCTTTGTGATCATTCAAGGATTCCTTAATTATGGAATTTGTCGTTTCATCTACAATGTCCACCATTTTTGAGAAGTCCACTCTTTTGTGTCTCATTCTCAACTTCTTGAGTATCTCCTCGCTCCCTTTTGGACTCAAACCATTCTTTTCATAATATATTGGATTCTTAAATAAATCTTTGAAGGTCAGATCTGGCATTAAATTTATTTGTTGTTGTCTTGGAGTAAGAAACTTCTCTTCAATCATGGGTAACTTGATGTATGGGGAGGATTACTAAACAGTTGGGAGGTGTTAATGTGAATTCTTTCTGAATTTGTGTTTGTTAGTGATAACTGGAGTCTCCAATGAATAATTAGGAGAAGTGGCTTCGCTCTAAATGCCAGTGATTTGATGATGGTCATTATAGGGTTCATACGTTAGGAGGTTTAGAGGGGGAATAGTATTTAATTTTCGATGCATTTCCAAATTTTGATTGTTTAATCTGATTGGGAAAAATTAATTTTAATGAAGAAAATATCAACAATGCAATCTAAATTCATGATTGTTCTGTTTAATTAAACACCAGTACTTTCATCAAATCAAATAATTTTACTTGTGAATTAGTCATTACAATTTATATTTATTTATATATATATATATTCATTTCAAATATAAATGCAACCAGTCCAACCTATTGTAGAAGGATAGCGAACTAGAACTATATACACCTTAATCAAAGACTAGAAATACAAAGACGCCATCAATTATTTGAACTACGAATTACAATTTTGTCCCAAAAGCAGAGCTCTTTCACTTTTGGCATATTGTCATTATATGAATCAAGATTTTTCTCAAGCAGTGGCTATGTACATACCATACCATCTAATCTAGTTATGAACAATTAGTCAAGTACTATCCAGAAATTGATGATTACAAAATCTATTTAGCTCAATCCTATTACAAAGATAGTAATCAATTATTTCAAATATAGGTCTTTATGATGAAGCTCTCAAAATTTGTGCTTCCGTTGAAAACCCTCAATATTAAGGCAAAATCGTATAATTGCAAGCCTTGATTCGATATGAGAAGAATGAGTTTCAACATGCCAAAACCTTACTCAAATAAAATGATATGGACGACCCTGATTCAATAATAAATGAGGCCTGCATCCTATTCAAGGAGAACAAATTTGAAGAGGCTAGATAGAGATTTCAAGATGCCATGAATTTAACAGGGTATTCTTGCGAACTCTCATATAACATTGCACTTTGCTATTATAAATAAAAATAACTGGCATAGTCATTGAAATTTATTGCAGAAATCATCGAAAGGGGAGTCAGAGAACACCCTCAATTGGGAGTGGGATCAAATGCTGAAGGAATTGAAGTTAAAAGCGTTGGAAATTCATAGGCATTAAAAGAGTCAGCCCTGATTGAGGCTTTTAATTTGAAAGCAGCTATAGAATATACAATCAAAAATTATTCTGCTGCCAAAGAAGCACTTATTGATATGCCTCCAAGAGAAGAGGACGAACTAGACCCAGTCTCCTTGATGAATTAAGCATTGATGAATATAGAAGAGAAAACAGCTGAAGGATTCAAGAAGTTGAATCATTTATTATAGAATCCTCCATTCCCCCCTGAGACCTTTTCAAATCTATTGCTCTTATATTGCAAATACGGATACTTTGATATGGCTGCAGATATCTTGGCAGAAAATGCTGATCTCACATTTAACACAATAAGTCAAGACGATTTCGAATTTGTTGATGCTCTCATTTTAACAGCCAGCAGTCCAGAAGAATCATTTCGAAAATTCTAAATCTTGGCCAATAAACATATTGACACATTAAGGAGAATTACAAAATCAATTTAAGATTCTCGACTCAACAGAGATAATGAGGGTATCAAGAAATCATTGAAAGATTTTGATGAATGTCTTGAGAAGTATATTCCTGTCTTGATGGCCTAAGCTAAAATCTATTGGGATAAGGACAATTATTAACAAGTTGAAAAGCTATTTCGATAATCAGCCGAATTTTGTGCAGATCATGATGTTTGGAAATTGAATGTTGCCCACGTTTTCTATGTCTAAGATAATAAATATAAAGAAGCCATAAGATATTATGAACCAATTGTTAAGAAAAACAATGATAATCTATTGTCATTGACAGCCATTGTCATAGCCAATTTATGTGTCAGTTACATTATGGTCAATTAGAATGAGGATGCAGAAGAATTGATGCGAAAATTAGAAGCTGAAGAATAAAAATCACAATATTAAGAACCTGACAAACCTGTTTATCATCTTTGCATTGTAAACTTGGTCATAGGAACATTGTATTGCTCAAAAAACAATTACGAATTTGGTGTATCCAGAGTTATCAAGTCCTTAGAACCTTACAACAAAAAAGTAAGATACATACATCGAAATATTACAATTAGATTAATACAGACACATGGTATTATGCAAAGCGATGTTTCCTTGCACTCATTGAAGTTCTGGCTAAACACATGATCATACTCAAAGACACATCTTACAGCGAAATATTGGACTTCCTGGATGCCTCTGATTCCTGTGGCAAAGCAATTCCATCTGTAATAGCTATATCTCTTATGTAAGGTGATCAACCCTCTTGAGTAGATGGATGAGAAGCATACAGTCTCTTACGAAGCGAGAATGATCAAGAGAATGTTTTTGAAATTAAGAACATGATAAATATATAATTTATAAAATTTAAAGAATAAGTCTCTTAGAAGAATGTAAGAAAATTACATTCTATAATAATTGACATTTAATTTACTAAAATTAATTTATTTTAAAATAATTTTATAATCTCTAAATTTAATTATTTTTAGTATAAGATTAATTATTTTTATACATTAAAACGATAAAGTTTATCAATATTTATTTTTTGAACAAAGATGTAATCTCTCTGTTTTTTGGCAATTCCTCAGTTTCATGTATTCACAACTTTGTTTTGCTTTGTTTATTATATACTCAGTGTAGAAAAGTAAGAATTTCATTAAAATAAGTTAATCTGAAGAATTGGCCTCCTATTTTCTATCAGGCTTACAACTTTTAGTCGGTTTGATAGTCTTAGGGTTAGTGTTTGCAAGACCTAAGCATAAAGTGAGAAAAATTTACATATTATGCTTTGTCTGTTTGTTCGTTGCGATATAAGTTTACTTATTGGTAGAGAATTTTAGAAGGGAAAACTGTTTGGTGCTATTTATATTAGAATTTTTCTCCATAGAAATGATATTTTCTTTGGTTATTCTCCCAAATAAGTTAATTGGAATAGTCCTACAGGTTCAGGTATACTTAATTGCAATTTGTTTGGATCTGATGTCATTTTATATATAGTAATAATTTTCGTAAGATTTAGTTATTATATGGATAAGTTTAACTTAAACAGATCCATTTCGATTTTAGGTTCAAGTGTAATTGAGATGATTACATTGATATTGTGTATAGTGTGTCAACTGAACCCATAGAAAAGATTGGCTGATGAAGTGCATCTCATTATAGGATTTTACATCTTTTGTGAACTCTTTGTCTGTTGTACTTTCGTAGCCGAATGTGTTAGTGTAAATAAACATTTTCTATTTTATTAGTAAGGAGTGAATGCATTCCTAATAGGATTAACAATTTTGAAAATATCTAATATATTCTTGGATTTCATACTCTATCCCTTTGTGAAATTGAATTACCCTGAGAATTAGATAAAGCCAGGAAGAGTTGATATAGAAAACCCCCCTTAGAAATCAGAGTTAAGAAGTGTGGCAACAAGAGAGACGCTTAGTGATGATTAGAATAGCTTAAAGAAAGATGCAGAGGAACCTGTTCGCATAGAAAGGAAGGCTTGTCCATCAATTTAATGGATTTAGGATTTATTAAAAATTTATTGATTTATGTTACTTAACAATCTTTATTAATTAAATTTATGAAGGTAATTTCTTGATTGTAAGTTTAATGAATTGAGTATAAGGAGGATTGGATTGAGATGATGAAACATGTTATTAAGAGATGGGTGGGAGATCTTTAAATGAGATAAACTCAGGGTTGGATGAGGATTTGAATAAATTGAATGAAGAAATGGTTCATGATTAAATTCTAACGATGATATTGTGAAATCATTAAAATTCAAATAGTTCTTACTCAATCTGAAGTGATGGGTACATTATATTAATGAACTTCTCACTTCTGATTTTCTATTTTTTGAAAAACTCAATCACGTATTCTAAGAGATGATATTAATAATAAATTACTCTTGCTTATGCCATTGCTCAATGATTCAAGATATTTGATGTAGCTGATATCGTTGTTGGTGATGGTTAAGGATTCTGAGTTTTTGCGAGGTACTTGTTCTTGATCCTTTTTTAACCCATGTTGGATGATTTCTTTGGTTAGTAACTGTTTTTAGCCTGATTTTTGAAAAACTTGGTTGAATTTTTTGATCTTCTTTTTAATTTGTTTGTATAGAATAGCAGATTCTGTTGACTTTTGAATTTATTGTTTCATATTGATTGCGATGTTTGTCTTGATGTTTTATCCATTGCAGTTTAGTTCTTTGATGTAGAGTAGTACTTCATCCTTGTCGTTGAGTTAGGTTTCAAATTGGGATGCAATGCCTTAAATTGATGTGATGGATAGGAGTACCTTGGATGTCTGTTTGCTGAGTTTAAATCTAGTATTGATGACCATCTGGATCTATGAGGATATTGTTCGAAATTTGGATGGGGACTTCTTATTTAAATTTAAGTCCTTGTCGTTGAGCATAAATAAAACTTCTGCAAAGCGGGAATAGCATAAAGAAAAAATTAAAGAAATTTTAAATCTTATTTATTAAATCGGATTCAAAGTAAAGAGTTTGAGTTATTGTATTAGTGTTAAGGTACGCACCATATTAGGATCAAAACAGACCATCATAAAACGGACTTCATGTTTCCGATTTGGAGGAAGGTATAACAGAGGAGTAATTATATGTGGAATTTAGAAAGTTTGGATAAATTAGCTTCGTAAAATTGCATAGGTATGCATATGAATTCCTAAAATAGATATCCTTTTATCGGAAAGTCTAAGCACTATGCTTTCATATATTTCTCGTCTCAAGAAGAGGCTCGTAAAGCAAAGGAAGCGATGAATTACAAATAGCTCTTAAGAGAGCCAATGCGTATCACTTACATCTAAGAATACGAGAAGGATGCTAATTTATTCTTTGCAGGCTTCGAATTGACTGTAACATTAAAGCAACTTGAAGAATTCTTCTTAAAATGGGGGCAAGTTGTCAGTGTGAAGTTGTCTACTGATGAGAATAAGAAAAGTCGAGGTACAATGTGAAATTCAATTTAAGGTTATGGATGGGTGTAATTTGAGAAGAAGGAATAAGCCAATGAATTGTTGGCTGAGAGTACAGATGGCACAATCGTATACAACGAAAACACTAAGATCATAATCAAGAGATTTGTTAAGAAAGGCCAAACAGACAGAGAGGATAAGCGAAACAATCTCTATATCAAGAACTTCTGGCCAACACTCGATAATTATGATTTAGAAAACGCAGAAGTTCGCGAATCCTTAGTATAATTAATGTTCATCATTCTAGGAAAAAGAAATGAGAGAGAAATTAAATGAGTGGTTCAAGGGTTATGGATAAATTGTTTCAATCCTAGTCAAAATTGATGTTGAAAGAAAAGCACCATTTGCATTCGTTAGTTTCAATAGACATCAAGATGCCAAGGAGGCCTAAAGAGAACTTGGTACAACTCAAAAGAGAGATCCCTTGAGCACCGGTAGAATGATGTATGTTGGATGGGCTTAGACCAAGACAGATAGAAAACAGTAAAGAGACAATAACATCTTTGCTAAATATATCTATGCTGATCATCTCTCAAGAAATGTCACTGAAGAAATGATCAGAACTACTCTCAAAGAATGTGGATATGGTGATATTCAAATGGTATCCCTATGACACTATCATTTTAGATTAGACTGGAGAAAATGCAATAAGGATTCCAATAGATCATCAGAATTGGATACATAGTCTTCGATTAGGCTTCTGATGCCAACAAATTGGTTAAGAATTTCAAGGAAAACGAAAAGTTTGAAGAAATCAAGAAACTCTTCGATCCAAGTGTCGAAACTGCTGGTGGCAAATACTTCTAACATCTCTTCCCCCAATAATCCTAATCAAGAGGATAAAGAAGAAACAATTAAAGACAATCACCCAACAGAAGAATGTATTCTATGCCTTAGGGTCCTGCTCCATTTGGTTAGAGAATGCCTTTTCCTCCCTACCAAATGCAATAGAGAATGTAGGGTCCTGGAGGAATGAGAAGACCTTTCCCTTAACAAATGCCAGGATTCCCTCAACATTTCAGACCTAACATCCCTCCTCCTGTTTAATAGCCAGAAGCTCAATAGCAAGCTCCTCCTCAAGCCATCGTCTTCAATAAGAGATAAGATTTATTAGATTTGTTGGCTAATGTAGAGACTTTCAAAGCCAAACCTTAAGAAGAATAACTCAGATAAATTTAGTAATATAATTTAACTATATTTTCAGACAAATGCTCTATTACAGAATTAAGGCAAGACTTAGTACTGACACAGAGGCACATTGGAAGAGAATAAGTGAAATTTTGTCAGATCCCACAAATTACTCAATTGAAGAAATCATTGAGATGTTTAAAGAAGAAGAACAGTTCAACTCCTACGTAGATGAAGCCATTGAATAATTAAAGGAGGCATCCTGCTGGTGATCATTTTATAATTTGTTCATTAAATAAATATTAATAATATCGATTAATATGTAAAGCTGATTCAATTTGCACTCAAAATAATATTGTTAATTGGGATGAAGACTAATTTGATGAAGTATCCAACAGCTCCCATAACTGCAAATCCAATGGCACATGATGTTGCTATTTTGATGTATTCTATAATTTGAATATTAAGGGGATATACCTCTTTTATCTGGTTTAGTGCATTTTCTCATGAATCTGTAGCTTTCCTATCCGAAACTTTAGACATCAGACAAGATTCCATTGATTCCATTGAGAGTTTCTTGGCTCATTTTATTTTAATTATTGAATCACACACAATAATAACTTAAGTGATATAATTGCAATATACGTGTAATAATTATTTATAAAATATTAATATATATATATAAATAATCATTTTGGGAATATGCGATTGTCAACCTTGTTTCTGTTGACAAACTTCTATTCCCTGTACTGACTCGGAGCCTATTCAATAGGATTGTTGTAGAATTGTCCTATGGTTACAATACTTACTTACCATAACCTTTGTATTGAGCATCATCCAATTCCTTCTTGCGATTCAGAACTCTGCTGTTTTAACGTGCATTATTCATATTCTCAGTCTCCTGGAGATCGACGTTGAAAATGTTAGAATTCTTGTTTTTAATGGATGCGATTTTATGCTATTACACTATTGATAATCATTGTATCCAATACATTAACTGAATTGGCTGAGAGCATCATCCTATTGTGGTTATTCATATGGATTATTTTTCTAATACGAATTGGGATCTCCGTTATAAGCATTCTGAGTATTCTGAGCACCATAAGCAATTCCAGTGATTGGGTTGTATTGTTAAATTGGTGGTTTAGCAGAATAGACCTTGTTGCCACTGCTTCCTTGTTTATACTAAATCCTTGAAATATGTGACATACTTTTTAGTAGATTGCCTCATCATCATTGGGTTATTGATAATGATCATATTTGTTGGATTGCTACAATAGTTACGGTTACTAGTAATTGTGATTGTCTTAATTGTTATAATTATGAGATCCATATGGTTTCCCATATTGGTCAAGTGAATCTTAATAATACTGTTCTGGTTGTTTGTGTTAGACTCCAGCCTACTCTTGCTTCTTGAGCATCTCCTGGTAGTACATTTACTTCAGATAGTCGTCGTCTTATTTTTACTGATATTATTATTGAATACTTCGGCTTAATAGACATTTCCTTAATAGGCAGCATTGTTGTTGTTCCTCTGGTCTTAACCAACCTTGCCTGCTAGTTTATAATCCTCCTTTCTGGTTTAATCTATGTCCCAACCTATTTTGAATCCTTGTCTGTTATTCACATTATCTATATTCTCAACCAAGAATGATACCGTTATAAGTTCTGATCGAGTTCTTCTTGTCTCCGTCAAATATCACTTGATTCTTAGGTCCTGTTCTTGACTAATAATGACTTAAATATTTTTAAAACCATCGCTAATCTTCTATATTCAAATTTTATAAATAATTAAATTACAACCAAAAAATTCAAAAATAATTATTAAATTATCATCGTTAATAATAATCATCATTTCTACTTTGACTATGCCTTCTTGATTAATTTATTCTCCGTTCCTTCCATCCTCCCGACTTCTAACAAATAACTTACAATCTTATTGAAAATATCCTAGAACAACACGTCCTCCTCTTTATCTTTGAACTTCCTAATAGACCACTTCACTTCATTTGTCCTCTTATTTTGACTAGATTTTATTTCCAAGTCGCTCTTGTAACTCAAAGCTAAGTTCTTGAAATTCTTATTGTTTACGATCATAGCCTATAATAATGCGAGCATAACTATACAGATATTCTACTCTTCCAAAATTGAACTGCTAATTCCTGAGCTTGTTTAATCCACAACTCTTCCACCACAATCAACACATTCAGTGTGAGACTCTTAATGTTGGTTAAACAATCAGGCCAATTGAATAGATCAAACCTAGCCATTGGTTTACTGGAAATACTGATGTTTTGATGATCATTTAACTTTCGATAATAGAACTAATCCAAATAGATTTGAATCCCACAAGCATTTTTGTTAGTAGCTTTATTATTCAAGTAATGACTGTAATTGCCCCCAATAATAAAAGAATCTATATTACTCTTTTGATGTCTCCTCTGATAACTAATTAATTACGAATGTCTGATACTTGGTCTTCTGAACAGGTTCTGATCGCGATTGCATAACATCCTATTCAAAATTCCTAATTACATTACTCTATTCCCTTGTAACCTCTACAAACTATAGTATAAAATTGAAATATCAAACCTCGAAACAGATTCCAGAATAATAACATGAAAGTTCATTCAATTAGAAGAATTAATAAATTACTTCAAGATCACACAGTATTCTAGTATCCTGAACAAGTTCTTCAAATTTTTCAATTTCATTAATTATATCCTTGAATCTTGATTCAAAACTTGTAAAGTAACCCTTCAACTCTTCTCTTAATGTACGCTTTTTATGTCCAGGTCCATGTTCGAGTGTCTTTTTTCCACTATCACGCAATGATGACGAATGATGGATCTCATTTGTATAACTCTTAGGTAATTTCAAAGTCATTAATTTCAAGAATCTATCTATCTAACTCTTTGTAAAATTGAATTCTTCACTCAAAACCTTCGAAATATCATTCTCTAAATCAAAGAATTATTGGTTTCGATTTACCATTGAATTCAGCCTTGCTATCTTTTGTAAGATACTTTAATGTCTTAACATTCGTATGACCATTTAGGAACTGAACCCTAATTCTAATAGAGCTAACTCCAAGAAATGGGTATGACTGATCCTCAACTCAAAATGACCTGCATTTTAAAATTAATTGATCACATCTCTGGAGATGCTTAGTAATTCAACGAGTTTGATTGGACCGGGATCCTGTTCTGAAATGATTTCATATGCAACACAATTGTGTTTTGAGAGTTGAGGCCTATCAGAATGCTACACTTCACCTAGAGTATATCTTCTGAAATTTTTAAGTGGAAGGATCTTCAGCAATTAAATCATGGGTTACAGCAGATTCTGACAATATTAAACCAATTCTCCAGATTGAGTAATCAATCTAAAACTCTGATTTTAATGGATCGAATTTTCATACTCCTCTATCTGACCAAATATGGATAAATATTTCAGTGTATTTTAAGTGGGAATAAGAGGATTAAGATCCAATTAAAAGGCTCCTCTAAGTTTAAATATCTTTTCAACTCTTGCAAACAATTCTAAAATACCTGATAAAAAATTGCTAAAAAATGACTCAGGACTCTTGCTTATGGCTTCCTCCAAACAGGAAGTAAACAGATTGTTTTATTATCTTAATTGTTTGCATTCAAAGAGAGTTGAAACTAACTCATTGAAATCAGGGCAATTTGGATTAGCAATTGATCTAATCACTTGTTAAACTCTTTTGTCTTTGTACTCATTAAGGAGACTCTAAGTAGCAGGACGCTTTTGAGGATCCTTGTCGACTAGACTAGCTATCTTCTCTCTTATTTCTATGTCTATCTTATCGACCTTCTAATCGAAATCTTTAGGAAATTTACATTAGTCTCTCAATTGAGTGATGTAATTGATTCTCTCCATGTCTGTTTTGAATGGATAATACATCTCAAATAGGATGATGCCCAATGAGTAAATATCAACCTTTGAATCATACTGCCTTTGCTCTTATTCAGGTGCCAAATATAGGAAGGTGCCAACACCCGAAGTCAAAGAGAGTCTCTCATTTTAACCTTGTTATACATTGGTTGAGGTTCTCATAATTTTTTGATCATAAAACTTGATTTCTTGTTTCATTTCAGTGGCTAAACCAAAATCACCCAATTTGACATTCAAATCTCCGTCTAGAAAGATGTTTTAAGGTTTCAAATCTCTATGAATGATATTATTTTTATGTAGATAATGCAATGCATCTAAGATTTGTCGAATAATCTTCTTACGTTTATCGGATGTTAAATTGCAATCATCTATTTTCTTTTTTAGAGTATCCCCTTTACAATACTCCATCTAAATATACAACAATTGTTTATTGCAATTCTACCTTGGTTAATGAGGTTTGACCTTTGGAGTTTGAAGAGATTCCTCTTGATTTTGTTGATCACAATTCAACCACTCAATTTGAAAATCAACATCAGGACCATCTTGATAATCAAAGATCGGATCATCATCCTAATATTCTTAAATGGAACTGCTTTCCTTTCTTACTTAATGTGGATCATCATACTCTGACTCATCTTCACTTTCTTCATCGTATTTCTCATCGTCTTCAATATTTTCATATTCATCCTTGACATACTCCTCAGTCCAGGCCTAATAATACCTCACAATGTTAGGGTGTTGGATTCTCGACAATAGTACAGCCTCATTCTTGGTCTTTTCAGTTAATTTCTTATCTGAGTAATCCAGGACTATTCTCTTTAAGGCGTAATAATTTCCATCGAATTTATTTCTTGATTTGAACACTTTGCCGAATCCTCCACTTCCAATAAGTTCAATTTCATCGAAGTCTTATTGAAATCTAGAGAAACTACATGCCTGTAATTGACAGAGTTGGTCAACAGGAATTGATTGTGAGATGGGTTAGAATTGCTGTTCCGATTTGTCATACTTCTCTACAAGATCATCTTTGAGTGTGTTGAAACCGAGAATGGATTACCTCATGTCTTAATCTTCGCTTGTGTTTCCAAAAGTATTTGAGATTCCTCTGGTAATTTAAATTTCAGGATATAATTCTATTTATTAATTGCTACTGCTAAACTTGTATTAGTTTTGTGTTCTTCTCTGTATAAATTCTTTGTCGAGTTCGGTCAGTTTGGTTTCTATCTAAATAATGGTTTCCATCAAATTGTTGATAGTGCAAACAGACACTATGGTAAGAATTTATTATTTCTCTTGGTCAAGGAAGGAAGAATGAAACAACACATCTATTGTAAACACTGGTCCTTTGACAAGGAGTACAATTTAAAATGTTGATTGTTCATCCAAAAAACTCTTTAGGTCTAATTGAAATTGAATTGAATCCTCTTTCTCGTAAATCAGATGAATATCATAAGGGTAGATGTCTTACAATTGCAAAAACTGATCTTTAATTTAACTCAATCTGGGATTGCCTTACAATTGCAGTGCTTATTCAAAATCATGATTAATTGTTTACGAATATTCATTTTTTTGCTCAAAACAACTAATGTCTGTTTGAGTACTTTAATTTTTCATTATTAAAACTATAAATGATCACTATTAATTTATAAACTTTAATTCAATGTTAATCTTGGCTGTCGACTACACCTCCAACAATCTGTTTCTCAAATTCAATTCGTCACCCCAATCTGTTTGATTTCTAACATTCAACAACTGCATTTTTACTTTAAGAAATTCACGTGCATCTCCTTCAACCCTGTCCACGACCTTATCGACTGAAGCATCACAGTAACCGAACCCCCTGTGCCCTTGACGCTCTCCAAACTCAAAATCAACTTCTGCAACTCTTTCAACTTCTGCAATCCCTAAAATAAAGTATCCACTCCTTTCTCGCCTAATGGATTGCTACATATAATGTTATGATACTGATCCAAAATCATCTTCACTTCCACCAATTGCCCTGCTTCTCCAAAACAATTATACAATAACTCCATACCATTCAATCCTATCTGATTGGATCTAAAGTTCAAATTTATACTCCGCAATTTCTTCTGACTCGTCAGAAATCTATTCACATATCTCAACCCATAACAAGTACAATTAACACTTGTATAATGATTAATCCATCATACTTTCAATCCAAAGCTTCAGTTCCCTCAAAGACTGCTTCATCTCATGAATTGCCTTTGCCAAAAACCTTACACCATCATCTTCGATCCTATTCTTCGATAAGTCAATCACCAACACACTAAGGTTGGGCAACTTCAACAATGCCTATCCCAAAGCTTCGCAACCTCTCTTCGTAATCGAATTATTCCACAATATCAAATTCAATTGTTTCAACTTCTGACATTTCGACAACTCCTTCGCAAACTCCTCCATACCCAAATCCTTTATTTAACAACTCCACAAAATCAACTCACAATACTCCAACCCCTATATACCCTCTCCCAATTCATAAAATCCCTCATTTTGTAATGGGTTGCTAATCCATAGATGATGTCTCTTACTTTGAAAAGTTGATGACCAAATGACTCAAATTCGGCAATTTCTTAAGCGATTGATTGACCATCCTTGACAACAATTGATTCATGTAATTGCTCTCCAAATTCAGGTCCAACTTCTTCAACTTTGGCATTGCACAAATCACTGTAAAAAAGGCTTCACAACATTCAATAGGAAGATGGTTTCTTCATTTATTAACATACTTATACAATCCAAAATCCAAACGCAGTTCTTCCATTTATACCAAATTCTCCAGAAGAGGCAATGAATTATTTATCCCTTCATCTGAGAGCATATTGCTCGACACTTCTAAGTTTAACCTCTTCAGACCCACCATCTTCATTATTGCCTTTGACAACATCAACAAACCCAAATTCCCTAATCTGTTACTTTGACGTTAGACATATTTCAATACTTCCAAAATTGCAATGATAACTCCTTCAAATTCAAAGCCCTGCTCAAGATCTTCTCCAATGGAGCCACAGTTTTTACACTTAAATTACTCATCTCCAATTTTATTTGCAAAGTGACCATCTAAAAGTTTTTCACTTATTGAGCAATAGCCTCCAGAACCTTCAGCTACTCCTCCTGCGATTTATTCTGCATCCCATTCAAATCTAATTACACATCCTCCTGATTCTAAATATCTAATTAAAACTTCTCAAATTGAGTTATTGACTGTAAATGCTGGTGATTGATCTTGGCAGGCTAATCAATAGCATTCCAAATCTTACCTATTTTACTTCGAGATACGATCTCTCATGAATTATTTCATTCAATTAGATGAAGTCATATCGTTCATCTGGTGACACTTCCAACATTAGTTTTAGAATCTTTGATATCCCCTTGATCCGAGGATAAGTCTCCTTAATCTTTCTCCTCAACACCTTCAAATAATTAGTCAACTTCCTCTCGTCGTCAAATAACTCCTCTCTTTGCTAATAAATTTAAGGCTCATCATTTACCTATTTACTGATTACTTGTGTGGTGGCAAACAAAAGAAATACCAACCCCAACGAGAAAACATCGCTCTTATATGGGTTGTACTTAGCTTAAGGTTTTCTTCTCTTAAATGCTGCATAGATTTCTGGAGATTGATATCCGATGGTCCCTCCAATAGTACGAGATCTCGATTCTTCATCAATAATTTCTGTACCAAAACCCACCTTGCTTGGTATAATAATATGATTACATCGCAAACTTTAAAGATCAAGTTCTCGTCATTTACGAGTATAATATTTTCAGGTTTAATGTCTCTATGAGCAATCTTCATCTCTTAAAGATGTGTATGTGCCTTGATCATGGAGACATAAAAATTTGCCACATCTTACTCTTTGAATTTAAAATCAGGATCAGACTGCTTCTTAGACTTAATGTATTGAGATAAATTAGTGATTCCCAATTCCATCACAATACACCCAAAAGTGATAGACTGCATTAAAATGGCAAATTCTTACTTTGTCCTATGTTGTAACCTTCTCATAGTAGAAGCTATCTTCAAATGCAATAATATTAGGATGAGGACTTGTCTTTATTTTTTGCAGAATCTAAATTTCTAATGAAAACCGTTCTTTTAACGAGGAATCAATCAAAACTTGTTTGATGCAGCATTTTTGTTTCGATATTACATTTTCAGCCATATAGACTTCATTCCAGGTTCTCGCTATAATGCTCAAATATTTATATTCTCCAGGCAACATTGTTATAATAATTATAAAATGTAATATTAATATCTAATTTTATAATTCACTTTAATCAAAATTAGCCCCAATCAATTCGTAATTGATTAAATCTGTTAAACTAATTGAACCCATCGTTCATAGAATATAAATTTATACTTAATTTTTATAGGATCTTTTGAAGTAGAATTTAAGATAGTGTAATGAAATATATAATAATTAATTATAGCTTATTTGATTGCTATCAGAAAAATAACATTTGTATTTAAGTTCAATATCTTGATGTATATTCAAAATATCTTCTTATCTTTCGGATAGATAGTTTCATCTGTGAAATTCATTGTATTCATTTTTTATTCTACATGTTGTTAGTTAGTTCTAAAAGTATGAGGCATCAATAATTTTGAAGCTCTGTTTTGAGGTAAATATTAGATTCTCTATTCCAAGTTGACTTTTTCATTATTCCTGTGTTGATATTGTTTATATTGATAGGCTGCGAGAATCGCAAGGAGTATGATGATTGAAAATATGATAATCAAAATTATCAAATTTGATGATATCGAAAATGGCATTTGATTGAAGAGAACTTCAAATTCTGTCGATTGCCAATTTAGTTGTGTCTTATAAAGTAATTTATATTTTTATCGAATGAATTGTTGATCAGCTAAAATTTCTATTGAATTAATTTACACTCGATATAGCATTTGATTGAATATGGTTATATTAGAGGACGAAATTTGAATAAGTAGTTAGATGTAGTGCCATAAATATAATTCTATGATGATACGAACTGTTTGACTGAGCCCAAGCGAAATGAGACACTGTTCTGCTATTTCTTATACTAAATAAAATGATGATTGTAAGTTCCCTAAACCAAAACATAGTTTTCATTTACATCGATGTCTATGATTCGATTAGATATGTTGTATTTGGCAATGGAACTCCACTTCTTATTGTAAGGTTCAATATTGTAGTGAACCAAATAATGATAATGGCTGCTTTTGTAAGCCACAAAGACATTCGATTGATCCCAAATGTCAATCACAATTCCATCAGATCTGGGGCCAATCTGTTTTAGTAGTACTTTAAAGGCTACCTATTCTCTAAGGAAGGACACCTCCACAACTACAACCCCATTGATTTTGCATAGGATAAAAATGAGGAATTTTCTCTCATTTAACTGATACACAGCAAAGTCTCTGAAATCAATGCTTTGGAGTCCAATGGACCCTGTATTTAGTGATTCCAATAGTGTGAGATTGCGATAAATATCCAAGCCATCACTTCCAACTGCAGATATCAAATAGGAGTTGATTATTTTTGAGTAATAACGATTAGTTCTACCTTGGAGAGTGGGAACCAATTTCCACACACTTCCTTATTAGATATCTACTGAATATGCGATCTTGGGATATATAATAATTAATTATTAAGGCGAATATAGCAATTAAGGTAATATTTCCTAATCAAAGTTGATGCTTAGTTTATATAGAGTGGTTGTATTGGTTGAATTATAGAAGTAGAATAGGTTGGAACTTGCAGTGAGGCCTATTTGAGTTTCTTCGTTTGTAGTAATCATATCTATGAGCAAATCATCAGTATCTGTATCGGTGTATTCTGACAACAGGTGAATGGTTTCCTCTTGGAACTGAATAGTGGGACTGAGGAGAGAACACTAAGCTTCTTCGGTTGGACTAGAGAGTTATGAGGAATGAGTACTCTAACAAAATCAATTCAGCCTCCAAGGCATCGTTAATATTGAAGAGTGTTTTGACCTCTCCATAGTTGACGGTGTATTGGAGGATGGCCCTTACAACCAATGGAATCAGCATAAAAAGTGCAAGCATTCTTGGAGGAAAAATTGGATATAATTTTATAATTTTTATGTATTCATAAGGTGAATTCCTATTTAAAGATGTAAGCATATTTCGCAACGTCATCCTATTTAAAGGATAGTAGCTTTTATATTACATCTTTTCCATCAATCTACATGAATACGGTAAAATACTGATTGTCCTGTCTATCCTTTGATCTGATTTCCCCCTTCCGCAGTATTCTTATGAGTATCTCTAGTCCTTTCTTAAGATGATGAGAAGGTATATCTCTGTCCTAAGCTAACTCCAGCATCCCTAAAACACTCTGAATGAGTTTGTTCTTGACCATCTGATTTACATCTTCATTAGTCCCATGTTATACTGCATTTCCGATCATCTCTAAAGCATCTCCTCTGATTTCTGAATTCTCATCCGATAAAGATCGAAACAGAGATATTAAGAAATTCTGATTGGACAACACTTTGAATAAGGTTTCAGTAGCTGCAAATGTTTAGATCATGTTGCCACTCTTTTCTCGACTTTTGGGATCCAGAATGTTCCTGATTTCGGATAAGAATCCACATTCCAATAAGTAGCGGATCTATTCTTGATTGCCTTGGAATATGCATTCAAAAATTCTCAAGATGGAGACAAAATTGCATTGATGCATCAATTCCATTAATCTTTTGATGATGCCTTATTCAATTAGGATGTTAATTCTAGTAGGTTCTCCATCGAGCATGTATCCAAGTGCCCAGATTGCATCGTTGATCATCTTGATATTAATTGGTGTAGGTTCATACATGATGACTTTCATGAATATGTTGAAGGCTGGTCTTATCAATTCGAATTTTGGACTGGGTCTTCCAATACACATATTGGCGAGACACCAGACGTAGGTTGCTTCGTATTTGAGTTCCATTTTCTGTATGATTGCCTCTAAATTACAGACTTGGAGTATGCAATCTCTGTATTGGATTGATTCTCCTGCCAATTTACCCAGTATGACTACTATGAGGATTGACAATTCTGGGTTTTCATTCTAGAGGATGGACAAAGCCAATTGAAGAATGCCATTTTCAAAGATTATTCTTGAAATTTCACTTTTGCCCCCTGCAAAAATGGAGATGATTTCTAATATATATAATTAATTTAACATGTAGCTTCTAATTTGATGATGTATGTGCTTCCGAATTGGATTAAGTAGAATAGGAGTGGTACAAGTTCATTAGTAAATAGTTCTGCTTAATCAAAATTCTTATTAAATTATTGAAACAATAATACAGACAAGGTCTTTCTGAGTTAAATTAATGCTTTATGAGTTTCGAGAAGATTCTCGGATTTAATTGCTTCAAGTGCTTCCTTGACGGTGATCTGTTCGTTTGAGGTGTTTAATATGAGTGATAGCTGATCTTTAAGTTATTTTGACATCTCTTCTTATTCAAGCATCTCCTCGTGGTTATAGATTTGTTGAATTTTTTGATTGCCTCCCAATTTCTGGCTGTTTTTCATATTTATGCTAGTGTTTTGGATAGATAAAAAGATTTTATTAATTTTCCATAAACATCTTAGATCTGCTTATTCATATTATTTGGTTTGCTTTTAATTTATGACGTTGGAAATGGATATCCACTGTGGTATCCTTATAACAAGCACAGTGGGTCAGTTGGGGAGAGTGGTGCATAAAATGGGGTGGATTGGGTGGAATTTGAATGGAGAGAATGGAAGGGAGGGGAGTTAAAAATGTGAAAATACGATGAAAAATATTTAAGTTATTATTATTAAATGTAAAAAGTTGCTTTGGCTCTATACGAGTACATTAATAAGAAGTATGTGACCAAGATGATACGTAGATCGGAAGAGCTCTATTCAAGGCAGGTAGAAAAGCTATATGATAGTGTAGATAGAATTCGAGATGGGGGAATCAGTGAATTTGAAAGGAATAGCATCTGCTGAATTGCACAATGGAATTCATTCGTATCTCTCCTACTCACAAATACTGGGAGAGTATGCCAACCGTCCAGGGAACTGGATATTCATCATAACCAACATAGTTTGTCTATCGATCATCGATTTGAAGGGCGAGGACTTTTCACTATTCTATCAATTTGTCATTCCCTTATTGGTGGGTATTGCCATGTACTTAATAAAGATGCTCTATTATTCAATGATCAAACATCAACAAGACAAACAAATCAACAAGAGAAGAGTGACCATATTCAAAAGGTTAAAGAGAATCAACTCAACAAATAAGACTATCGTTCACGAGGACACAAAACACCCTAACAACAATGATATCATCCTCTTTTCGGCTCCACGCAAATAAGACGTATACAAACCGATGATAATTTCGTCGTTCAGAGATGAAAAGAAGGTCTAATCAACTCCAAGACCGGAACAGAAAGTATAGATATTTGAAACAGTCTGTTGGGATGAAGTGGAAGTGGGTGACATAGTTGTATTGTAAAGAAATGAGATCTCTCCAGCAGATCTATTGATTTTGGAATCCAATTCAGATCATTGCAATGTTGATGTTGCCAACTTCACTGGTAATACCAATCAGATATACAAATCACCCAACATCTTAACCAGCATGTCCAGAATGCATCAATTTAAGAATAACTCCTTTGAGTATCGACTTTTACTAAGTGGTAAAGTCAATTATGATAGGAACAACAACGACAAATCCTTATATTCAGGCTTTGTGAGACTCAAAAACGATCCTCAAGCCATTGACATTAAAAAAGAGAACATCCTCTTCAGAGAACAACTCCTATTGAATTGCGATTACATCTACGGATTGGTCCTCTTTGCTGGATTGAGTTGTCGCTACTACTACAATTAGCCCAAGACAAGAGTGAATCACTCTTTCTTTTACACCAAAGTTGACAGGTTCTTTTAATTCACTCTAGTCCTCTTGATTGTCCTCTCCTTTGCCTCTTGGATGACGGAATCATTAAGGTTTATGGCTTATGGTCGATCATGGAGTCTTCAAACCTTGTGTAAGTATCTTTTGGGATATCTTAATATGATCCCCTACTATTTACACTTTATGTTTGATTTCATGACTTTATGTACAATGATATTTAAATAGTACTAATTCCAAAAGCATTCAACTCAACCCACTCCAAAGACCTGCGACTCCACTCCTTTGCAATTGTCATCCAACTATCAGAGAATCAATGACTCCCCTCTAGCTGATCTAAGTTTAATAGACAGTGTGATATTTGATAAGACTGGTACAATGACCATTCCTTCTTTCAAGTTGAAGATGATTCATTTCAATGATCAATTGTTCTCCATCAAACACAAAACATTTGATGATTTGTATGAGTGGAAAACCTACCAACAACAACAGCAGGACAACCAGGAACTCCAACAATTCTTGATGAAGGAATCCCAATCTCAATAAAAGGAGGCCTCTCAAGTGAGGATCTCTCCAAAACCCAAACAAATGAAACGCATCTCCAAACACCCATCAATCAGGCCTGTTTAATAAGAGGAATTGCAGGTACCCTCCAATCAGGAAAATTGTGATACCAACAACAACGACTAAGCTAATTTTGACCCTGAAGAAATAATCGATGATAACTTCAAATTGAGAGACATACATCGAAGTAAACAACCTAAAATATTTCAGGATTCATGGGGATCAAACACAGATATCAACAATTATGGATAAGGAAGTGGAGTCTAATAATATTTATAATAATAGCAGCAAAATAGCAATATGAATATCAATAGCATCTAATAGTAAAGTAGCAACAATAATATCAACAATCAATAGTAATAAATCAGCAATCAATAACAATCTTTGAATAGCAATCAGCAACAACAACAAAGTCCCAAAGATATGAAGAAATCTACTCTGATATCTGGAATCACTATCAGAGCTAAGCACAGTATCAAAATGGATAGATCTGAAAAACAGAAGAGGTTTGGAGCTGAAAGATCAATGAATTTCACTAAATTCCTGTCGGAAGATGCTTTAAATAAGAACAATGAAGATCTGAGAAGTTTGGATGAGAAGGACTTTCTGAATAAATTGATTACTAGTGAAAGTAGAAAATAAACAGAAGAAGCTATCTTGATACTAATGATATGTCACAACACCTAATCCACCTACAATAAATCTGAAGATACATTCAAACATGAATTTTCATCAAAAATAGATAATCTACAATTAGAATTCATCTCTCATTTCAATTACAGATTCATATGCTCAGCAGTAAATAAGAGTAAATACATTGTTGAAATCAATGGCAGACTGACAGAAGTACCTGTTACTGTAACTCAATTGGAACATTATAAAGTAAGTGTGATACTAACAAAATAAGATTACAGAAGATTTTTTGAAGATATCGATTAAGCATATGATTATGTTTAATTTATCAGAGATGATAGTCAAGAGATGAGTGATTAGATATTAATGAATAAGGAGGAGAGGGAGAAATGGGACAACATGATCTATAAACTCTATATGAATGGATGCAGACCAGTAGTATTCTTTAAATCCTTTATGGACAACACTTAATATTAGCAATTCTTAAAAAACCCTTTGTAAGAATTGAAAACATAGCCAAGAGCCTATGAATTGAGTCTCGTTATAGGAATCAAGGAGAAATTAAGAAAGTCTATTACCACAGTCATTAAAAATTTCCTTGCTGCAGATATGATCATTTGGATTGCCAGTGGAGATTCCTTAGATAAAGTTTTGCCCATTGCCTATAAAACAGAAATTTTGAAGGACTTGATACCTATAATCCATTTTGATTCCCAAGATGCCACTCTATAGATCAAATAATAAATCTAATGGTTATATAACAATCAAATAAAGCATTTGAAGGAGGATTCAACAATTCTAGAAAAACGATTATCTGATCGCTTAGCGATGAGTCCAAGTCAGAAACGCAAATCTATCCACACAAGTGGCCGTAGATAGAGTGCCAAAGGATTCCTGCCTGGACTATAGAGTTCTCAATAAAGAATTAAACCGTTTTCTATTCTGATTCATGGAGAGACTTTGGATAAAATATCATAAGATAATTCAATGTTCAATCATTTGTGTTTTATCGTTGCATTCTCCACGTCAGTCGTAGGTTATAGGATGACGAAGACTCAAAAGGCAATACTAGTTAAGATCCTCTAAGAAAAATAGGTTTGGAGAAGAAGAGTCTTAGTAATTGGGGATGATAACAATGATAGTAGATTGATGGCATACTCTGATTTTGCTATTTAGTTATAGAGTCAAAGACTTTATCAGTAGGTTGCCGTTGAAAAGATGGAGCAATTGCAGAGAACTAAAAAGGATTCAAAAAGTATCAAACTCCATTAGATCACGTTTAAGCCTGCAATAAAGGATTTCAAAAGTAAGTATTCCCGTTAAAATAGAGTATTAGTATAATAATATACCTTATGTTGGCACAACAGATATCGTTGTTAAAGATTATCCAAATTTAATATGCACAGTTTTATCTGAAAGTAGACAGTCAGCAGAGTTGTTGGAGAATATCATAACCTTCTCGTTCTATCGAAGTTATCTGCTCTGTTTTACATTGTTTTTTTAGATTCTATTCAAAGGCATCACCTATTATCCTCCTTTAGATTACTTTCAAAGCTTTTTATATATCATTCCAAGTCTCTTGTTATACATTCAGAGGATGACTCCAAAAAGGGAGAAAGCCACCAACATCAAAAATTAACTCGTCTATTTCTTTAATCAAAATCAACTAGATTTTAGACAGATGAGATACTGGCTATTCTTTTACAAGGTAATACTCTATTCAGCATCTGAAGCCTTAATTATAGCAATCATGATTAGTACTATGGATATAAGGAACAACAATGGGAAAACCTTTGATGAGGAGATGAAATCGATCCAGATGTTTGTTATCATATTGTTATTGGACTTAACAAAATAATTAACTCATGCTAGTTTGTACTAATATATGATATTGCCTATTTCTTATTTTGCTTTCTGTACTATTGGTTACTTGGACTACTTTGCTTATAATATGTTTGATCTCTTCTAATACATTATATCTTTTGAATCATTCTTATTTATATTATCATTGCAACTATTGTTTTTTTGTTTTTAGAAGACTCTAACTCAATTTCATTCCATTTATGTTCATACTACCCTATACAAAGAGGATGATCAGATTGAAATAAATAATAAGATCAAACCGATCTAAATACATAATTAGAAAAGAAGAAAGGATAATTTGGTGATAAATATCCAGAAATATATATTGAAATTGTTTAAGACCGAAGAAGAAATAGATCCAATAATAAAGTAGATATTATCTGGGATAGTATTGAGTGTAAAGACAACTAAAATAAATAAGATTACTTAAACCTTCAAAAATATTCAATTAGAAATCAAATATCAATTAAATGAGTTACCATCTATAATCGAATATTACAGACTGTATTATCCACTTAGTTGGATGTTAGTGGAAGGGGCAATCCTAGTTTAGATTTGGTTGATCAATCGAGATGTTGATTATACTTGGTTTTTGTATTTTACAATTGGATATAATGCAGCATAGGTGTTGATGGCATTGTTCATATACACAGTGGCATTCTAGAAATATCATTTCAGAATTAGCAAGATTTTGATCACAAGTAGGTTGATATATAAAATTGTTTATGATGCTTATTTTTATCAGGATAATGACAATGAGTTGACAGACATGTTAATCATGTAGTTATTTATGTTGTAGCCATTAATAGATGATAGACCTTTGACAATCATCTTCTATTGTTTTGCTCTCAATATCAGTTTTATAATCAGGTTCAGTGCTAATAATACGACCAGTGATGCCAACTTTAATAAATACATTATGTTGAATTACTATTTGATTGCATTAATGCAGACAGCATTGTCAAGTGGAATGCATTTTAGAGTTCAGAGAAATTCAAGAGAGGAGTTCATCCAAATGCTGACTTTGGATCAATAGACGAATTCAATTAGTGACACTTTGAGTATTTTGATGCCGAAGTTCATTAGAAATATAATCAATTAGAAAGGCGAATTCGACATTTAAGAGAATCAAGGAGAAGTGGCAATATTATTTTGTGATATATGCTAATTTGATAAAATAATCAAGGCAGAAAAGGAGAATGTGATACATTTATTGGATATCTTATTTAGATAATATGATTCATTGTGTAGTCAATATGGATTATAGAAGATAGAAACTGTGGGTAAAACCTATATGGCAGCTGCAGGATTAAAGAACATTGTCTCTTAAAACAGTGCTAATCCAGTACTTAGAGCAATCCAAGTGGCATTTGAAATGAGGAAATTTGCATCGTAATAAGATTTTTGTGGATCTGGGGAAATAATAGTGAAAATAGGTGTTCATTATGGCAATGTGATTGCAGGAGTGATTGGTTATCATAAGCCTTAGTTCTCATTGATCGGTGATACGGTTAATACTACAAGTAGAGTATGTTCGACTGGTTAAGATGGTCAAATCAAGATTTCTGAAGACGCTTATAAATTAGTTAGTGGTTCATAGGATTTCATATTTACAAAGGATTTTGTAGAAGCAAAGGGAAAAGGAGTCTTAGTAACTTATATATTATCCGAATAGGAACAAAGAAAATCATTAAGACATAAGAAGTAGTGTGTGAAGGATGGAAGAGGTAAGAATAATCTACAGAATTCGGTGGCTACACAGGATAATTCAGAGAGGGTAGGGAGGAATCAGAAAGTGAAGAGAAAACCAACACTTGTTTTGCCTCATTTGAAATAGAGTAATCCGAAATTACAACACAAGTCAAGTCTTAATGTAGATGGGCAATAACAATAGAATTCGCATGGGGATAGTGATCATGCAAATTAGATAGGGTATAAAATGAGTGTGGAAGGAGCCAATTTGATAGAAGCAATAGAGATTAAATTGGGAAAAGAGAACTTATTGGTGGATGAGAATTTTGATTTTCCCAATAGTGAGATAGAGAAGGAGAAACTGAAGCAATTATATTAGAGTGATGAGGAATTCATAGAAACAGATGTTTTGATCTTGGACAAAAGAAAACTCTTTTTGGACTTTGATCCAGAGGTTGACTAATGTCATATACATGATTTCTATAGGGAATTAACTAAGAAAAATACAGTGTTGGTAATTTTATTGAAGGCAGGAGTGACAACATTGTTGTTGGTCTAAAACACATCAACCATATTGATTGCATAGATATTTGAGAACTAATATACTTGGTATATCAATCTATCTTTTGGATATGTAATTGTGGCAATCAAGATTGTATTCTTAGTGTTATTGATAATGAAATAATACAGAGAGAAATATTTCAAGGAGATTTACTTCATCTACAGTTATATTATAACAATGATATGGTGGATCATTCATATCTTCTCTTATTAGAGTTTCATAGTAGGAGAAATCTGTATTGCTGTTGGAGTCTTCTTGTCATTCATGACTTAGTTGAACCCTATTATCAAGATGAAATACAAGGTTATAGAGAGTATCTCGATGATTTCAGTCAATTTGATTGTGGTTCTGGTCAAAAATTGGGAAAAGAGTCTCATTTATTATGCCATCATCTTATAATTAATCTTTATTTCTAATCAGATCTATAAATTCAATAAGAATGTCCAATTATATAACAATAAATGCAAACTAAAGGCTAAGCATTAATAATTAGACTCCTTGGTTAAACATCAATTACCAAGTCATATGCTCGAACAATTTCTCAAATTCTAACAACAAAGAGCTGTCCTTAAAGACAGTTATGAAAATGTTACTCTCTTATTTGCTGACATTGCTGGTTTTACTGAATATTCCAGCAAAGTATCCCCAGAGTAGGTTGTATTTATGTTACGCAACCTTTTCACTGAGTTTGATAAGTGCTGCTAAGAAAAGTCAGTCTATAAATTGTATACAATCGGAGATTGCTATGTTGTGATGGGTATGTTAGATGCCAAAGATAGGAATATAGCATAGGAGGCTAAGAATACTGTGGAATTGGGATTTGAGATGATTAGCATTATCAAGAGAGTCAGAGACCATATTAATTTTCAAGGGTTGGACATGCGTATTGGAATTCACACAGGTAATATTATAGGAGGAGTCTTGGGTACTGAAATTGTTAGGTATGATATCTATGGACCAGATGTTCTTATTGCGAATAAGATGGAATCAAAGGGAGAAAGGGGTAATCTCCAGGTTTCTTCAACAACCAAAGAAATCTTGGAGTAACACTACCCTGAAGAATTCCGATTCTGCTTTCACACGCGCGTAGATATACCATCTATAGACACATCCACTGATGGATATTTCATTACTATTAGAACCTTTGATGAACTTTCCATGGATTTGCAGGAACATCATTCAGAAAGTTGTCGTTGAGTACTAACAATATTCTATTTACATTTTATAATCTATGTACTTTATCATTATCCATCTCAAATGCTTTCCCAAATTACTAACTGAATTAATTAACGAACTATAAATTATAGACTATTCATATTACATCATATAAATATAAAATAAAAATATGATATTAATAAAATGACGCTATTTGTTATTACATAATGAATCATCCAAATTTGAAATTAATATACTGTAATGATGAATTATCATAATTCAAAACCAACCAATATCTTACCTCTGGAAATCAATATTAAATACACCAAAACAAATGTAAAGAAAATAGTAATATGAGAATGACTTCAAAAAACTTTAAAAGAAGACAGTTAAATCTCGATTGATCAAATGCTCAAACAATAAGACTTGGCCGAAAAGTAGAAAGAGATTTGCCTCAGAAATTCAAAAACCTTCGAACTCTTCGCCACATGTATATTTCTATTTCATCATTTTTAGGTATGGAAAGACATGAAGGCAAAATTGACAACTTTGCAAAATACCTATCCATCAAAATGCTATTCATCGAAAAACAGGCTCTTGAATGTTACAAAGGAAATACTAACGATAGGGAATATGAAAGATGTCATCAAAGAATCGAATCATAACTACATGATGTCTATAATGATTACTACTAAGGTTTACTCAACCTCTGACTATTATTTATATATATAATTAATCAATAAATTTTAATATCTTATAGTTGCTTAAAAATCACTTTATATAAATTATATCAAGTTTTTAATATATTCATAATATTCTCAAATATTTTATACATATTTATCAAATCGCCAATGTATTCATTATGATATGTAGCTTAAACAACGCTCTTATTTAATAATTTAAATAATTACATCGTCATTGCAAGCAAAGCATCTCCCCACATATCCGGAAACGCATCGCTAACAATAATTATGTGCACATGGAATCACAGTAATCGTATTTTACAATTCCTTTCTACAAAGTTTGCAAGTAAGTTGCTGTCTTAAAGAAAACTAATTCATTATTGTAACACTTACTGTAAATTATTCTAACTGTTGAGATTTAATTGATAGATTTTTCATTTTTATTTAGCTTTCATAGTTCTCGTCAATTGCTTTTCGTAGAGTGTCATCCATCCTTCTATAAGTATCCTTATATTCTGACTCCAACTTCTTTAATTATTATGCTAAAGTAGAGTTCTCTATCTAATAGCGTAAATCATTATTTAGCAATTTTAGATAAATAATTTGCTATTCCTGCTCATCTAACTGCATTTTTAATTTGACATTTTCTAGTTTTAAATCCTCAGAAATCTTCACCTAAATTATCACTTTCTCTACATACTTGCTCTTAATACTTTTGTTCAAATTCCTATTGAAGTTTTTCAATTATCATGCAGTCAGATTATGACTTGGTTACATGCCCTCTTTTTGATATTGATTCATCATTTTGTGTGGTTATTTACTTTTTGCACTCAATAAATTGTTTCATAATACTTAACTGTCTTTTAGCTTTAAGTGCGTTTGTCTGTCTGCAAGTTTTCTCCAAACCTGCACAGTTTGAGTTTTCTTAGATTAATTTTGTTTTATTAAATAGAATCTTTTGAGATGTTGTTTATTCTAATAGAGGTAATTTACTTATAAGCATTCCGAAATTAGTAAGAATGGAATTAAATTATATAAAATTAATAAATTCATGTATGCATTCTTATTGAGAAATAAACTAAAGCTTTTTTGAATAATTCTATAAAGTTATTATAAATTCAAGGCATACTACTCTTCACTATTTACACATTTTAGTTTAGGAGTTCAGTGGTTCTCAATTCCCAATCTTCATTGATTGAACTATCATACAATCTTTAGGACTTTCTTATATCAAAGACCTATGAAAATACCCATTTGAAACTCGAGACTTATTCAATGGACTAAAGTAAAACAGTTTATAAATAGACTTACATTTAAAATGATATAAATTTTTGTCAGTCTTTAACAGATTTATTCTACAATGAATATTTTTATTGCCATAAGCATTATTGTTGCTGAGGTTGTATAATCTTTTATTAAAAATACTGGAAACGCTATAGATCTCATTTATCTTTCATCAGCCTATAATTGTTATAAAATTTACTATTTTAAGAACATCTTAAATTATTTCATATAATTTTTACTTTTCTCCTTCATTATGATTTTAGCCAGCTCCATTTACATAGTTTTTCAACAAAACTTAAATATAATTTTTTGAATTTTCTATTCTTTAAATAATATCAAAGTACTTTCAGTAGATTTGATGAAATTGTACGTGTTATCATTCGTTTAAAATTTACATGGAACTGGAAATTTTTAAAATTAGTCGTTCTCCTATACCATACAATCAACAGCTTCATTTTCTATTTTTCCAATGGTTAGATATACATTGCATTCATTTAATTTCTATAAACAAATTAATTACGATATGGTTGATTCTTAGTCTATTTTTGAGTAACAAAAATTATTTCCCATTATTAGTATTATTATTATTATTGCCAAAAATAGCACTAATTGAAATAAAACCATAATATTTTTAAACTTAATGCCAGATTTCACTTAGAACATTAAGCAAAGTGTTGAACTATGTATCGATATTTTGAAAAACTACAAATTAAATTGAAAATGAATTTGTTATTTGGAAATACTAAATTTATTGTGAATCTGAATATAAAATGGATGGCATTTGCTTTATAATAATCCATAATGTATTGATATATTAAATGTTCAAATTTATAATTAATTGATTGAATTCTATAAAAAATTGGTTAAAGATTCTGTTGTATGTTTCTAACAGTTCAAAATTTAATCCTTCGTTTCTGAATTTTCAAAACAATTTTGAGTCCAAAATGGCCAATACTTAACCATTGATTCATATGTGCGATCAACTGTCTTTCTTTTTGTTTGCAATTACTGAATGCCTTTTGATATTGGAATAGCAAATACATTTGTAATATTCATCATAATTTTCATTGGATTACAAATAAATTTGATAGCATTTCTCTCTTTATTCATTTGTTTCTTTTTGAATATATCTTTGGAGAGATTACACATTGACAGTTAATTATTTTAGAAACAATTACTATTGCTGTTCAGCCATAATTAATAATTATTTTATAATACATTCACAATAATTCTTTCTATAGAGTATGTTCAAATTATTCCTAAAAAATGGTAATCTAATCTCTGGCATTTTGAAGACACATCTATTCATCGAATTTGCTTTTGATACTTTTGAGACATTAATTGTTGGTCTAATCAAGCACAAAGCGTAATTTATGATGAAATAATTCTTACTAGATATTAAATAGCTCATTTTTTCTACTATAATATCTAATACTACTTGAGCATGCATTCAATAAATTGCTCTCTATTGGATTAAGAGGACCAACAGTATTTAAGAACCTTTCTTTGATATTTGTTTTGTATTTATTGATATTCTACTATTTGAGAATCATTTAAATTCATTAAATATATAATTTTATCAATTAATATTTTTTTGGAATTCATTTATATATCTCTCTTGACATCTGCTTTGGCTGATTCTACACATTTATCAGAGTCCTCTGATTAAATGCACTTTTCAAATTGATTACTCATAAAAATCATCTTAAAATTAAATTATCTAAATTCTTTATCTACTGCCTTACTTCTTCTAATCTTACCTTGCATGAATTTAACAAAATTCAATCTGAATATCTACTAACATATTTGCTATTTTAAGATAAACAAATTAAATGAAAGGTTTCTGGAACTCTTTGAACAAGGTTCTTCACACACTTTTTTACAAATTTTCTAATTGTTATTTCAAATAAGGAAATGCAGGATGAGATTAATGCATGCTAGAGATGACTTTATTTATTTTATTAAATTTAATAAAACACATAAAAAAAAGAAAACATCACCCCTCCTGTTATAGAGTTGTAATTTAATTAAAACATCTCTTTGTTCCTACAATGTTAATTTAATACAATACATCTTCAAGTAATAATATCTAATTAAAATATATTCTCTTAATAAATATCTATGCAATGTATATTACTAAGTGTATATTTATCAATTTCTATTTAATTCTATCTCATTCAAAATCATGATGACTTAATTGTTTAAGGCTTCGTTCATATTCTTCTTCTATTTTAAAGATAAAGTCTTTATTCTTCTTTGCTAGTAACTTTGATTGAATCAAAATATTAAATATTTTAATTTAACTAAACTTCTGATGCCTAAGTTTAAATTATTCTATAAATATTCTATCAGTTCTAAAAACTTGAAACTGAATTAAAGTATTCAAAATTTAAGACAAGTTATTAAAATTAAATTAATCCTTTAAGGTAATTTTTTGATTTTCTATTTTCAACTGAACAGGATTTAGGACCAGTTGTTCTCGTTTGTTAAATAGCTAAATTAGGTTTGATGAATAATTTCTAGCTTCTTGTAGACTCCATTAAATAAATATTTTCTTGAATTAGTCTATTCATTTTGCATAAACTGAAATTTTTTTTTACTTCATTTAGAGTCTTCAAGGAGTTATCAAATATTATATTGATTTTTTTAATGTTTTTCTATCTCTTTCTTTATCTTTATTTCCATCTTTATTTAAAAACTTTCCTATTCCTTCTTTACCTAATTTTTCTTATTACAATTCAAATTCATTATAGATATTTGTTACTTAAATATGCTGTAAATTTTATTCAATCCATCAATTTAAATCTTTCCTTTCCTATTTAGTTATTTTTAAAAGGAACAAAAATAATCATTTCAATTAGTTTTTTATATTATTTAGACAATATACTTCTTTTCGTTCTTCTATGATTAAAATGCATTGTTGTTATATTTTCATTATTATAAGAAATTACTTTCTTTTGGATTTCCTTAAATTAATCAAAAATTTGAACAATAATTTAATTAAAATTATATTCCTAAAAAAGGAAAATACTTGTAAAATTAATGATATTTTTGGAAATAAGATGAAATATAGTTCTCATTTACCTCCTAGAGTGATTTACTGAATTTATCGTTTAGTTTGATTAAATTCATTATTTATTATAAATAAATATATCTACTATTTAATTTTGAGATGACGACAGATTAATTAGTTTCATTATATTAATTAAAAATATTATTTCTAAAATCATTTATTATAATAATAATTGAGCCTTTATGTTTCATCCAGCATCGACCAGATTCCACCTTCCTACTATCATTCAAAAAGAGGTTTCGCCAATAAAAGAAACCAACATAAGAAATATGAGACCATCTCTTTTTTTAAATTAAATTGATGTTCTTCCTAATTCCCTAAAAACAGAAGCTGAAGTACCCAATGGAAACTCTGCTAATAAAGTGTACACTTAATCTGAAAGTGATCCACTTATAGAAATTCCTTATCATTTTAAACTACCCTAACTAATCAAAATCAAACCCAAGAGATACTAGAGATCCCTACCTGAAATTCCGATTCTTACTCAAATTTCTTAAAATGATGCTCCACTTGAATTTGAAAGGTCATAAAAGAGAACTAAGCTATTTTTAAAAAGATAAGATTCGAAAATATTGGAATCAGTATAAAAGTTTCAAAGGAAAAAAGTGGAATTTAAGAAATCTTTAATTGTAATAGACATAGAAACAGGAAATTAAGATAGACAAGAAATATCTTAGACTTAAAAACCCCTTAGAAGAATAGCACATCAAAAAACTAAATCATTTCAAATCAGAAATGAATGATTAAAATATTAATCTTCTAATCTAATCTATCTTATATATATCAATAAAATATTCTAAAGTAAATTCTCAGAATATTACAATATCTAGTATACTTTATATTATTTATTTATAAACAAGTTTAAATGCAAAGACACTTCATCTAACTTAATCAAGCAATACTGAAGAATAAGAAGTTTAATAAAATATAAAATAAATTTCTATTTCATTGACTAAATGAAATATTCAACTTTGAGATTATCAGAACATTAACCTTACATAGTTTCCTCCCTTAGATTTGAACATTAGGAGAAGCTTTCATTAAAAGACAGGGCTATAATTGATCAATATAAAGAAAATCCCCATCTCCCAAAATAAATTATACAAGAGAATAGGCAAAGAAAAGACAGAAGATTTTACAATTAATCAAATCTTAGTGAATAACTCCCCAAAGTGAAATTAAACCAATAAAAGTGCAATACAATTATTTCTGATAGAAACGATAATTATATTTGTAAAACTACTGCAAGTAATTCAGATGAATTAATTTCAAAATACTCAATTATTTAAGTTGATTACAAAAATGGCATCTCTTCTGGAAAAAAGCTCTCGCCCTTTAAATTATAGAAACACCTTTTGAAAGTGAGTCTCTAAAACTTAATGAAATGTTAACATAGTTATAAGAAGAAGAAAACAGATATATCAATATTAAATCTCTACCCCACTCATTTTGCTATAAAATGATTATATATTGAATTAAAGGACTAATTTTAGTCATAATATTATATTTTTAAAAGGACCTTGATCTGTTTAAGTTTATAATACCTCCGTTTAATAGTTTTAGAATATTAAGTCTTTTAATAATATAAGCAATTCAGTATAATTATTAATAAGATTGTTTTGTGCAGGATTAAATCAATCAAAAATGAATCCAAAACAAAAAATCTATATTAATAATTAAGACTTCAAATATTATGATTATAAAAACAATTAATCAAATAATATTTGTTAAAATATTTATTATTTTTATTTTGAAATAGGATTAATGTTGATTGATGAAGTTTTTATCCAATATTAAAAAATTACATTGACTATTTTCTAATTTTGTTTTAATATTATTATTATTATTATCCTGGCGGTCCCTTACATACTACTAAAACCAATCTGAAATTTAAGTTGCTTGATAACAATTAGTTTTTAACTCTAAATTAATTCAAATGAAAATTAATAACTTAATTTAATTATCTATCTATTCAGTTTGAAGCTAGATTTTTCTTAAAAATCATATGGCATAATAAATTATACAAATTATTAATAATATTAAAATGAATTAGTTTTATATATATTGGTAGAATAAAGTGATATTTAGAAAATATTCTATGGAACTCAAGCCAATTTAAAAAGAGTTATTTAATAAAATATAAATTTTAGAAATTATAATTCTAAGAAGTTAAGATTTCAGATTGGAAAATAATATGATTGATGGAAATTAGAAAAATGGAAGAAAGGAAAAGGAAAGTAAAATCATAAATAATAATTGCACTTAGTATATAATAATATATATACATATTTATTAAATTTATAAAATTAACAATACTCTTGTTAATTTTTTTGATTATTAATATTTAAGCTAAAGGTGGTACAATTAGATGAAAATACAAGACATCTAAATACCTAAAACATAATTTAGGAATCATAAATAAACTGTTACTACCTAACTTTACATATTAAAATTGTAAAATTACATATTATAGAATTCTTAATCACAAAATGAATAAAATTTAATGTCTAATTTATTCTAAAACTAATTAATAATTTTAAACAAACTCCTATCAGAATGTTTCTAATTTATAATTTTTTATATGATATTTATTAATAAATAAACTATATTAATATATAAAATAAAAAGAAAAAAATTGGAGTAGCCGAGCTTCGCTCTCGGCGCCTCGTGAATGCAAATCACGCGCTCTACTAAATGAGCTACTACCCCTGAGTTGATGATATTGGATATGTATTTCTAATAAACACATACATGCTAATATTATAATTATATACCTTAACAAATTAAGTTCGTTAAGATTAAAATTTATATGAAATTGGTTTACATCAAAGTCTAATCCAATTATTTTTAGTGTGATATTACTTAATTAAGGTCTAAATTTAAGTTGATCATTTATTGAAATTAAAATAGAATAATATTTAAACTTATTATAAACTCCTCAATATATTATTATGTTTGTATATAAATTTGATGAATATATTTAATCATTAATCAAACAAAGCATTCATCCAAATTAGATTGACTCTCTTTAGCTTGAATGAACTATTTAGGCTCTTTATGAATTTCCCTAGATAAGAAATATATAAGTACTCTGGTTAAGAACATTCACTGAATTATTCAGGATATATTTTGGCAGTTTTAAAAGTTTTAGTTCCTTACATATATTATTTGAATTCTAGAAGTTGTTTTGCTTGTTCCATTAAATATTCTCGGATCTTTCGATATCTTGATTTAACTCTGATTCTCATTTCTTATCTGTTTTGAAGTTCTTTATTTAAGAATCGATATTTCATAGTCCAAGGTGCTTTTTATCTAACTAAATCACGAACCTTATCTAATTGTATTTCTAGATCTCTTTTGTAGGATTGTAATATTTCCTTCAAGACAAGCAAGAGGAAATATAAATTGAGAGCTGCCAAAATAATGAAGTAGGGTATTTAAATTTCTAAGGAACCATATATTTAATCAACATAGATGCCTATTCCAAGGGCAATAGAGATTTCACAAACATTGGCTGAGTAAGCATCTAATCTATTTAAGTTAGGAGATTAATATGGTTTGAATTTAGTATTGAGTTCCAGATAGATATAAACAACCAATAGAACAAGGATGCCTTTTTTCACAATTGTTTCATCATAATAAGATAGAAAGATAATTAACAATTCTTTTTCTACAATTTTAACAACTTCCCAAAAATATACATCAGTCTTATATTCATTATAGAGATATCCCCATTATTGCCTGACTTTCTTATCATTAAGGTTGTCTTTATTTATGTACAAAGCATAATAAAAGAGAAATGGGATAAGGAAGGCTATGATTAGTAAGCCTGGAAGACAAAAGGATAAAAGCCACAAAAAATGAGATATAGTATCATACCTGTATGCAACATTGGCTTGAATCCACTTAAAATTGGAGATATTCCTGAAGGATATCAAGGAAATTAAGCCACCTACTAAATTGGGTTGAAGATATATATACAGATAGATGAAGGTTGTTGTGATTACACTTACACTATAAGTAACCTTTTTTAATTTGATTGCAATCCAGTACAATAGAAAGAAAATAAAGATATAAATGAATGGCATAATCATCTACCAGATCATTCTTGAATAATGGATGTTGAAATAAAACATTTCCATTAAGAAACAGTCAAGGGAATAGGTCATGGTTTAAATGGGGTTTCCAGAAGCATTGATTGCACTTGACATTCCACTGGGCAGATTCAATTTAAAACTAGTGATAGTGGATAATATCTATAGATGATTTGTTAACATCTTGATGAGAATTCCAGAATAGGACTCTTGCATTGACATGAAGAACCTGATCTTTTTTACTTGAACTTTTAATGCAATATCTACAAGCAAGGAGACAGTACCCTTAACTGAAATCAGGATTGAAACCAAAGTCCTAAAAAGTAGATCAATTTTTATACCAGATGCTGATAGCAGTTATAATTATTGAATTTGTATCTTTTTCAGCACAAGAACTGCAAGAATACTTAGTACTTGTTGAGAAGTGACCCTCTCCACGTAAGTTATATATGTCACATTCTTCACATAATGCACCTATATGTCCAATAAAACAAGACGTATCTCCTTCTTTCCATCCTCCCAAACAGTTGCTTAGTAAATTGATACAAAAGCTAATCTGATCAGTATAGAAATAAGGTCGCCAATATCCAGATCTAAGATTCATTTAAGCTGACTTTATTTCTTTGATTGATGAGTCATCTTTAATAGTACAATCCTGGGAATTGAAGCTCACAGAATATTAACCTTGCTCTGCATCACAAGGCTAACAGGTTAAGTCAGAAGTTCTCTTTATTTCACCCATTTAGCAAGGCAATGTCTTAATATTTAATCTTAAGTAATAATTATTGTGATAACTGATTATTTCCTGCTGTTCCCCATAGATTGGAACATAGATTGAATTGCAGTAAAACTACATCTACAAGGTCATATTAAGTTCATCATCTAAGTAAAATATAATCTCATCTAAATTATAATCTGTAGAATTAAAGCTTATATTTTTCAAATTCGTAAAATTGTTACTAAATTCAGTAATTTCATTAGACCTCAGTAATCCACCACTAATTTCACAATATGTACCATTTAAATTTTCTTGAACTTCGTTTTGAGGATCCAAAGCTACAATTCTTAAATGCAAATTGTATTGATAATATTAACCTTTCTTCCAATCAAAATACTCATACATTGAAAGCTTTTATCCATTTGGTACATACAAAGCATCTGAATATGTGTTCGTAAATACTTAATAAGGCTTTATTTCAATCTATTCTATCAATAAATTACTCTATTCAATGATCTTAACCTTTGACAAAACATTCTTCATATCCGTTGTAATTGACAATGATGATGGTAATTACGCTTGATTAGCTCCAAATTTTAATGCATTATTCTCATTCAACACAGATCCTAATCTTGTCAAATTCTAACTTATTTAATCAGCAACAGCAAATCCTCCTCCAAATTAAGCAGTGTTATTTTGAATTGTACAATATGCTAAAATGAATGATTCCTCTCCAATCACAATCATAGATCCACCAGATTAATGTGCTACGTTATGTTGAAAAATTGAAGAAACAATTAATGTTTTGATATTTGAAATCTAAAGACAGGTACCTTCATACCCATAATTAAAACTACAAACGTAATCTTGTAGTTTAAAGTCATATTATTTCTTATTTATGTATTGATTCAAATTCTCAAGGATACGAGATGAAGAACTCGTTTTTTTGACTATTTTTAAGCAACTCGATAGTTCACATATATTATTTTATAAGTTTACATTTTTCATATAGAGGGTCCCTTCCTTACGCTGAAAGTTAATAAACAATAACCCATCCGAGCATTTGAGATACTAAAATGAAACCTATGAAATACTTAAGCTAGAATTATAAAGGTTGAGATATATTAAACTACCATTAGATTTTCTATCAAGTTATTTTAACTTCTAAATTAAACAAACTGAAGACAACTCTTCATTATTAGAATTCAGTTTGATCGGTGATTATTTTTAGAAGAATTCGGTCAAACATTAAAATTAAACTAATTTAGTTTGAGACTCTAAATTAGTACATTCTGAAGTGGGTGTTAGGGGGATAATATCCAAAATAGTTGAGTTATGTAATTTTAATTGTTGTATGAAAATCTGAGATTTATCTTGGATTGTATTGATGACAATAAAAGAATTAAGTAATTGACACTGAGTTAGCTAAATCTACTTTAATTGAGCACTTCTGATATTGTCAAAGAATCCGAGTGACTCGAAATGTAATTCAGATATTTACAGATACTCCAAGGTTATTGTCCAAGCATTAGATATCTTTAGCAGACTCCTTTAAAAAGATAATGTCTGCATTGCAGAAGAATCAAGCTTATTAACTTCAAATTTTTGAAAGTATAATAGTTGATTTTGTAGGTTGTTGGCAATTACTAAGTTTGAAATTTTAAATGATTGGATTGAATTAAAGGTTGATGAAAATTCACTATAAACAATAGATCCTTTGAGGGCATAAACGTCAGCAATGTTGAGATTAGTTAGGTTGATTTAAATGTAACTCTCTCCATTTAGTAAAAATACTAAGCCACCATAGTTTCTACATTGGATATTGGATGCAGTAATGTTTGAGAGCAGAATATTGGATCTCATAGCATATGATGAATCAATATATATTGCTCCTCCATTCTCATCAGAATCGATGTAGTGAGTTGTAATATGATTGAATATAGTGTTCTTTATGAACAAAGTTGCATCACTCTCTAACTTTATGTAAAGGCCTGATCCAGATGAATTAGTAATATTTAGATTTTCTATTTAAATATTTTAACCTATTAATTTCATATTTCCAGTTATAACTCTGATTGGGAATACTTATTTTATTTGTTCAACAAAGATGTCTTCATTTTTATGGAATCCCCATAATAGATATGGTTATATGATAGAATACTAGAAGATTGAATTCTGAAAGAACTTTGATTATCGAATTGAGATGGACTTGGCTTTTAGTGATATCACATTATCGGTTGTATTTGTAACAAGATTATCTTCGACTAAGAGATTGGTTATTTTAATTGTACAGTAAGGACAATCGAAATTGAAGATCAGTCCTGAATAAATTCGATCATTTTACTCATATTGATGCATTAAGTTATATTTCATAAATGAATTGAGAATGGTAATTTGGTATTCTTATTCAGAACTCATTTGAAAAATCGAAGTTGATTTCATCTTGTTAATTATGATTACCAAGTTATTCGTAAACGTGATTTCTTCAATGTGTAACGATTTCGAGGATGAGGAGACAGCAATAGAACTCTATATGTTGATGATTGGATAGTTGATGGACTCAGCCATATCTATTGTCAATTGATGGATGACTATTTGAGATACATCATATAAATAGAGTGATGTAATGTAGTACTGACTTTAGATAGATCTTGTGAAACAATCCACATATTGATGAAGACCTTTGAAGACATGTTGTTTATGTTATTGAATTTTGATTTGATTTAGATTTAAGAATATTACATCTACAAATGTAATGTCTCTTATGCCATAGGCTCTTTCTATTGACAAGTCAGTGATACTCACATTCTATATTTACAGATAGAACAGAGTTGTTAATTGTTATTCCAAAAACTGTAAACTTGGAATTGTAGTTAATGTGTTGGCAATTAAACTTAATTGACTGATCCTTATTACTTTATTCGGACTAAAACTTTCCTTGATTTTAACTAAGCAAGAACTTTAGTCGTATTTATTTAATTTAAATGAAACATCTTAAAATGTATATAATGTGACTTCAACATTTTTATTAGTTATTCCAACTGACTCAATAGATAATTCATTATTCTCAAATACTACACTATTCAAGGAGGATTATCCATTCAAATACAAGAGTGTCGAGTTAATTATAATAGAATTTAGAATTGAAAATTGAATGATTTCAACCTGAAGTAGTGTTCCAAAATTAAAAAGACTATTGATGCTTGATATTTGACTATCGTCTATTTGGATGTTATTGATGATCAAATTTCCAGATACTTATTTTAAAAATGATGCTTAGGTAAATTTGGAAGTAATTTTGACATTGGATATCTCTACAGAATCAGTCTCCTTCAAATTTAAAAGTAGCAGAATCAGATTCTAGGCTTAACTTGAAACACATTCTATATTAGATATTCTAACATTTTAGATTTAAGGTATTTGATCAATTGTAATAAAGGCTTCTACATTGTTAATATCGATGTTAGATAATTTAAGATTTTCAATTACTACATCATTTGAATTCTTGATAATTATTTATTGTTTCTGATTAGATGCATCTCCAGTATATATTAGATCACTTAATTAGATTTGTTAAGTGAAAGAACTCACAAAGATTAATGATTTTTAGTTACTGATTTCAAATGGAGTCATTGTAATCTTTGAAAGATAAACTCTTTTGAAATTGATGAATGATATCACCTTATCGAATTTAAATGTTGTAATGCTATTGCCATGAATTTCAAGTTCCACATTTCTAAATACAATATAATAGTTACATGGCAGAGAAAATATTCTAGCTGAAGATTTGTCTAACATTCTTGGTGTTATTGATTGTACAAGTTTAATGTATGTTACTGACAATTTTAATGAGAATGGTTTTGATGACTTTTTCATTGGCTTATTTATAGAATTCATCTGTTTCAAACTATGATATGGTTGATAAATACCTATTAAAAACTGTTTGGAGAAAACAGATCATTGATTAGGATATTAGATTATTTGAATATTTTGATTTCAGTTTCTGTTAGCAATTAATTTAGAGCATCGTTGTAATCGGAACTAGAACAGTACAAATTTAAATTGATCTATAATTTCCTTATGCATTCAGCATGTTCACAATTGACAAAGATGCCTAATTGTTAATCAAAGTAACCATGAAATTGTTTTAGACATTGATTAGATGAATATTTGAAATTTGCATTGTTAAAGAGAGGATTTATGGCCATTATTTCATCTTGATCTCTTTGGCGACATAATGAGCAACTAATTGGACATTGAATACATTCATTATCATGAAGACTCAAGAATCTACCATCAATGAAATCTGGACATTTAACACATATGTTTTCATTGTTAATCTTGATACATTGTACACAAGAGTCAGGACAAGCTTTAATGCATAGATTATTGTAAAGTTCATAACCTGATTAACAAAATTTACAGGCAACTTCATAATCTTCAATATTTTAAGATGTGCCATAATCGATAAAAGAATGTGATTGTAAATTATCATCTATTGCTTGTCTATAGTAAGCTCGTATGTCAGTTTTCCAATTATCTTTAGATTTCATATTTTGTTGATAACAGGATAAGCAATGAAGATTGATAGGACATGGTTGACATTGTCCAGTCATCTTTTCTGAATAATACCCATTGTTACAAATCAAACATAGATACGATACTTTTGTATTCACTTGACCTTTTATGCAGGTATAACAATTTTGATTAAGTCCAATACATCCAGTAGTGAAGGATACAGGATCTATATCCGAAGTTCTAGGTCCAAAAAGACAGATATCATTATCACTACTAGACAGACGATAATTGTAGGAACATGAACTCTACGATCTCATAACACAAAGTAGAGTCTATTCATCGAATGAGTAAGGTTCCTTACACTTTGCACACTTAGTAATAATTAATCCTGTGTAGGGTGTAAATGAATGATCCAAGGTAGTCAATCTATCATGTTCAGCAGCTACTTGGAATGCATACAAGCAATTCGGTATTGTATTTTTCATACAATCCACTCCATTCAAAGATTGGAAGTATTTCTAATCATCTACACACTTTAAACATTTCATATAAGGCTCGAGAGTATACAAATTCAATTAGAGAATGCAAGTAGAACAGTAATTGCCGCAACTCAAACATGTAGTACCAACTGCTTCGTATCCAGATGGACAAGATAAACAACTAAGTGAATTACAAGATGTGCATCTCAATGAACATTACTCGCATTTATCATTTAGTAGGTAATATCCTTACATACACTCCAAACATTTGGGTTCCTTGTATTCTGTTCGTTTACAGTTAACATCTAACAATATACAATGATTATTCGAGAAGTAATGATTCTCTTTACAAATTAGATAAACTTTATTTGATAGATGTCTCATTTGTCCGAATTCAAAACAATTTGGCAATTCGTCATCTGTATTACAATAATCAGATGCACCTTCAATTAATTTTAAATTGAAATTCTAATCTATAAAATATACGTCGTTATCCGTATTTGATCTTCGATGCTTTCTATATGCATCTTCTGAAACACTTATCTTCTAAGTCACATAGTCTGTTTTACAAACCGGAAATAAAGGCCAAGTGGTGGGATCAAATAAACAATCAACACACAACAAATCAGTGGAAGTTGTTTGAGGACTACATAAGAAAAAAGAAATTACCATCTTATGCATTCTTTATTGACTTCCAAATAGAAATAACCGAATGGACAAATAGAGTTTGTCTAATCCATAGGCATTTCATCAAACTATAGTGTTGGATATAAATCATTAAATGAATAACAAGTGCCTTCGATCTCTATGTAACCATAAGTGCAAAAACAAGTCTGTAGATCTTCTGACCATCTCCTATTTAAACCATCTTAACATCCCAAACAATTAGACGCTAATGGGCCAACACAATTGAAACATGTAGGATGACATTCTTTATAATTAGTATTATAAACATACAAAATTAGATATCTTCATCCACCTCGTAATTGTAACAGAATTGGAAGTTTTGCATTTGTCCACGTAATTTTCTGAATACGGTTAAATCACCTCCAAATATGAAGTAGTATTTTGTATTTATAAATAATCCTTGTGCTTAAAAATCGTCAAAAAATATCACATTCAATTGATATGTTTGTCCTTATTGAAAATTTAGTTTCATCTGTGACTAATATAAATCTGACAATCCATGCTGAAATACAATGAAATGCCATTTAGTCAATTGGGATTAAAAATTAGTACTGGATGGATCATCTAATCTCTTCCTACCTATAAAATCAGGATTCACTGCCCCTTAAACAGGCATAGAATAATGATGAGATATTATATTGTAACCACTATTGGCTGGTTCAGCAAGATCTAAATCTACTGTGATTTTCAGTATTTCATCTCCCAATCTCAATTCGTCAGAATATAACTTAAACGTTGTTAATCGAAGAACCATATATGTTGTAATAAAACTCGCTTCTGATGGATCCAATTTTATCCAACCTGAAATGTAAAACTTCTATCCCACTTCATTCACTTCGAAGTTCAACTACGTGTCCCCTTCAAAGTTCTTTAGCCCCGGTATCAAACTTACAATCTATTTCCCAACTACACTAGGGGGAATTGCACAATTCTCTCTAATAAATACAAAGCTTCCTGCTGAATAATCTGTAAACTGTATTAATTTTGATAATCTTCCTCTAAAAATCCCCAGCTAATGAGAGGAATTGATCTAAAATCTATTCAATAACAATTACAATCCCAGTTCCTCCTATTATGAATTTTACATTATTCAATTCTTGAGACAGATCGGGTATCGAATGAGTTGACATTGCATTCGTTTCCACGATCACACTTTTCTATTATATTGTTATTATGGTTAGGCTCCACTTTCCTTCATATTAAGATGAGAAATAATCATAATCAAAGACATTACTACTATCAATCTCCTCCTCTACATATAGTCTATGCGATACCAAAGGCATGAAATCTGAAAATGCAAGATGCATAAACATTATGACCCTCTCATCATCAAGTGATTTCAATAGAAATAACAATTATTCATTTCTATTATCAACATACAACTTTTCTTCAACCTAAGGGTACTTCTTTACTTCCCACATTGGAATACTAAAACTCCAAAAAGCAAAACTTTAAGATGACCCCATGCCCTCTATAATGGTTTCTTCTATAGGGCCTGTGCTACTTAACAAGGATGACTCATAATCAAGAAAAGGACAACCTGTGGTCAATAAAAAAAGTATCGAAAATACTGACTGTTCAAACAACATGAAACTTCCCTTCTTAATCATTAACAATTATTAATTTCTTTTAATTAAATAAAAACTTAACAATAGCTCCATTAAAAGGTGAACATAAAGAGCTCACTCTTAATATTGTGTTTTATATATACATATGGGATATTTAATTATTTTAAATTCATTATTTTGTGATGATAAAATTAAATATGAAATCTTTATCATACGCGCGTTTAAAGTATAAAAACAAATATTTCCAAAACAAGAAGGATAAAATAAAAATTCAACTGACTCCTCCAACTTGAATAGGTAATATAAAGTAGTATTAATGAAATGAAGAAATTAACACATAAGTGGTTGTTATAATCAAAGATGAAAGGCTTTTATACCATTTATGATAATTTGGATTACAACGCCAAATAAAACAAACAGCATAATTATTAATTATTTATCGTTCTATGTGAATTAAGTCAAAATTACTTAAACAACTATTGCTAACTTATAAATAGTCGTAATTATTCTTTGGATTGCTTGTTACTTATAATTTAATTAAATTATAGGTAAGAATGAAAATATTATCATGTTTATTTTTATTTAATATAAAATTTTTTCAATTAATTTTACGGTCCGGTGCCAATTTAATTTAGCAACTACTTTAATAGTAAAATTAAAGTAACAAATGATGTAGAATTCCCCAGAAGTCAGAAAATCAGCCACATAAACGACTAACATAAATAAAGTTAACTGGAAACATATTATTATTCAAAGTGCCTCAAAAACATATAATTAAATACAAATACTTTTGTATTTTAAACTGTATAAAGAATTTCAAATGATGATAGAATCAAAAGTGTGTGATTGCTCTATGAAAATCACCAAATGCTCATAGAATCCAGACTAATAACACAATATTAGCATAATCAAGATAGAAATACTTATTTTTTTTCATAATGTTATATATCCTTCGTTTTTTTGTCGATTATAAATTTAAAATTAGTAATGTGCTTAAGTATATAGAAGATTGAATAAAATATATATTTTATGATATCTATCCTTAACACTCTTTTGTTGTGCTTTAGCTTTAAGACTATTAATTAGTCTTATTTATCATTAGAATTATGTTGAGTTACATAAAACAAAATCTAATAGTCTAATCATAATTGGTTCAAAAAAATTATCGTCCAATCTTATTCATAATTTATGAAATAAATGTATAAGTATTAATTAATGAATGATTTGAAAAATAATAAATTGCCACATTTTATAATTATAATTAAAAATAAAATCTAATTATTATTGTTTATAATATGAGTTAAAAATAATTTTTAAAATAAATTTAAATTACAATTACTCAATTTATTGCAACTTTCATCCCATAGACAAGGCAACGCTAAAATGTTGATCTGATTTATTATGCGATTAAGAGGTTATCATTGTAAATTGAATATATATAATTTTCCATTCACTTCTAGCTAATATATATAAAAAATATAGGCAAGATAAGCAAATTGAAATAAAATTCACAATGGATTGTTGTTAAAATGCTGATTCTATGCATTTTCTAGAATTAGCAATCCAAATACATTATCAGTAGAAATATTTCAATATTCCAGAAAGAATTATATTTAATTTAAATAATATGATACGATCGATTACTTCCCACCTTAGAAGAGCAACTCATCTAAACTAGACTTCAAAATACTTGCCAAAGTATTTCTTGTCTGAGAACGTCAAAGAAAAGTAGTTAAGAGAGAATGACATGCTTTGGATTGCTGCTAATGCTGAGTAATCAAATTTTCAATATATATTAGTGATAAAAGGTGCTCCATCATCGAGATTCAAAAGTTCATATAAGAAGAACCTCTCCTTGAACAATCTCCAATTAGACTCATGGATTTAGGAAATAATTATTTCCGACACATAAATCCCAGAAAAAAGAAGACTATGTTATAGCTATTAGATGCCTACGTTGATAATTTGACTCATGAAGAAACCTAATTATTCCAAGATGCCTTGTCCATCTACTTTGATAATACTTATTAAGGGAAAGACATGGAGGCCTTGAGTTGTGAAGAAAAGGATTTGCCAGAACAATTGTTGTGGCATATCTATAGCTTAATGATATTTGATAGATTGAGCAGCCATTACGCTCGATATGAATATCTGGATTAATTCAGAATTATCGAGTATTTTAATCAACGAGATAAAGTACAAATATAATTTTAATTATAAATGTTTTTAGTCTAAAATCAATCGAGTCAAGTATGTATTTACTTCTCATCCAACATAACCAAATTCGTTGACCTAGTTGATTGCTATTAGTAGAATGCTCTAAGGGATCGAATAAAATGATTACAAATATCTAAAGTACGCTGCCAAGTTATTTATTTAATCAAACAAATAACGAATTTTTAATGTAATTTTCTGTCTTAATAAATTATAGAAAGTATCGTACATAGAAGAATCTCTAATCTATCATACTTAATATTTACCCAATCTTATTAAGGCTGTAGCTCAAGCTTATGAACTAGGATTGTAGAACCCTGAAGAATATTTTGAGACTCCAGGTACTTGGTTGACATTTGATTTTGACAATCATCCAGGAATGGTAGACATTGATTTCTATTCATTAGGAAATTGGTATTATGACTTATACACATGGGTTGACAATTGATTTGACTATATAATAATATAAGGAATATATTTCTGAAGCAAAATTAGAGGAGAATGAGGATTTTAGAAAAATTTTGGAATTATATTAATAAGCTTTAGAGTATAGTAAAAGCTTAAGAGATTTAAGTGATAAGTTTAGAGTCAAAAAGGAGATTTCGTTAGAAGAGTTCTATTAACAAATGCCAATTTTTAATATCAAAAAAATAGAAGATTAAATTAATTAAATTCTAGATCATATTCTGGCAAAGAATGATGATTCTAAGGACTATTTTATAGCCTTAAAGTTAAAGAAACTATATTCTATTTTCAGATTAACAGGAGTATTGGGACAAATTAGATTAGCTGGTGAGGATTTGACAGATGTATTAAATATTGATATAAGCTTAAGATTAACAAAATCAAGCCAATGATCAAAAATATATTCAAAGAAATCTCACTTTTAAATGCAAATGGACAAGCAGCAGATATGGTTATTATTGCCAATTTCCAAACCTAATCGCAATATGACTTAGTGAATGATCTAATCAATTTGTATAAGGTTTAGAATGTAGAAATAGTACCTTTGTTGGAAACCTTCTCTTCAACAAACAATACAGATTCTAAAATAACTATGATTGCCAGCAGTGACACGCGACAAAGAGATGGTTTGATCTTGACTGAACTTAGAAATATGAGAGAATATAAAAGGAATCCAGAAAAGTACATTTATATGGGATAGGGCATAACTCCAGAAAGAGGAGGTGGACCATACACATTGATCCATACTAAATATTAAGCGTTAACCAGAGCACAACGAAAACGACATATAAGAACAATCTAAGGTCATTATTTCACCTCAGAGTTTGCCAGTGAGGATGTAGCATTCACATTTTTGTTAAATGGCTTATCGAACATTAATTATAGTGATGACTTTGAACCTTCTTATGAATACATGGACTTTTTGTTTGAATTAGGTATGTTATTTAGTTGAGGTAGATAATGTAATTGGAGTTCCTTAAAGAGCGATGCAAAAGAGTAAAGAGTACAATGAATTATATGTGAAAAATTAAGTTGTCAAAACAATGGTGGAATCTTTCAATTTTGCAGGAAGTAGAGAGATTGCTCGTCCCTTTGAAAGTATTAAAAGTCAGAGAGCCATTGTCCAAGCTTATTGTAATAGTGACAGATGCTCCTTTACTCATCCGGAATTAGCTTATTGGGATAGAGTTCCAGAAGAATTAATCAACAAAATTGCAACTTATTATTATAACAATCATCCTCATATGAAATATATGCTTTATATGTATGCTTTGATGGCTAGAAGATGTGATTTAGATTTTGCAAAATAAGAAGTTGGATTAGACTCAAATAATCCATATTTTTAAGCAATCTAAAAAGGAAGAGCAGCTTTAATGAAAATTTTGGATCAATTAGGTTTGGGTGACAATAGCACTCCAATGATTGCTATATGGAAATAACATTTAGGATGTTAATTATAATCAATGAATATGGAAGTCAATTAAAAGTTTACAACATTTCGAACTTTGAATTAATTGCAATTGTATTAGGCAAAGAAAATGGTCAAACATGGAATTTTAGAAACTGACATGGTTGCAAGCTAAAGAAAATTGAGAATCCTACAATCTACATTAGCAAACATGACCTCTTTTGCTGGAAAGGGTTGAATTTATTATATTAATATCCATATTAAAGAATCATTATTTTTAATTAACAGTCATTTCTATATCTGGTAATAAATATGATGTTAACTCAAAATGCAATTTATAATTCACACTATAGTTTAGAAATAGGCTAAATTGTTCTAAATAAACTCAGCAAAACTCTATAATTTACAAAAGTATGCTTGTAATTTTTTAAAGAAAAAAAATTTAGTCGGGGCTTGACTTTTATTCTTAATGTTGCACATAAGGAAGTTAAAACTGACTGAGGTTAAGATGTTCTAGAACAAATTTGGTTTGAATGACGAGATAGAGAATGATGGGAGCCATTGTAGAAAAGGCTGTTGCCAAATTAGACCCAAAAGATTCTAGACTAAGCATGATTCAGGCCATGCTTTCTACCTTTGGTGAAGAAATTAATCTATCTCGGTTTGGCCTTAGATAGCTAGATGGTACACCTATTAATATACCATATAATATTAATTTTAAGGAATAAAGAAACATATTAGAACAAACTTAATATGTGGCAAAGAAAACTGAAGTTTTGGGGAAACATTTGTAGGACAGCCTTAAATTTAAAAAGAAATATCTTCTTTATAAAAATTTTTTTTAAATTTAATTCTTAGTAGGAAAAAAAAATAATCTGTAATAAGTCTAAAATCAAATCAGAATTATTCAGAAATATTTTAGATAAAAATAGATTAATCTTTTAAATATTCCATATAGAAAAATAGAAGAAGAACTAGTTTTAGAGTTATAGATAGCTGGGAGGTTAATATGTATTAATGAGAATGGGGTGTTGCCCAGCTAGAGCCCTTTATTGTTCACACCTATGTAATTCTCTAACAATAAAAGATGTATGCACTTTATGAGATGGAATGAACTAGTTAATATCTAGAGAGAATTTATTGATTAGCTGAAAGAGATATATGAGATAGGTAAACTGAAGAAAAAAGTTTATATAAACATTTGGTCAGGATAACAATCATAAGGTCGTGTTTAACACCCTGGAGGATATTTTAGTTAATGCATACGAACCTACATAATCTTTTAAAATAAAAAAAATTAAGAAAGAGAACTAAAAAAGAGTTATGTTTATATAAAATCGAAACAGAATTTCCTGCTTAAAAATATAAATAATGAAGATAACTAGGAATTATCAACTCTCCTGATTTTAAATAAAATTTGCTTTAGGTTTAACCTATCACTAATAAACTAAACTTCTAATAAAATGATCACCATATGATGAACTTTAATAAACGTAAGGAGGACTTAAAATAGATGAAGTAGATTAGCTATCATTGTTAGCTAATGAGTCCTATGAAGAAAAAATTGAGAAAGAGATATAAGAACTCAAATAGATTATTCTAGCTAAGGAGAATACTATCAAATTGTTAGAATAGTAGAAACCAATTCAGAATTAGAAATAACATATGTAACTATCTGCTTAGGATAGTTTAATTATTGTTGAAAAATAATACTTCTTTTTGTAAGATTGCTTATAAAATAATATGATAAATATCAAACCTTGCGATGTATAATATTGAAGGATTAATTTTCATAATAGTATCTTTTCCCAACCAATAAAACAGTATCAAGAGATAAAAAGGAAAGGTATAACTCCTTCCTGAACTACGATTTGAAGGGATACCTGGCTAGCTTAAACTTGTAAAAAGGCAAAAGTTTATGAGGTGGCACAGGATAATTACTAACAAGCTGCAACTATCCTTGAAAATCACAAATAGATTCAATAGGGAATAAACATTTAAAAGATTGAACATTTAAAGGTGAAACCCTGGTGGGCATACATAGAGAAGGAGACCATAGTGGTTTAAAACTTTCATGGAATTTGTAATTTGATCTTTTTAATTCCTTACCGTGTGGTGGCAAAATTGTATAGGCTATTCAACCAGACAATTTTCTTAAAAATTCAATATTAAATCAGCAGTTTCTTAAGACCATAAATCAAAGGGCACTTCATAAATTCCTTTTTTTAATCCATTTATTAGATATTAGATCAAATGTTCACCCTTTATTTTATGATATTCTTTATTTCTTGAATTAAAATTCTAAAATTGATATCGGATTTAATTTATGTAGTTGTAGTGGAGAATATGTTTATATCTCTTAAACTATGGCAAGCTATTAAAGGCAATTCTAAAGAATTTATTTATTACAGCTTATAAGTGATTCACCATCTATGAAACAGTTCATGATACCACCATCTCTCTTGGAAGGGTTCATAATTAAGAGTCTATTGAATGATTTGAAGGCTGTTTCTGATTAATTATATACGTAGAATGCTATTTATTGGTTGGCTATAATTTTAATTTATGCTTTTTTAGTGTTTATGCTCTTCTTTAAAAACATTGAATTTAGATAGTTTTCTATTATATCTCTAAATAATACTTTTTAAACGATTTATTTAGTTTCTTAGAGAGTTTAAAAGGTATATATTTTATTTAATTGGATAAATCTAATATTGTTTAGCTGATAAATGTGACTTCTGTAGTTAGATTTTGCCACTAAAATTAGGTGATCTGAGTAGTAAGTCTCATATACACTATGATGAGCTGACAAATTTTAATTTACCAGCATAGAGTCGCTTTTGCTCTTAACTTCTTATTATTCAATAATCCTTTTAAAGGTGTATTATTATATTGAAATAACATCCTTCATGAAAGACATTTAGTTTATTGGATGATTTATATCTTCGTGCATCATAAGTAATGCTTTTGGTATTGCTGACATCAGTTATTGTATACAATTTTCTCGTACTTTTTTTGATATTTTATAATACTATTCTAAAGGGAAGTATTTATTTAGTATAAACACCTCTAGTTATTAACCTGTTACTTGGATTTGTAAGCATTATAATAACTCATGAACCTTATGAAATAAATTTGAGATATTTTTGAAAAGAATTGCTTATGCATCCAAACCGTCATTCCTCCTCCTCTATTCAAGTTATGACTTCTTAATTTGTTATGAAATGTATATGAAGAATTAAAGCGAAATAACTCATTTTGATTCCAAGGATAGTCTCATATCTTTTCCTTATTTCAGCAGTGGTAAATCATAAATCTAATTTTGGTGTAATATATTAAAAAATGGGAGAGAAAGAAAAAGCATTGTTTGATTTCAATTAGGCAATAAAAGTTGATCCTGAAAAATCTGAAGTTTAAATTAAAAGAAGTGACATATTAAATCCAATTTATGTGTAATTTATTAAGAAATGAGTGAGATAGAAAGTGCATTAGACGATTCAAATAAAGCAATCCAACTTTATACTCAAAATTGTTCATTTTACATTAACAGTGGTGAAATAGTAATTTAACTTAGGTGTAATTCATCAAAAATGGGGGATAATTTCTATTGTATGATATCTGATAGCACATTATTTCAAAGCAATATTAATAATTGCTAGGCTTTTATTAAAAGATATCTGGAAAGGAAAATTCAAATGATAAAATAGAATGGTTCGATATAAATATAATCATTTTGGTTAATGTTTTTTAGGGTCAATATAACTGAAGGATAAAATTATAAAATAAGCGGTGTAGATGAGGATTACAAAAAGATAATTTTAATAGGGAAAACTCAATAATCAAATTTTTATTAGTTTTAATTCAGTATCTATAGAAATATTTAAGAGTTGAAAACAATTATGAAGAATAATATTCTGGTTTGATTTTTAAAGATAGGTTCTTCATAGAAATAAAGAATAAGCCTTGAAAATAATTAAGATATAGATGGATTCTGATAAAGTTAATACGGTAGATGATGGCTAAAGAGTTTCTGTTAATGATTCGTTTATAGCAATGAAATATTATTACCTTATATTGTTGATGTATTTTGAATTAAAAATTATCTTGGATTATTCGTTAAACTCTAATGGAAATATTATCAAAGGATAATTTAAAAGAGATTGAGAAACATTATTCCTTGTATTGTGTGATCAAAAATAGAAGAATTGAGATATTCTTAGAACTTAAGAATTAGCTTAAGATCAGTTAAAATTCACCATGTTTAGAACTATCTATAAACAATCTGCTCCATAAAATTAAATAAATAATTTTCCTTAGACTAAATATAAAGGCTTACTTTTTAGCTAACATAGATTCAGGGTGTGACCTTTTACAGAAAAGTAGAAAGTAAATTAATTACTTATTATAAGCCTTTATTCTTATTAAGAATAGAAAGTTGAGGCGTAAGGAATGATATGATGTTTGCCTCTGATATCGGTTAAGATAAAAAACAAAATTGAATTAGGACTTTTGATATATCACCTCCTATGGTTACTATTCTTCCAATAAGTAGAAATTCTAACATTCCTCTTAAAAAGTATGGACTTAAAATTTTTGTATTCAATCTATTGATTAAATTAAGAAATCCTTAAGTTAATACGCTGAATAAATACTAGAATATCTTTGAATTCAAATTAGTCAAATTAAAATAGTATTTGTCATGAAGATCAATCAAGTGTAAAAAGTAAGAAATTACTAGTTATTCCTTATAAAACGAAAGAGAAATAGATTGAATAAATAAGACAAATTTTTTCTATTGAATTTTTTTTCATCAACATTCATCTGATTAATACTCACTTTATTGAAGATTATAGAATTAATATAAGAAGAAAATCAATGAATTACAGATTTGGCTAACTTTAAAGTAAGATTATTAAATAAATTTGATAATTTTTCTCCAATAGATCAAAAAATGAAGAAATAATAAAGAATAATTGCTATTTAAGATGGATAACAAAGAGGAGCTGACTTATTTCTGATGAGTATAGTAATTTTAAATTTTGTTTTAATTTTTGGATATCATTTTTAAATAGGATGAGAATATGGGGTAAAGCATCCAAATTGTTGGTTAATTAAATAAATTCAAAAATGTAACCAATTCAGTAGGGAAGAACTCTAACTTTAAAAGATATCAAAAAGTATTCTGGATGCATGAAAGTTGAATTAAATCAATCTTCATGATAAATCACATATAATATACCTTAAGTTGGAATCATAAAATTTTTGTTTATATTGAATAGTACAAAACATCTACCTTGCATTAGTTAAGTAAATATTGCCAATACCCTTCTCATCCTTCCTAAAGTAAACGCTATATATTAACAGAGGGGTGATATCATCAACTAAAGTTGGGAAGATTTGTCAATCAATTTTCCAATTTCCTTATCATAGTTTCCTTTTGCCTAAGATAGAAATTTCAGGTTTCAAAAATCTGATTTTTAGAGAATCAAAATTTTATACCAGAACGTAGACTTCCATCTTTCACTACTTGATATAAGGCCGCTCTGGTTTTACTACAATACATTACTAGGAAACATTAAAATTAAATTTTTAACAAATATATCATAAACCAGAATGATTCCCTTATGGTACCTAGTGGCCTTTCGATAATTAATACCATTAAAGATTTTATTTAATCTGTAACAGTCGAAGCATAAATCACCAAGATATTTCTAATCTTAATAACAGAATCATTATGATAACGCAGGCTAAATAAATGTGGTACAGTAATTTTCAACGAGCTCAATAGACTAACAACTTAATTCGCTACATACTTTTGAACTGTGGTTATACCTTTCAAGGTAACTAAAACTTTGAAGGTACTTCATTAAGTATGAAAAATTGTGATTAATTCATCTTAGTTGACTAATCTGTAAAGATTCTGCAGAAAGGGAATACCTTTTAATTTAAAGCTGCTTTTACTTATTTAAGGAGGCGGGGTTGAAGACCAAATTATCTCCATAGACCATCTGCAATAGAGTTAGCTGCTGAATTCTCTAAGCGTGGACTTCATTTGATCTTCTTCCAACTATAGAGCAGCCTCCTCTTATCGATTTATAGTTTTTCATCAATGCAGCACATAATCGGTATAGTGTATGATTGCCAGAGTTAAGTCGTATGTTAAAATTTAATATATGACTGAAGTTTTTAACCTGATCACATAAAATTTTGATTTTACTTTAAAAATTTTTTTTATGTTAATTAAATTTTTCTCCAATAGAAATTAAAAACTCCAAAAATTAAAAATATTAAACTTTATGTAATACTCAGGTCATTAAATTCTGAGTGTACTAAACTCTTGTTAAAGATGTAGTTGGATATTTTAATGGTAACTTAATAAGCATTATATTTTTACAAGATTCAACAAATTACCTAGTAATTCAACCTGTACAAATTCAAAAATGGTGATAACACATCATTAACATAACTACAGATTTGGTTGCCTATAGTAGGATTTAATTAGTAGTAACTTCTATGGTTTCAACATCTTATATCTAATTCTCTTAATAATAAATGATGAGTTAATCAAAATAAATACCAAATAGGAGGAAGCCCTAATAGATTTCATTGAGAAGGTACGTTTTACTCATTTGATTGGATCAGAGATGTATAATTACTCATAAACCCATAGAAGGGCATATGATTCATTTTCATTGAAGAAGATTGAATATTTCTTGTAGTATCAAAGAAATTTGAAAATAGCCTATTTTTGGCATTTGATAAATCCATGAGCGCCCAGACTCTACCTTTATTAAGGTCTTTGGTCATGTTCTTAAGCTCTAAGGTAATCTTAGATATATATTTAGAACATCAAAAGTAGGAAACTCAGCTTATTTGTAAAGGATTAATCCTACCCCTTAAGATCTATCGGTTAGAAAGATGTCTCAAATAGTTTGATGAAATGACTAATAACTTAAATTGGTCTAAATTGACTCCTGATGGGGATCAATCCTTCTAATGAATATGCAATTTAATAAATTATCCATAGTTAATCTCAAAAGCCCCAGCTTATTCGAGAAAAATTGTTAAATTGCTAAGCTTGATTAATTCTTAAAATATAGTTTTCTTGGTTCGTATCAATAAATATATTTGTTTGCGACAACAAATTAAATTTCCTTCTTAATTGTAAATTAAATTCATAATAAATCCTTCTCTCTTATTAGGCTTCGAGTGAGCAATGTCTTATAATTCTTTTACTGTTTAGAGATTAGCAGCAACATGTATTCAATATACGAGATTCAAAAAAATAGGAATATTGGCACTTTACATCAATGCACCTTATTCTAAAGTTTGATCACCAAAAAATTCAAGTAACTATTAGTAACTAGATATTATGATAAATTTATGGAATAGTGAAGGGTATGGAAAGAGGGTGACGATCAGAAAAGTTAGAGAATTCATTCTATAAAATTCCTGAATTCTATTTTATATTTCTATTGATCATCAAATAATAAATGTTGTCTATTTATTTCCATCCTTATTTCTATTCATAGTCTTAAATGGGATCAGAATATAATATGAATTTGGAAATTTCTTAATTAATAGATACCAACAAATAATAGCAGTGCAATATTACAAGGTTTCCAAAGTTACCTTTGATTTAATCTTAGGCTATATACAACAATAAAAAAGAAATCATAATCTTGAAATCACAATGATAATATAAAGTTCTAGAGATTCTTAGGAATGGATGTTTCAGGATAGGATATTCAATCGCTTATGATATACTATCAAATCTTAACATGCCTTCAGACAAGAACCTTGGTTCGATTTGAAATTCTTGCAAAGAGAGATTTTCTCACTCCCATACTTCCAGCTCCAGTGGACGACTTGAAGGTTAGCAAAGCAATAGAAGCCCAGAGGCACAAAATCAAAAACTTTGGTAAGAGAACTTCCAATCAATTTTTGGGTCACCAAGTGATGCGAAATCTCATCAAAAATTAT